GACGACGAAAGTAGTGGTGAATATTTTAATTAATTGAAGAGAAAGAAAGACAAATGTAAAAAAGGGAGACGAAGTCTAGCTTATATATAGGGTAAGTATGTATAGATTATATCCACCCTATACTAAGAATGCTAAGAGATAGTAATGGCTTTAATACGGTAGTTATAAGATGGGATCAAATGTAGAGACATCTTGGTATAAATTATGTTCTCTAGCTAAGGGCCAAAAGGCCGTTACAGCACTTAGGAACACATATGTATTAGATAGAAACCTATAGAGAAGAATGTTATTAGGATAGTTATATAAAGAGCTTAACTTACCGCACCATCCCTTTTATCTTGCCGCACCATATTTAACTTGCCGTACCATATGTTAGCTGTTATAATTACAAGCCGTTTTCACATAGAAATTTTAGTATTTTTAATATTTTTGAATATTATAGTGTATTAAGTTAAGAAGGGTACGCCAAGTCAGCAGGGTGCACTAAGTTATCTAGCGATATTTTCTAGTATTAAACGAATAATATTCTTATAATATTTACGTAGTATTGCGGCTCTATAAGGCTCTATACAGCTTTATAAGGCTCAACTGAGCCTCTTATTCTATAATTAGGGTATTTCTTCAATTATTGCCTAGCTATACTCTACGTAGATTAGGGTCCTCTACGTAATCTTTTAACGGGTAAATTTACCTCTCCTCTTTATCTACTACCTCCTTTTCCTTCCTTTTAATTATTACCCGTTTCCTCTATTCTGCTATAGTGTAATTTAAAGTAGTAAGGTACTCCTTCTTAACATTATCCTTATTAATAGAATTTAGCAGTAAATTTAGTGGTAAGCCTAACTATAGCTTTAGAATAGGGCGTTTGTAGGAAATACGTACTAAGCGGTTAGAGGAAGCGGCTAGAATTAGAACTTTACCTTCCCTCCCCTTACTTAATTCTCTAAGTCTACCCCTTTTATATTTTAGCGCTTAATTTGGCTGTTAAGTATCATTATTAATAATAATATAATCCTTATCGCTAGCCGCCTTTCGTTCGTTGGCCGCCGCTTCTTTATTAGCCTCTTTATTAATTTCATCCAACGCTTCTAAATTGGGCTTAGAGATTTCGATTCGAGAATAATCATATCTCGTAGCGCTAAATATACGGCTACTTCTCCTAATTCGAATTGCATTACAGGGATTTCTCCTATTAGACGAAGCGGGCTTTAGTATAATTGCCTTATTACTAAACGGACCATATTGGTTCTTAAGGCGCCCTTTAGGAATTGCTTTCGTTATAAATACTATACGAAGGTAATGATCCTTTTTATTGAAAGCTTCTTCTAAATATTAGAAAGGATTGTAATCGGCGGTATTAATTAGGGCTTTTTTAGGGTAGTCTTTATTGTACTGTTTTAATAGTTCGTATACGTAAGGCAACCAATATTAAATTGTACAAGTATTATTATAAGTAAGTAAATTTTGGGGGTAGGGATTTCTTACCGTTCGTATAGCGCTAAAAGCCTTTTTATACTCCTTTATAAGTAAATTTAACCCCTAATTAGTAATTTGGAGTTTGTAATCACTTAATTAGTCGATTTTAAAGTAATTGCGGCGAACCCGGGAATTAGAGGTAATAATACCCTCCTTATACGAATCATACCGCTTTTTAATAATTATTTTAATTGTATAATATACTTTATTAAAGCCCGTATACATTAATAATCCCTTTACTTTAATATTAGTATTAGTCGATTTATTTAAGGAAGTTATTTTATAGTTATAATTAGGGAGCCTTTTAGTATAATAATTAATTTACTCTTTCTTATAGGGTATAAGTTCGTCGTTAATATATTTGAATAATTTTAGTTAAGTATTTTTAAAATTAGTATCTATAAAGCGTTTAGCCTTCTTAAAATTATATAGATCGTTACTAAATATTATATATTATTAGTATATAAAGAAAGTAGTCTTTATTTATACTACCTAGGTAGGGGGGGAACCTATTTAAACTTACGTTCTAATAACCGTACGGACTTTTTAATGCGCTCGCTAGAGTACCTCGAAATTTATAATATTTGGGTCGAAATTATTATTATCGCTTTGCCGGGGCTAAGTAGATTAAGGGGGTTGAAAGGAAGGTTAGGAAGAAGGTTGGGTCGATTAAATTGATTATAATTAATCTGATTAGGACCCGCCGCGCCCTCTTTAAGAGCCGCGCCTACCCCTTTAATTACTACCCTTCTTTACCTTCGCTTTCTTTTCTCCCTTTTAATATTTCTTAATAGTAGTAATAATATTATTATTAAAATATTATATATATCATTAGTACTTTATACTATTGAAGGCGGTATTTAGCGTAGCGGTAAATTGGGGGTCGCTATTTAAAATAATAATATAAGGCTTCCTAATCTTTATATCCCTTATTATATCTTGTAGCTATTCGAAGTATTATTTAAAGCCCTTTTCCTTTTGTTCGTTATTAATTAGATATTAAAATATTAGGATAATTATATATATAGAAATTATAATAACCTTTATACTTAACGGCTTCTAAAAGCAGTTAGTTTTATAGGTCGTATCGATTATTAAGACGTTAGGGAATTATTTTTAGAATTTAAATTATTTTATAAGGACTTAAAAAACGGTATTAAATATTTTGTTATTATCCTCGTCTTTTTAAATATCGACTGCGGCGTAGGTAACTATTTTCTCCTTTTAACCGAATTTTTATTCTTTATTTAATATTTATATAAAGTTTTAAATATTAGTATAGTTAGCTTTCTATACTTTGGGGGCGCGGTATTGTAGGTTGGAATAATCCTTCGTATTAAATAGAAGATTTAAATATTTCCGCTCTATAAATTGCTTTACAGTACGGATTGTTAACTCTTTCTACGTAAGGAAATTATAGATATATTTATTTTATTCGTTTATAATTATTAAATAGTAGTAAGGAGAAATAATTATTATAAGAGTAGAAGGTTAATTACGATATTCGAAGTTAGTAAGTATAATTGTAAATAAATCGTCGCTAACGCATTTAATAACAATTTTAAATAAGTAATACCGTATATTTTTCTTCGAGTTACAATAATAGTAATAAGTCTTTATAGGTACGGGGTATTTATACAATAATAAGATTCGAAATTATAGATAGCTATTTATATTATTGCACTTCGGATAAGGCTTATAGAAAAGAGTTTATCGTTTAGATCGATGGCTTATATTAATTGTTCGTTTAGGGTAGTTTCGTTAGCTTTAATAATTTTAACAGGATTTTTACTTAGGGTAGGAGAGGGATTAGAGGCGTAGTCGCGGTCACTATATTCATTTAGGGAAGGATTAAGGGAACGGTCGTTAGTAATAGCGGTATAGAAGTTAACTATAGAGGAAATTCGAAATAATTGCGAAGATATTGTAAAAATATAACTAATTGAATATAATTAAATATAATATACGAGCGCCTTATTATTAATTATTCGATTAAGTGCGGTCGATTTAGGGGGGTTTTGTGCAGTCGGTTTGGAGTGTGTAGCGATGTTGTGTTATTGTTGTGTAGAAACGTGGCTTCAATTGTGTGGGAAATATCGTATGTAAAAAATCGCTAAGTTTTTTCGTTAATGCAATTGAATGTTTGAAATATTTTACGGGCTAGTTTTACTATATAAAACGTGGGGTTTTATATGTTAGCTGTTATCGGTTGTTATATAGGGCAAATATGGTGCGGGCAAGTCAAAATATGGTGTGGCAAGACAAAAGGGGTGGTGCGGTAAGTTAAGCTCTACATGAAAAGCATTCAAAGCTTATGAGCCAGGCACTGACGCATAGTAAAGACGCGTCAGAGCCCAGTAAATAGCGGTCTCCGTTCTGGCGACAAAGGCATATGTAAACGAGGCAGTCGCTAGCTGGGCTAAGGATATAAATAGAAAGCTTGAAGTGATCAAGATAGGTCTCGCCAATGATCTTGAGAAGCCTTGGCAGGGGGTCTTTGTTTTGCAAAGCTGAGGGATGGCATGTAGTAGGTACTCAATACTTGTCGTCTGGTCTGGTTATTAAGGTAGGTACAGTCTGAAACCTTTGTTGGAGAGTCACCCACCTGTAGGCGAAGAGATGCAAACGCGAACCCTAAGTTGCGACGATTTAATTTTGTCTCAAAGGCAGTAGGAGCTCGTCAGATGGCATAATACCTTCGTCTTTGATGAGTGGGAGTTGACATAATGCTGACGACGGTGTCCAGAAGGTGTCAAATGTCATGATGTGGCCAACGGGTATGAGAACTTGAGAATGTTGAATCAGGCAGGTATAATACACCCAAGGCAGCGAGCCGCAACTCGCAATACGCTGTATCCGGGTGGGGAGTCGACAAGAGCGAGCCCCCTTTTACCTGCTTCCATTGCCTTCCTTCCGCTGTCACTCCCGTCGTCATTGCTTTACAGCTGGCAGAAAGCCCTGCCCCATCCACAGCCCTGGGTTGACCCAGAAACCTCGACCACAAGCAAGAATTCCCTTCCTTCACTTCCTTCCCCTCCTTCACCCACCGAGAAGCAACACCTCTCACCCCACATTCGCCTTTTCTCAGTCCTTCCTTCTTGACCATCAGAACACCTCGCGACTTCTTTACCAGCTCTCACTTTCAGTACGACCTTCCTCCAAGGTCATCAGAGAGAACTGAACGATTCGCGACCGCGTCTTTTTGGTTCATACTGCGCACCAAGGGCCCGGATTTCCTGCCCCTAGAGTGGGCTGGACTCAAGAAGCTGTCACCACCTAGTCAACCTCAAAGTTTTCAAGTTCCGATCTCACAGTCCCAAATATCCACCCACTTGGGGACCTGCATTAAACACAACAACTCCCTTCACCTTTGAGCGGCGCGGCGCCATCGAAGATTTCAAGGTAGGCAGACGTTCGAAATCCAACACCTTCTTTTCAAAAAAAAAAGTTCCTAGCACTCACTCCACAACAAGCTGCTCTCATCGGGCGCGGCTCAGATTTAACCTTCAGGAGGAGGCGCCATCGAAGATTTTAAGGTAGGCAAACGTCGCTCAAATCCAACACCTCCTTTTCACGAAGTCCCCACCACTCACTCCACAAAAGCGCTCTCATCGGGCGCGCCTGCAGCTCAAGCTCAACTTCAGGAGACAAACTTCCCTCTAATCGTGGCGAAGAAGAGACAGACCAAGATGGAGGTCAAGAAGGATGGCATTTTCTCGTGCGTGACTACCTCGCGCCAGCAGATTCGCAAGCACTTGCGTGACATCGCCAAGATCAGGCTCGAGAGAATGCAAGAGAAGACTGAGGAGGTCCTGAGGGAGAAGGGCATCTACGATGGACCCGAGAAGATGGTGGAGGACGTGTACAATGAGATCATCGATGGCAGTAGCAACTACCCCGTCCACCAGCAAGCTGAGCTACTGGTTGAAGCCGGCCGCATCGGCGTTTGGGAGGCGCAAAGTAAGTTTGACCCGAGATAAAATGAGGCAAGCGCTTCACGGTATTCACCTCAGTTGTACCTGACCAATTTTGACTTGACAGTGGCCAACCCTCATTACCTTTCCCAACAAGCCGCCACTCTCTGGCCCCGCTGGGGCACCGTGTCTCCGTACCTGCGCTTCATCGAACTACGCGAGCGCCTTGCCAAGGAGGGCAGCTCCCGGCCTATCAGCTGTGACCATCCCTTGGACATCGACGACCTCTCGATGAACCAGTTGTCGCAGCTCCACGTGGGATGTAAGGAGTGGGTGAAGGGTTATAAGGAGAATGGCGAGAGTCACAGTTTGGAGAGGAAGCGGCTGTTCGACCGTGCCAAAGAGCTGGCGAAGGAGGGTCACGATATGCGCACCGCCATCAAGTATTTTTCACGTATGAAACTGGATTTCATGGTTGATATACACTTTATGATGGAGGTCGTGGTCACGCACTTACGTTCCTTTGAGGAGAAGGTGGCTACGATGGAGTGGTCCATGGAACGTTGCGAGGAACGCGTGCGGGCGCATGAGGAGGAGAAGAAGAAGGAGAAGAGGAAGCCTGAGTTTGCGCGGGAGTTTGAGGAGTTCATGAAGGAGTTGAAGTTCGCGGATGAGGATATATATGTGGAGGAGTTCTCGGGGGAGAAGATCTCAACCAAGAAGATCTCGAGGAAGGAGCCCTTGAGGATGAAGAAGTTGACGGACGAATTGCCCTGGAGTGGCGCGTGGGGGGGCTGGGTGGAAGAGGCTAGTCATGTGTTTGACGAAGATGACAGCGATACCCCTACTTGGGAGTGACACGTTGGCGGAGGAGGAGGACAAGGATGAGGAAAAGGAGGGGGAGAGGGAGGACGATGAAGTAGGAGTCCGCTGCCAGCACCGAGGCTCCCAAGGAAAAGGTTCAGGAAAGGACTGAGCGCAGTGAAAAGGAAGCTTGAACCTCATAAGGACCCGGGGTTTCCCACGAAAACATGGGTTAGGGTACTGTTGACATTCGGCCTACCGTCGCTTTCAACATGCCGCTGCTACCGGTTGATGTTAGATCCCTTATAAACACTGCAAAAGCCAGCTAGACCAGGAAATCGAAGCAAAGAACGATACGAGAAAGGGCAATGAAGGAGATAGAATGATGGCTAACAAAATTTGCTGTGCTTAATTGTCGGTGTGCTGTAGGGTACCTACTAGGAGGTTGCCGTAGTCGTCTTCATGACATTCACTGCGTCTCCTTTTCCTTTGCTTTCGATAGTAACTCCTTGCAAGAATCCATCGCCTTCTGAGCATACTTGTTCAAGTCCTGGCCAAACTTCTCCTCAAACTTCCCGTCAAATACTTCCACGCTGAACCATCCGTTGAAGCCCGTGTCCAGCACCGCCTTTGCGAATTGTTCGATAGGGAGGTAACCACCGTCGTAGGGAAGCGGGCGATAGTCGTGACTCCAGCGTCCCCTTGGCCGCAACCCCGACTCCGGATCAGGCTTGTCATCCAGCGGCGGCTGAACCTTGTACGCATCGCTGATCTGGAAAAAGAAGATCTTGTCGGCCGGCACCGTCTCCGCCAACTCCTTCAAGCTGGCTCTGTATCTAACCGACAACTCCATCTCCGTGATAGCTGGCGTCTCGATCCTGCCAGACTCCGTCGTAGGATCTCCCCACTCCCCGCCAGCGGACTGGAACGTATCAAGGCACAGTCCAACGTTGGGCCTGTCCACCTTTTGCACAATGTTCCAGACATCCGACCATTTTGGGGCGTGCGTGGACCAGCACCAGTTCTCGTACGCAAGCTTGAATCCATTCTCGGCCAGCATATCCGCCAACTCTCGAAGATCGGCTGCCACTCGGTCGGGATCGGTAGCGATGCCCTCGGAATCAGACGAGCCAACCTGGAGCATATCCGTCCCCACGGCCTCCATGATTCTTATCCATCCTCTTGCACGCGCAAAGGCGTCCTCGCGCTTCTTGCTGCCCTCGGGCCATCCTTCAAAGTTGGAGAAGGGTTGTAGGACGAAGATCTTGAGGTTGTGGCGCTCAACGAGCTGTCGAACTGCTTGCCCGGCTTCGCAGAGGGTGTCGTAGTCGTCGTCGGCAATGTCGCGACCGAAATGCAGGTTGGCGTAGGATTGGAGGTCGGGGAAGGAGAGCTCGATGCCTTCGAAGCCGGCGTGGCGGATGGCTTCGATCTTTTGGTGGAGTGTGTGTTTGGGAAGCCCAATGGAACAGGAGGCGAGAGCGAACGGCATTGTGCTTGCTGTGACTAGGCTTAGAACTCGGGGTTGACGTGAGGATGCTAATTGGAATATTGTAGGATTTTTTGTTGTTTTGTTGTTGGTTTTGGTTGTTTGGGTTGCTGTTGGTGTTCTTTGGTGGTGCTGGTGGACTGCTGCAGCGGGTACCTTGCTGGCCATCGATGATGTCAATGATTGTCACCCCAGGCGGTTCGTCCCACAATGACAGTTCGATTTGCCCCACATTAACGTTTCCCCCACAAGAGCGAGAACAGCAAGAAGAAGGAAGATTCTTGCATCAAACGAAGAGAGATTGAAACTGAGACATTGAAAGAAACACAAACGGTATACAGCCTTTCATCCAACAGCTTCACGCGACACAAATTCGTTTGACGCTTGCAAACGACACCGTCCCTGAACAACACTCCAGCACCATGGACCCCACACGAGACCCTAACCCCGGCATCATTGGACCAAAATGGACGTCAAAAAGGTAGGGATGCTCTCCAGACACTCGAATAATACGGCCCAGCTAAAGATCATGGCGCGTTCAGGTTGGCATAATCGGAACTGGAAGCATGGGCGGCATGATTTCGCTCCTGTTCGCCGAGCACGGCATTCACACGCACTACTACGACCCCTCCAAGCAGGACGTCGAAGCTCTCCAGTCCCACGCCAAAGTAAGCAAGCACGAGGTCGAGATCCCGTACCACGACGACCACAAGTCTCTCTGTGAGGTTCTGGAGGATGGTAATAATCCAAAGGTCTTTATGTTCAGCATTCCCCATGGCGGCCCCGCTGACGATAGCATCGATGCCCTCGAACCCTACCTCAAGCCAGGCGACATCATCCTGGACGCCTCCAACGAGCACTGAAAAGCCACTAAGAGATGACAGGCCCGCGTTGAACCAAAGGGGATCCATTGAATTGGCATGGGCGTCTCTGGGGGCTACCAGTCTGCTCGGCATGGTCCTTCTATCTCCCCTGGTGGCAGCAAGGAGGCCCTCGACAAGGTGTTCCCGTTCTCCAAAAGATCGCATGCAAAGACACAAAGAGACGGCCATGTGTAGCCAAGCTTGGTCCTGGCGGATGCAGAAATTACGTCAAGATGATTCACAACGGCATCGAGCACGGAATGATGACTGCCCTCTGTGAGGCCTGGGCTATCATGAACATCAGGTTGGGCATGAACTACGAGGAAATTGGTACTGTGTTTGAGAAGTGGAACGGTGATAAGCAGAAGCCGTTGAGGGACAAATTCTTGAGCAACATCTGTGCCGATATCTGTCGAACCAAGGATGAGAAGGGCAACTACGTACTCCCCAATGTACGTGACAAGGTCGTCCAAGTTGTGAACAACTCCAAGGGCACGGGGACGTGGTCGGTCCAGGAAGGCACCAGACTCCATGTGCCAGATCCAACCATTGCAGTGTTACTTGACATCTGCCCAGAGTCGCTTCGGCAGATGCGGCACGGAGACAGACGGTCAAGCAGGCCCTGGAAGGGAAGGGCGTAAAGCCGGCTCGAATCGACGATTTCGATAAGGACAAGTTCCATGAGGACCAGTCCAACGCCGCCTATGCCTCCTTCCTCATGTGTTCTATCCAGGGGCTGCACGTCCTCTCCAAGGCCAACGAAGAGAACGACTGGAAGCTCGACTTCGCCGATGTACTGCAACTTTGGCGCAAGGGATGCATCATCCAGAGTGATGGGATTGTCGATCTGCTCGAGACCGTGTATCGATCGAGGGAGCACGACAACGACGATCTCATTGGACACTAAATGATTGCTGGCGAGCTCCCAAAGACGTACCCGTCGCTCAAGAGGGTTGTACTGAAGGCTATCGAGTTTGATTTGCATCCTGGAGCGCTGGATACCAGTTTAGAGTACTACAAGTACTCGGGGTCGACTGAGCTACCCACCCAGTTCCAGGAGGCCGAGTTGGGCTACTTCGGAGCTCACATGTTCGACCAGAAAACGGCCCAGCCGGGTAAACCGGTAACGGGTAACCATCACTTTGAATGGAAGCCTGCGAGAGGAGTTCTCGAGACCGATGACTGAACATTGTGCGTTTTGGACTTTGAACTTGGAGAGGAACTGAGATGGGTTTGTCATGTTGTGTTTCCTCGATACTAATAGACCTAACAGATTTGAACACACTTACATCAACGGATCATCCTCCTTCCACCCCTTTATGCAATCCTGCCCACGCATAACGGCTGTTTCCTTTGCAATCCCCAAGCACACTCACCCAATATGAACAAGGCCATCGCTTAACAAGATCTAAATTGCCCACCACCAACTGCCTACCATCGCCAATGTTTTAGATGCAGCGAAGCGAAAGGCGTATTGACGTCAGGCATGGCCAGTGGGCGCCTTCATGAAACGTCGTCACCGGGGGTCGAGGTTGTTGATGTTTCGAAACATGTGGAGTTCGGTCCCGTGGTTCCGATCGCTGCCCAGGCCCTAGAAGTCGCTAGACGAGGAGGGCCACGTTCCGAAACCCATGATAGATGCCAAGAAGGTGACATTGGATCACCAAAACAACCCGGAGCTAACCTCGAGTACCACAACCGCAACCCGGTTGTGGAGTGCATGGAGGTTTTTCGCATAGTCCTCAATTTAACCCCTTAACGCCCATTGGTCCAATTAACCACGACCTCGAACCGCTTTGGGAAGGGCGGACGTCCATGTCCGCAACGGGAACCGGAACGTCCTCTACTGAACACATCTGGATTTGACAAGAACATCAAGCCTTCGCTCATCCAGGTCCCGGCATGGCTTGTAGACATCGTTGCTCCGGTTACCGGGCCGCTGTTTGTTGCGCCATGCAACGTTGATGCCAAATCCTGGGTTGGTGTCGCCGTCGAGGTGGGGGCTTCCCATCCTCCAATATCTCGGATGACCAGGTTTGTGATCGATGTGTATGTAAGTCCGTGTGGACGATGGTACGTTCGGGAACGGATCATGGTTCTTGGGTCCAAGTGCTATATATCTGGCTGGGACGCACCCTCTTAGGTCTTGTTCCTTTTGCTCTCCTCGCCTCCAGCCTCAAGTCCCAAGACGCCAGATTTTGGATCTACCTGCCAGCCCGGTCAACGCAGCTTTGACAATCCATTCCTTACTAGACACCACCTCGTACCAATAGCCCATCATGAAGCTCTCAGTCGCTGCCGCCCTCTCCCTCGCCGCCAGCGAGGCCTCGGCCCACTACATCTTCCAACAAGTCGGCGCCGGCACCTCCGTCAACCCGGTATGGCAGTACATCCGCAAGCACACCAACTACAACTCGCCCGTGACCGACTTGACCTCCAACGACCTTCGGTGCAACGTTGGCGCCAGCGCTTCCGGCGTCGAAACCCTCTCCGTTGCTGCCGGTTCCCAGGTCACCTTCAAGACCGACACGCCCGTCTACCACCAGGGTCCCACCTCCGTCTACCTCTCCAAGGCTCCCGGATCCCTTTCCAGCTATGATGGCTCGGGCGGTTGGTTCAAGATCAAGGACTGGGGTGCTACCTTCCCCGGTGGTGGCTGGACTTTGTCGGATACTTACACCTTCACGATCCCTTCGTGCATTCCCTCGGGTGATTATCTGCTGCGTATTCAGCAAATTGGTATCCACAAGTGAGTTGCATCATTCCTGTGCCGTGATCGAAAGAAGTAAAAGGACACAGAGCTAACGAATCCTTCATCTTAGCCCCTGGCCCGCAGGCATCCCCCAGTTCTACCTCTCCTGCGCTCACATATCCGTGACGGGCGGCGGTAGCGCCTCCCCCGCCACCGTCTCCATCCCCGGAGCCTTCAAGGACACCGACCCCGGTTACACCGTCAACGTAAGTCTCTTTCCCTCTCTCCCCCCCCTTTTCCAGATCACCAGGTCGCTCCTTCCCCAAACTTCCGGTCGGAGGGTATACAAGAAGGAGCGATGAAGGACGAGTGGGAAAGAACGAGTAGTCGAACTGCTCGGTGGTCCCTGCCCTCCGCTCCCACTCCTTCTTACAGCCCCTTACCCCTTTGTGCTTCCTCTTCCCCATTCTCTTCTCCACACCTACCTATCAAATACTAACCCCCCAAAAAAAGATCTACAACAACTTCAACAACTACACCGTCCCCGGCCCCGCCGAGTTTTCTTGCTCCGGCTCCGGCAACGGTGGTGGCTCTAACCCATCCCAGCCCACCACCCTCAAGACCTCGACCGTCATTGCCACCAGCACCAAGGCGGCTGCCACCACCACGGCCGCGGGCAGCCAGCCCACCAGCCCTTCCGGCTGCTCGGTGGCCAAGTGGGGACAGTGCGGCGGCATTGGATATAGCGGGTGCACTTCGTGCGCGAGCGGGTCGAGCTGCAAGGTCCAAAATGATTATTACTCGCAGTGTTTGTAAGGGGTTGGGTGAGGGCAAGAGGCTGATAGAGGAAGGTGGTACGGGTGTCATGGAGGAAGGTGAGGAGTTCAGACTTCGGAGAGGGGAAGGGGGGAGAAAGATACGGGGAAGGTGATTAAAGTTCTTGTGAATACTTTGTGGGCTTTCTTTCGGTCGATGGTTGATGATAGTCGACTGGATTGAAAGGGTCCGATATCTGTATATACTTCTTCATTTGGCCGTTGGTCGTTTGTTCAACTACCATTATTAGACAACAGTCTCGCATATCGTTGGAGTAGGGGTAAGGGGGGTTGATATAGCATCTTACCAAGTAGCGAGTCAAGATCGTATTCGCATCCAGGTTCATGTTGTCCATGAGTGAAGAGAAGGAGTGATTGAAGTAACTTGTTGCCTCTGGAAGGTTGGGAGCATGGGTACTGGGCAGAGTGGCCGTTAGCTAGTGTGTTGGAAAGAGTACATTGGGGTTTTACGCACAGGGGTTGCTTTTTACTAGTTTTAGCTTTCTGTTCGAGCAGAAGCTAGAGAGAGATCTTATGATTGAAGCTTTATGCAGCCGATGAAGAAGACTTAGGTAAGTATAATTAGTGGGCAGCAACTCAAAGCAGGTGAAAGAAGGGGTAAAAGTGATATATGATCAAGTTGGTAACAGTTGGTAACAGTGGAAGAAGTATTATACAGATGTCGTAAACATTGACATCTGCATTAAGGCCCCGATTTGGGGGAGTACAATGCATGCATCTATAACGCCCGATGCCCTTATTCGCCGTGACGCCGTGGCATCCTAAACGTCCATGATATCATCTTCCCTATAGACCATGGCTCCCTCCATGTCATCTTCTTTACCCATTCCCCCCTTTTCGTTTTCGTTTTTCTTTTCGATCAATTCCTCCTCTCTTCGACATGCTGAGTGGCGTGCTCCTGGTTGACGTCTTGCCGATCGCCTCCCTGGGGACTGGCATGCTGTTGTTGCTGGTTTTGCTCCTGTGGGGGCTGAACGGCGCCGGCGTCCATCTCAAAGCCGGGATAGTCCCCCGCAGGCAATTCCTGCGCGCCGAAGTGGTGGTCGGTGACGGGCAACTCTGAAACGGTACCTAGTCCCAAGCCGTTGTTCTGGTAGCCGTTGTAGCCGTTGTAGCCGTACTTTGGATCAAAGCCTTCTTGCTTAAGATTCGGAGACGCGTGCTGGCTATGGAGACCTGCCTTGGAAAGGGCGGGGGAAAGAGGACCATACTGGCTGCCGGGAGCAGTGACGCCACTCACGTAGGAGTCTGCATATTGAGAGACTGAGCATTAGCCAGTCTGATCAGTGGGATGGCGGGGAGGAATAGGGGATAGTAGACTCTTGGCTCTTACCTCGGATGTAGCCTGTGCTTGGGCTGCTCATGACCGACCGTCCGCTCTCATCGGCGTATCCGTATCCTTGTTGTCCTTGGTGTGGGTATGCTTGCTGGGTCATGGGAGTCATAGGGCTCATATGAGACATGGCTGCTCCGGGCACATCCGCCTCCTGCTTGTTTTCCTCCGCCTTCTTCTTCCTTGGGAACCATCCGCACTTCCACATGAGTCCGGCAACAATGACGAGGACTGCAATAACAGCGCCTACAGCGATGCCGGCAATAGCGCCAGTGGATAGTCCTCCGCTTCTGTCCAGGTCGTTTGTGCTGCTGTTGGGCTGGTTTGTGCTGCTGCTGGTGGGCTCGCTTGTGCTGCTGGCGCTGCTGCTGGGTTCGGTTTTGGTGCGGTTATAGCTGATACCAGAGCCGTTAGGGTTGAGTAGATAATCCCGTTTCGTCCACTCCCCCGGGAGGTTGTTCAGGACCGCCGGCCTTAATTTATCCTGGGGACAACCAGCGTTACAGGGGTTGGAAGCGCAACAACCCATAAATGGAGGCGAAGAACCATTGCATGTGTAGAATAATGCTTCTTGAATTGAGACGTCGCATCCTTGCGCCGGAAGAATGTCGTATTTTGCTATAGAGAAGGTAGCGGCTTCGAGTTGGTCGTCCGGGCAGACACCACTTCGTTCCTCGGTGCATGGATTGACGGTGCAGCAACCGAGAAACTCGTGCTTCTTCTCAGGACAGATGTAGAAGGCTCCACCTTTTGGGCACGAGAATCCCCAGTATGCGGTGAGTTGAGAGATTACCTCTGCACTGCTTGCCATGATGAGTTCAGTGGTATGATGGGAATAAGGAATGGGAGAGGGAGGAAATCTCGAGGATGGACGGAGAGAGGTTGACGATGAGAAGAGATGAAAGGGAGAGGTTCAGGAACCTGCACGTAGGCAATCCCAAAGCTTTTACATCAGATGATAGCTGACGGGATTCCAATGCCTGTAGAGGATGGGCCGGTAAGAACAATGGCTGGAAAACGAGTGCAGTCGATACTGGACCCGGACCCAAGACGGACCAGGATGGTGACCGTAGGGGCGGCCTTGATGGGCTGAAATCAACCTTACCCAAAGGAGTAACGACAAGTGAAGGAGGCTCCATCAAAGGATAAGCCAAAAGCCGACATGGAAAAGCTTGGCCCGAAGGCAGCATCATTTTGATTGGGTTCCATGGCGAGGAGAGGACAAGGAGATGTAGTGCCTCCAGTGTGTACTCCAACGTGCTAACAGTCCGCCCAGCGAGGCGAGGGGTTCATGGAAGTTGTGTCGTTCCCGCCCAGGGTCGAATGCAGACGACACTGTTGTCCTTCCACTTCTGCTGCGACCTGCATCGCTGCATCCACTCGGTGCTGGCATTGAAATGTGACGGGTTGACAGACGGCTTGTTGGCGGACGCCTGACGGGAAGAAGAAAAAGATGGCGATCCACCGGCGGGAGACCCAAGAGCGGGAAAGGCGGCCAGGCAATGAGCAGCCAAAGGACGAGACCGTTACAGTGGGATGAAGTTGAGTTGACCAGCAGGGGCATGTACTGTGGTGTGTACAACTGTCAGGTAATCATTTGACGGACGAGACGGGGTCAATGGCCTGGCCTGCCTGGCTTATGAATGACAAAGAACACGGCATTCCACGACAAAGACCAGACGTCCGAGCAACCTTCGACAACCGCTGGGTCGTCATTGTATCGGTGGCGGACTTTGAGGAAGAGCCCTCATTGAAAGCTTTGCGCATGTCGAGATGTAGTGGCTTTGGGCTGGACGACTGTGGGAGGGTCGGATTTGGTGAGGTCGAGGGATGTCGTTGAGATGAGTGGTGACTGGTGACACGACGATCATCACGATGTGTTTGTTTTGGAGAATGCGGAGAAAATAAGCCAAGATTGCCAGGGTTAAAGAACAAACACAAAAATAGAGGCCCCACCGGGAAGGCGGGGAGCGGGCTGTGTCAGTGCACTACAGGCTTGGCATCAGTTGGGGCCGCCCCGCCTCTCTACACTTCCTAAACACTTGATCCAGCTTCATGTTAGTGCACTGCACAGCGTCCGTTACTGCTCTGGCGCTATATCTTGTTAATCCCTAACAGCATATGTATAAGTCCTCACCAGCCTGACTCATTTCATGTTAACACCGCTGCAAGCCGCTGTATTTCCACTTCGAACAGTGGACGGAACATGATCGATGCGGGCCATGCCGACGGGAACTTTCCAGGTTGCTCTCATCCCGTCTGCGAACCCTTCATCCTTTCCAGCAACAACCACCCAATCTCGACAACCCTTGCCCAGGGGCAAACGTCCTCTCCCGGCCCAAACCAACATCCTCACTGCCATCAGCCATGTCATAAAACCAGACATCACTTTTTCGCACTTTTCGTGTGTCACAGGCAGGCAGTGCGACACAGCACCACCAGAAACAGTACACGATTCCGACCTCCTTTGCCTCCTCAAGCCTCTGGATCTTCAACACACTTGGGGGCCGGTGGCCACTTCGAAAACCCCGCCCAAGCTTGCAGTCCGAAGCCTCTGCCTCTCGGTCTCGTCAGTCTCTTGAGAAGAGGAGAATGGACGCGATGCTACCATGTTACCAACAAGACGATAGCCGCGCCTGCGCTTCTGCACCAACCGCAGCACCTCCCCCACCAAGAGCCCAAGACCTGCGAGGTATGTAACATGACATCCGTTCCCGTGCCATGATTCCCGCAACCTGTTGGCAGCAGAGTCGCAGTCGAAAGAGATGTGTCACTTTCGGTATTAATCTTCATTGCTACAAGGCTCAACTTACGGTCCATGGAAGTGACAACCAAGATATCTGCTCGGAGAAATTGGACGGCTATGTGCATGTTCACTGACACGGAGATCCCGTCCACTGAGGAAAGAGCCCGTCAGAAGCCTGCCAGAAGGCCACCAGTCACCACTAATGTGGCTGCGTTTCGACACCAAAACCCGGTCAATGAGGCCTGCAGCGTCAATCGTTCCTTTTCTCGTCACCACCACCACGTCTTTCACTTGCACGCCATGCTGCCGTTCGGGCGAGCCCCAACTCGGAATCTTTTCCTCGCAGCTTTGCCAGCTACGCCTTACCCCTAGCCGCTTCTGCTGATGTGAGAAATCGTCATCGACCTGCCAATTTTGGTCGGGTAAGCCGGACTGTGGGCGTTGCTGTTGCCGGCCATCACTTTCGTCCACGTCTCCATGCGTCGCCGTCCTTCATGGATCGTACTTCTGACCGCGGGTTAGGGTTCAAGGTGAGTGGTACCAGATCTGTTTGCTTGCTGATGCCGGACCTTGACAGGCTTATGTTCGCACACCGACGGGGATTTTTCCTTGTCGTTCTGGAATGTTGACCGTAGCGAGATTGAGAAGGGGTCAGCCTTCCCCAGTGTCATTTGCTCTTCCAGTTATCACCAACAAACATCGAGCTGAAAACTGACTTTTGTCTCACCGTCCATGATTGCCCACCACGACAACAACACGAACAAGGTTCTGACAGGCGTTCAAAGATGCAGCGAGTATTGCAGAGGAAGGCCACTGTTCCGAAAGGGTGCGGCAAGCACGACGGGCCGCACTCACATCGAAGACATGAACTCAGAGGAATGAAGGAATCAAATCCCGCAGTCTGGTGCCACATGCATGGCTACAAGAGTCCAAGATGATAAACCCGTAGAAACTGGTGATGATCAGAAGTGATAGAACTTGCATGCAAAGGATTCGATTTACACTATGATTGCTAACACTTATCGTGGTGCAGGCATACCTACGTCTACCTCTTCTGATGTAACTTTGGCCTCTGGAATGGGCCTATCCCTCCTCTTCAAGCAACCGGAAGATCCATGACGATGAACACATGGCTTTCCATCTTGATACTTGAAAGTCAACGCTTCTGGAACGCTCGAGTGCGGCGTAGACATCGTCAACAGTGTCGATGTTTGGCATGGATATCGTGGCTGAGATGATAGCAGAAAGCGAGACAGAGGGCCCGTTTGGTTCATCCAGCTGTTTTTTATGCGTGCTGATTTGGGGTACAAGGCGGAAATGCAGCTAGAGTTGGTACCGATCGAGGACGTGGGCTAAAAGACGCGTTGTTGTGACCGGGGTTATGATTGGTGCTGTTGGGGGAAACAGCAAAATGCACCTATCTTCATGCCCAAGGGCATGAAGATAACAAACAGCAGAATTGGCCTGCATAGGCCCACTAATTACTTTCTTGGGCCTTCCGAACCGCCTGCTTCAGCGCGATACTTCTTGACGCAGCCAAGCTGGGCTAAATGGGCAAATGACCCCCAAATTCCCAATGGTCACGATGGCCGCCCACCTCTATGGTTAAATAGTATCAGGCACCCGCCTGCCTCCATCTCGGCCGTCGTGTGACTGCTGACTACACTGCATATCTCCATCCACATTCTTCTCACTTTGTGAAATAGTCAAGACATAACTGCACTTTGATCTGCTTCCTTTTCTTTTCGTGCTCCCGATAGTCTGCCCTAGGTACCTACCTTACCCATCTCTGACAACCATGATGGGAGCCGCAGTTGAATCCGATGTACGGTCGATAGCGACAACGGCGACAGGCCCCTTGTCATGCCCTCCTTCACCACCACCAGCGGCAGAGAAGGACGAGTCGCAACAGTCTTCGATACCCGCTATGGCCATGACACCTTCCAGGATCCCTCGAAGCATGACCAGTGCCACCACTGCCTCAAAAGGTCCGGGCTGCCACTGGAGCCGCATCCAAGACATGGTCGGCAATACACCTCAGATCAAGATCGCAGGAACTGTGATCCCGAATACCGCAGATATCCGCTTGGGCTTGAAACCTGCGGATAATGTTGGCAAGCCATATCTGCCTGGGCAGCCGCGTGTATACCTTGACGGTTCCTCATCGGATCCCAACGATCATCCGGCAGAGTACCTGGAACGGTCTCACTTAACCAAGAAAACTGATCGCCTGCTGAAGTGGATGAAATACATATTCGTAAGCTTTCTCACCCGGTGTTCAGATCTGCGAGGATACCAACCCATATCCAGGTTCAAACCCCCTCCTACCGACACATCATGCCCCTCCACCACCAAGGCGCGCACGACCGAGAGATCAAGGTCGACGAGCATCCCTGCCTGCACCTGGTCTGGTACTACGAGCGGATCTTCATTAAGCCAGTCCCAGCCTACTTCTACTGCAAAGTCTTCTGGGAATACATCGCCGACGCCAACGAAGAGGTTTATAAGGCTTGCCTCGGCTTCATGCGAAGCTATTACTTCCTAATCAAATATGAGGTCGACTTCGAACTGGCCGTTGAGAAAAGACTGATCCCAAGAAAGACAGACGGCAAGCACCCCACATACGAAGAGTGGTGCGACTTCATCCGGCCCTTCAGTCTCGCTCGCGATGACCAGGTCTCCAAACGCTATGAGTTCGGCGAGCTGCGTCTCAGCCGGCTCAACATGGCCTCGTTCTTCTTCCGGGGGAAGCTGGCCTTTTTCCACATCTGGCCGCAGTGGGGATCCTTCCTTACCCACAGTCTGGCACCTCTGCTCACCATCTTTGCGATCTGCTCCGTCATCCTCAACTCCATGCAGGTCAGCCTGCAGGCGCTGGATACCGATTTCAAGGAGGGCGATAAGTGGCTCTCGCTCAAGAAGGCTTCGATATGGTTCCCTATTGGGGTGTCCCTACTGATTGCCGCGGTTATCTTCCTTGCCCTGTCGGGCGTCAGCGTCGTGGCGGTTTTAGATATCTGGACCGGCATTAAGACACGCAGGCTTAAGAAGGACAATAGATGGAAGGGCGGTGAAAAGACTCATGGCGTTATCTGGTAGTGTGCTGCCGGAGCACCGACCTCGGGGAACCCCATTTGTCGAATGCCTGAAAATGTCGCTAGGTCACACCACATGGAAAGCGAAAAGGGGCTTCGTCGATGCCAGGCCGATAGTTCCGGTGTCTTTTGACGAAGAACAGGTCCAAAACTCGACCCATATTATCTTCTGCGGCAACTGTGCCCTTTGGTTGCGACGAGTCGTAAAAAGCATCCTTAAAGCGGGTTTGAGCGGCCTTGAGGAATGCGTCTGGTGCGAATGCTTCGTTTACGACCAGTGGCAGCTCGACCGATAATTTTCCTCGCTTCCTTCGTGTCTCGGCCTCGTAACGGACATGATGCGCCGACGAGATAGCCAACATGTCTTTGCTTCATTCGAGCCTCTTTGCCAACTATTATTCGGTACGGCGAGTCTGGAGGATGGAATCCCATGGCCAGAAGGAGGGAATACCTATAATGTGGTCATATCAGGATGCCGACTGGCCATTGACGGTGGATTTAAGGTGCGTCTCGGGTCGCGCCGCCGTCAAAGCACGTGGCGGAGAGTCAGGGCTTATCGGACGATGGCGATGTATTTTTAATGTATTTAATTGTATGATTGACGAGATGAATGAACGATTTATGCTACCGATTCGTCCGCACGATGCCAGGCTGTTCGGTCGCCGGAGACGGTAACTATGGGACCAGCAATTGGAAGCGTCAGCGAAATCATTGCTCGGAAACCTCGTGAACTTGCAAAATGGCCACGACGACGGGGAAGCAGCTTCCTACTACAACTCAGTTGGCTAGCACGAAAGCAGTCAATATAAGCTGTGGTTTCTCTCCTACATGTAGGTACTCGGTTTCCTACAGCTCGGTGGGGTAGAGGAGAAAGCCGCAGCGGTTGACCAGAATTGCACTCAATCTTGTGATACTTAGCTGGTACCCTGTGCTGGCTCGTGGGCGAAAAATCTCCGTTCCGTGCGATTGTTGACTTCAAACAGCCCGCAAAGTTTCCTTTGGTTTGAGTGCTTTGAGGAAGGAGAGGAAGGAGCTGAAGGGGAATTTCAGATTTGTCAACAGAGGTACGTCAGTTGGTGGAGCTTGGCCTGCCGGAACCCGAGCTGTAGTGGGGTTGCACCAAGCCGGGCCCGTGCTCGGGGCCGTGTTCTGGGCCGGCGCGGGAGTTGTTCTTTCCTCAGTTCTCGAACCGTGGGACATTCCAATGATCCATCCCGTGCTGGCGGGTTGGAATTGAGCCTCAATATTGTCCAACATCTCTCTCGTGTCCCCAGGAAATGTGGTCATCTAAACTTCATTCTTCCATTCCAAGTTCTTGGATGCCGCGTACACACAGCCACCCGTGCTCGATGAACTGCCTGCACCAACCCATACTACAACGTTCCACGACCGCAATTGTCTCATATAATTCTCGTCTTCATCACCGACGACGTGGGAATAACAACAACATGGCCCGGGGCCCTGTCCACGTAGATAGGCCAAGTCGGCGGCCGGCAGGTCAAGGTCGCTAGGCCCTGTCGGGAAGTCTATGCCCGAAGTTCCCCGCTTCGGATCGGCACTCTGGATCTCGAGTCAAATCCCCGGCGTCAATGGCGACACCGCTCCACCATCTTTCACATCTCCGGAGCGCAGCACCACCACCTTCCTGAAGGAGCATTTCGGCCTGCCTCATCTATCGATTCTGTTGGGAGCCTTCGGGAGGCAAACACTGGAGCAGTAAGCAGCAACTACAGTGTCACAGCGTCGAACGGCGCAGACTCATCGCCATCCACAGCATCCACCACCACAACCAACCGCCCGCCCCGGCTTACGGCGCAGCTTACCGCGTTTTTGTAACTCGTCATTCGCTCGCCATCGCGCTCGTTTTCACGGTCATTACACGGCTTTGTAGCTGGACGGAAGGTACGGACCTCCACGCACGATACGCGCGGGCCGATACTGGTCCAGGTCCATCGACTTCTTCAATCTAGACCCCAAAGAGGAAGGTGTACCATTCACTGGACCCTTGCTAATCGCCTTGCTTTTCAGGTGTTGTTCAGTGACCATCAAAATTTCCCATTATTTATTCCAGGTAAGTAGCCCTTCCTCAAAGGTTATTCTCTTCTTTCGTCCACACTCGTCGTCGTCGTTTTGGATTCTTCAAAATGATGGGACTTGGACGTCTGCTGGCCGCCACGGCCTGCGTTGCGCAACTAGCCTCTGCTTTTGCGCCCCTGTCAGTCAGGAATCTTCGCTTGTCGGTACGTGCTTCTCGTCACTTCCATCGCTATATACAAGTTTGAGACTAACAAGCCCCTCAGTCGGAGAGCGATCTTGCGCTGGAGCCGGAGGGTGATTTCACCATCCAGGAGAGCACCGACCCCACGCTGCTTTACCCTGCCCGGACCATCAAGGTGCCCGTTGACCACTTCCACAATGACACCAAGTACGAGCCGCATACAAACGACACCTTCGACCTTCGCTACTGGTTCGACGCGACCTACTATAAGAAGGGGGGTCCCGTCATTGTCATAGCTGCCGGTGAGACAAGCGGTGTCGGACGTCTCCCGTTCCTCCAAAAGGGCATTGCGTACCAGCTCGCCAAGGCAACTGGTGGTGTCGGCGTCATCCTTGAGCATCGCTACTATGGAAAGAGTCTGCCGACTTCCGACTTCAGCACCAAGAACCTGCGCTTCCTCACCACCGATCAGGCGCTCGCTGATACCGTCTACTTTGCCAAGAACGTCAAGTTTGCGGGTCTTGAGCACCTGGATCTGACTGCACCCAACACCCCCTACATCGCCTACGGAGGATCCTATGCTGGTGCCTTCGTCGCCTTCCTGCGCAAGCTGTACCCCGATGTTTACTGGGGAGCCATCTCCTCATCCGGTGTCACTGAGGCCATCTATGACTACTGGCAATACTACGAGGCCGCCCGGATCTACGGCCCCAAGGACTGCGTGACTGCTACCCAAAAGCTCACCCACGTTGTCGACAACATCATCCTCAACAAGGCCAACGCCAAATACGTGCAGAAGCTCAAGGATGCATTCGGTCTCGGTAACCTCACCCACACCGACGACTTTGCCAACGCTATCAGCTACGGTATCGCAGGACTCCAAAACACCAACTGGGATCCCGCCTTGAACGACACCTCATACGGAGAGTACTGCAACAATGTTAGCTCCAATGCGCTGCTGTACCCCGAGACTGCTCGCCTTAAGAAGGACGTCCAGGAGCTCTTGACTGTTGGCGGATACGGCAAGGAATCCAAGACGCTCACCAATCAGTTTTTGAACTACATCGGCTATGTCAACGTCACCCAAGTACAGTCGTGCGATGAGGCCGACCAGAACGCCTGCTTTACCTCCTATGACAGCGAATTCTACAAGAAGGACGATCTTAAGCAGACGTGGCGCTTGTGGATGTACCAAGTTTGCGACCAGTAAGTTGCACATTTCTTCGGCATTTCTCCGAATCAAACTAACATATCATTCACAGATGGGGTTACCTCCAAACCGGCTCCGGTGTTCCACGGAACCAGCTCCCGCTGATCTCCCGCGCCATCGACCTGAACTACACCTCCATCGCCTGCCGCGAGGCCTTCAACATCAACAAGCCCTCGGACGTCGAGTCCATCAACAAGTACGGCGGCTTCAACATCAGCTATCCGCGGCTGGCCATCATCGACGGCGAGAAGGACCCCTGGCGCGCGGCCACCCCGCACGCCATCGGCCTCAAGGACCGCAAGAGCACCATCAGCGAGCCCTTCATCCTGATCAAGGACGGCGTGCACCACTGGGACGAGAACGGCGTGTTCCCTAACGAGACTGCGCCCAACTTCCCCCCTAAGCCGATCGAGGAGACGCAGAGGGCCGAAAAGAACTTTGTGCAGGCTTGGCTTGAGGATTTTAAGAAGGACAAGAGTGGAAGTACGAAGCCTTGAGAGAGGCCCGCGTATCGAGGGTTTCGCATGCTGTGTGTGGATTGTGATGGGGTGTGTTACTAACTTTCTGCCAGGTGCCAGCGGCGTCCATGATGAACAGCGGGTTTTGGGAGATTTGTGAAGGGGAGGCATGTTAGCAGGATCATTTAGCGAGCGAGCATGTTTATTTTGGAACAAAGCGTCTGGATAGCATGGAGAGGAGAGATGCTTGGATACACCCCGTGCACAAGCACAAGCATATGCACATGTATGTTGATATGCAGTTCAATGTACTTCTTTGCATTCTTTGTTACAGTCTTTTCCGTTGTACCAACAATTCAGAGAACGGGAGGGGCTCCGAGAAGTGATACCAAGAAGGAAAAATCGGACCATTAATGGTGAACCGTGGTTGGTACAAGTTGATCGAAAAGAGAAGGAACGTCTCGCAGTCTGGAATGGAATAAGGACGACAAGGACTTGGGTAGAAGGTGGGTGATAACTTTTATATTGGCCCAGTGGTCTGTGTCACCTCCCAATCTGCAAGCACTTTACGCGACACTCCCTCCTTCCCTGTTCTTCCCCGTCACCCCCACGGACCTTCGATATCGTTATGGACTTTTAGCCGGTCAATACTAGGGAACCACCCCCAGTTCCCAAGCAAACGCTCCTCCTCCTCCTCCTCTCTCCTCGCACCATGAATCAATGGATTTCCTCGCGCTCGCCGAGAGGCCGGCGCTATGGATTGCGGTACTTTCTCTCCTGCTGGCATCAGTCTACCTCTTTCGCCTGAACCAAGTCCTCAGCGGAACGCCAGACGAAGTCCAAAAGCTTGCACCCCAAAGATGGAAGCGAACAGACCTCCTCGAGACCTACGAACGGCTAAAGAAGCGGCCCTTCACAACCGAGAACTACGCCCAGCAGATCCCGCCGAAGCTAGAAAGACGATACATCATCACCGGCGGCTCAGGTAAGTAGTCCTCCTTCTCGACCGACAATCAGTCAGCTCCAATCGGAGACGGAATCTGCTGAAGCACGCAACCTATGCCATTCTTGTACGCATACAGGCATCGTAGGCGGCTATCTCGTCCTCCAGCTCCTCCAGCGCGGCCAATTGCCCTCTAGCATCCGAATCGTTGACTTCAAGCCCCTTTCTCGACATGACATGCTCGAGTCATCGTCCGCGCGTGACTGCGACTTTGTCCAAACCGACATCTCTTCCGCCTCGTCGACCGAGCAAGCCTTTGCCAAGCCGTGGCCTTCTTCAGTTGCCCATCTTCCGCTGACTGTTTTCCACACCGCGGCTGTCATCGTCCCTTCGGACCGCTCGAAGCTCGAATACGCCTTTTGCGAGGCAGTCAACGTGCGCGGGACGCAAAACGTGGTTGAGGCTGCGCGGCGGGCAGGGGCGGACGTCTTTGTGTCGACCACGTCGGCTAGTATAAGCATTCGGCCGGTGGAATTCTGGGTGGCGGCGTGGAAGCTGTTGTTCTGGTTTCAGTCGTCGACGTCGAGGACGTGGCCGCGCTATTTCTGGCAGGTGCTGGACGAAGCGGACTTTGACAAGCCGTTGCGAAGACATGAGGAGTTCTATGCCAATTACCCAGCTTCCAAGGCGGCAGCGGAGCGGATCGTCTGTGGCGCGAACTCGAAGGGGTTCCGGACGGGATGTATACGGCCGGCGAATGGAGTGTACGGGAATCCGACGTCCAATACCGTGGGCGGACCGCTGAATATGGGTGTCTGTCCGACGTAAGTCGTTGTATGTCCCTTACCTGGTTCCTACACAGGGGGCTGACTTCTCGTCCCCGTTTCGCAGTTGGACCACCCACATAGTCCAATCCTTCGTCCATGGCATCAACGTTGCCATCGCCCACCTCCACTTCGAAGCCATCCTCGCTTCGTCTCCGGATAGCCATCTCGCACCACAAGCCGGTCGCCCCTTTGTGGTTACCGATCCGAACCCGCCGATAACTTACGGTGACCTGTACTTTGCCCTTGAAATCTTGGCCGTGACTCCCTTCCGGACGATTTCCCTGCCCCCGCTGCCTTTGCTGCTTGCGTCCTACCCAATCGAATGGTACAGCCTCCTACTTGCAAAATATCGTTTCTTGCGCAGGGTCTTGCCACCGCTAAAAGGTGACGTGAAGCACCTGAAACCTGGCTTGTTCTCGATTTGTACGCACTTGGTAGCTACGAACGACAGCGCTAGTCGGCCGGTCGAGGACGGTGGACTGGGGTATAGAGGTGTGTTGACCACCATGGAAGGTATGGTGCAGGAGGTGATGGAGTGGAATGGGTGGCATCGCAAGGTATAAAGCCAGTCCATTAATTATCAAGTGTTGAAATTGAAGAAAAAAAATCTTCTCAGTCATTATCATCCTCTCCTCACCCCTTTGTGCTTCTGTAGCATCAACCACAGCAAACAGTAGCATCCTCCACGCCCTGCTGCCTCGGAACCTCGTCCGTAAACCCATCCATATCCATCTCCTCCTCCTCATCCCCGCCAGGAATCTCAAACTTGACCGTCAACCAATCGCACAAAAACTTGCCAATCAGCGCCCCGATCAAGATGCTAATAATCACATAGCCATTGTAGTACATGGCCAACAACATGACCAGATACCCCAGTCCAAACATGACGGCGTGAATCACGGCTCTGATCAACTGCTGCAGCGGACTGGCGCGGAATTTCAGGGTGGTCGTTGTCGTCTTCGTGCCCATGTATCCCCTCCTTTCCACGACCGACGTCTTCGTCAAGAGCCCAGTCTTTGACGCATCCGCAGTACCACATGATGATGAAGCCTGCCGTTGTTGTTGTTGCTGCTGACGCAATCGTCGCTGTTGTTCTCGAATAAGCGCCGACCGCCTTCGAAAGTCACGGACGATCCACTCGTCGTATTCTTTGCCCAAACGCCGAAGGAACTCGAGCAAGACGACCATCAGCATGATGCCGATGCAGGTGGCGGCGAAGGCGCCGCGCGTGGTGATTTGCCAGGAGGGGTGGATGAAGCAGGCGTCGATTGTGTACCAGTTCCAGAGCATCTGTTTGGAATTTGTTAGTAAGGTACGCTGTGAGGGGGAGTGGGGATAGGGTGAGAATAGCGGGATTGGTAGTTCACGTGTAAGAAAGGGTGGTGCACGCGGACTGGAGTAAATGCTATGGAAAAAAGGGGGAAAAGGGGGGAAAGGGGTAACATGCAGAAATCTTGCACGCCGGTCCGTCCATGTCCCCGTGGCCCATGTCCATTCTGGGAAGGAGGAGGGTTGAACTGTGTTGCGCCATGGTTGGCGATGTGTATAAGATGGAAAGAGTAAGTAAGGGGTGAAGAGTCCGGTCGGTTTGGTGGTTGTAGGTCGTGAGCTCGTGAGCTCGTGAGCTACGGGTGGAAGCTTTGGTGGTGGTGGTAATAATTTTGTGAAGTAGCGGCCGCCGGAAGACGTTGGCGACGATATCAAGACTGCGCGTGTGTCGGTAGATGATGATGATGAGCGTGAGAAGGAGACGAGGTTGTTCCTCTTTTAGCTCCGCCGTTGAGCTCGTTTTTTGACGACTAATGAATGACCTCGTCGATATCCTTAGTCTATGACCCGTGGGACCAAGTGGTGCGACTGAGAAGGTTTTCGAGTAGAGGTATCTAACCCCAGCCGGCGAACAGACGATGGATGGATGGTATGACAGGGACCCACCCCCAAGAACGGTTTCGATCGGCTCTTCAGGCTCCCCTTACCCAGCAGCTGCTAGTTGGGAGTGATGCTGGATTCAAGCCGACGACGGCAATGGTTCCATCCGTAAGGCTAGGTAGCGTGCAGAAGAGTCAGGAGATGAGGGAGAAAGAGTGAAAAAGAGGGAGAAAAGGGTCAAGGTGCATGAGAGAGCAGGTATGAGTGGAATATCGGAAGAGAACCTTCTTGTCCACGTTTCCACGTTGTTCAAGGTTTGGTGATGTTTCTCTCCGCCCGGTCCTGGGAGAGGGTCATCGTCGGTACGTAGCTCTCCGTACTATGTACATTTCGTCAATATCATCAAATCGGGGGCGGCTGAAGCATCACGATCCCGGCAGAGTGGCCGTGTGTCGTTCGCCTAGACGGAAGCTCGTCTCGCCTCCATCCCTTCATGTTCAGGGGGGTTGAAGCTCCGAGTCCCTGGGACCTGGATTGAATTATCCAATGAGAATCGGGGCATTCCCATTTGCACGCGCCGCACCCTGCCGCCAAGACTGCACAGGTGGTTGAGTCCAGGAATGGTTGCAGAAAAACGTGCTCAAAGATGCTCAACCTCCGCAGCTGTGTCCAGACTCCAGCGTCATCTTATCTCGACACCGGTCCCGTTTCAATTTCTTCGTGTTCATCGACTTGGCATTTCGAGATGCTGTGCGAGGAGGAAGAGAATGTACTCAAATCCTCTCAATGGCATGACTGAGAAGGAATGAGAGGAAAACGAGGGAGAATCTGCGGTGGCATGATATACAGCAGAGCTGGGCGAGATGGAAAACATGCTTACCAAAAAAAAAAAAAAAAAAAAAAGGGGGGGGGGGGGGGGGGGGGGGGCGACAACACCACTGCAGGCAGCGGGAAAGCGGGAGGCGGGTTTCGGCTCCCGGAACACTGTTGTTGAAGATGAGACATCTGATTGCGACAGCACCGCAGAAAACGAACACCGTTGCAATGGAAACATGGAAACTTGCTCAACTTTCTCGGCGCTCGCTTCACACTCGCTGTACCAACTACCAGTTCCAGCGCAACCCCCACTGGAGTGGGCGAACCCCTGGCAATATGAAATCAGCTCAAACGCAACCAGGCTCCGTTTCGTTTCCTTTTCGAGATTCCAGATCACGAGTTTGTTCAAGATCGATAGGGACTGGCGAGTGGTTTTGACCTTTTTGATCTTCCGGCCGGTTGTCCTCCGAGGGTTTTGTTTTCTTGAACAATAAACTTGTTGTCATATCCATTCCCCTTTTCGCCTTGACATTGATTGACAACAAGCAACGGCTGGGACTCAAGATTACCGAAATCACATCCGGTCTGTCTAACCATCACCACCACCATTACATCAATAACCCGGCAAACACTTGTCGATCACAAACCACCGGGCAATGGAACAACAATAACAACTTCACCAACAACCACCAACTACCACACTTAACGCACCTACATAAACCCCCAACTCTAATTCCCCGGCTTACCCGGCGTCCAACGGCCAACGGCCACCCTCTCCATCCACCATGACACCACCAAGTCAATCCCAACTTTCCGCAAGAATGATCCAAAACTTCACCGGCGAATCCAACCTCGAGCCGCACTGGGGCTACGCCTACCGCGTGGTCCCTTGCCAAAACGACGCCGGCTCGTGCGCCTACCTGGACGTCGTGTACTCTGCCCACGACCGGGGGATGCTTTACACCGGTATTCTCTGGGCAACCATATTGGGAATCTTGCTTGTTTGGGGAGTCGTCAGGCGGTTATCGATGGGCAGTGATGGGGGGAGTAGATACGAAATGCCTTGTGAGCAGGAGAATTTGTTGACGGGGGAGGTGGTTACCAAGCCTCGCTCGGTGGGGAGACTTACCAGGGCGATGAGGGCGGTGGGCGCCACGGGACGGAGATATCTCCTCTCAAGCAAAGGAATGAAGTCGGTATTCGGCCAAGTCACCCGCCTCCAAGTCCTCATCCTTTTGGTCCTAATCGGCTACCTAACCATCTGGTCCTTCGTCGGCATCGTCTACGCCAAATGGATCACGCCCATCAAGGGCCAACCCGCCCACATCAAAAACACGCGCACCTCGCTCGGCCCATGGGCCGACCGCGTCGGCGTACTGGCCTACGCCCTCACCCCGCTGTCCATCCTGCTCGCCAGCCGGGAATCGATCTTATCCCTGATCACGGGCGTCCCCTACACCAGCTTCATGTTCCTCCACCGCTGGACGGGCCACATCATTCTCGTGCAGTCGATCCTGCACACCATCGGCTGGGTCATCGTCGAGGCGCGCCTGTACCGCCCGCAGCCGAGCGTGTGGAACGCCTTTATCGTGCAGTCGTACGCCCGCTGGGGCGTGGTGGCCCTGGTGCTGCTCGTGCTGTTGTGGGTGGGCACGCTTCAGTGGACCATCCGCCGCACGGGGTATGAATTCTTCCGCAAGGCGCACTACGTCCTGGCCATGGTGTACATTGGCGCCGTGATTGGGCATTGGAAGCAGTTGCAGTGTTTTCTGGTGCCCGGGCTGGTGCTGTGGTTTGTGGATCGCGGTGCTAGATTGGTTAGGACGGCGTTGCTGCATTACGGGTATATCCCCAGCCAGGGCAAGGTGGGGTTCGCGGCGGCGCAGGCGGAGATGAAGTTGCGGAGGGACGAGAAGCATGGGGATGTCGTGCGGTTGGACTTTGAGCACCCGCAGAGGGCGTGGAAGGTTGGGCAGCATTTTTTCTTGTGCTTCACCGAGGGAAGCATTTGGCAGAGTCACCCGTTTACGCCGCTGTCGTGGCCGGTGGAAAATGGGAAGGGTACGGTCAGGCACTCGTATATCTTGAGGGCCAAGGGCGGAGAGACGAAGAAGTTGGCCAAGATTGTGCGGGATAAACTTGGTGCGCTGTCGGAGAAGGCAATCGTCCCCACGACCCCGGTCATCCTCCAGGGCCCCTATGGCGAGAGCATTGCGGAGGGCGTGACGCCCGACGTCAACGTTCTCTGCGTTGCCGGCGGAACTGGTATCACTTATGTACTTCCCCTCCTGATCGATCTGCTCCGGGACAGACACATGAACCACGGAAGGAAGGTCGAGCTGGTCTGGGCCATCAAGAGAAGCGAAGACGTCGAGTGGGTTGAGCCCGAGATGGAGGAGTTGCGCAGACTCGGCGCTGCTCATGGTCTGACCATTCGTATTTTCGTCACAGATGATGATGCCGCAAAGGCGGCCCCATCGGCCACTTGCTGCGGTGGAGAGTCGTCACAGGAGGATGATGACGACATCAAGAGAGCGCCGAGGATGTCTGCCCGAAGAGACAGCTCCACGGCGAGAGGAAGGCCGGATGTCACGGCTGTGGTCAAGCATTTCGTCGAAGGTGTTGCTCAAGGCTCAACACGGGTGTTTGGTAGTGGGCCGCCTGGCATGATTGGCGAGCTGAGGAGTGTTGTCGCTGACTGCAACTCTGGCTCGAAGGTCTGGATGGGCGAGGACCGCTTCGATGTGCGGCTCGTGTGTGACGATCGGTTAGAGTGGTAGTTTCCCTGCTGTTAATGATGAGATACCGCCTTTTATGTTTAGTTACCTATAATGTCAAATCATGAACAAACGACGAACTCAGAACCAGATGCGCCTGAATCCCATGCTCATGAAAACTGTACCATGTCTTGTGTCTCGCTGAGAAGACCTAGACAAGGCTTCACTTATCATGTTTTAGTGATTCTGATGTCTTTAGCAAGACATGTAACGCACGTTGAAGACAATATAATACTTGGAGAAAGTAAACCGGATGGGTTTGTGCCCAGAGTATTCGTCGTCACACTTGCCGGACGCTTACTACCAAGATAAGGTAGGGATCCAAACCCTTTCGCCGTTCGACCTGGGGACCAGATGGCCACAATCATATGGAAAATGTACAAGAGAATAGGAGTAATAATTTACGCATTACTCAAAGTGCCTCTTTACACTTCTTGTTCAAGAACAGGGGAGATATTGGTGAGTGTCTCCTACCATTGTTAACAAAGGAAACGAGAAATGTGGGTCCGCTGCAGTGTTGGGTCGGGGAACATCAGATCATGGACTCAGATGCCCCTGATCTCAGGCACACAACATCGCTGGAGCAGATGTGAACCGAAAAACCTGTCGAGATGGTAGCTCGGAAACAAGCTTGGAACTTGCAGCAAGAGTTATAATAGTCAAAGCCAAGATAATGCTGCCAATCTGCGAGGAACCTGGGCGCAATATGAGGAAGTGAAGTTGGCCTTTTGTAATGGGCAGGACGAGGGATGACGGGAGGGATGGGAATTTCACATGCCATTTTGTAGGCGCGTGTTTTTACTGGATTTCCAACTGATCTCCAGTGGTCCCACAGCGACCCATGGAACAATCTGCGGGGAAGCCCCCAAAAAGTTCCACCGAAACCGACATGTGCCGTCGTCATTCCCGTCCCACCTGCCCGTGGATCTGCCCCCGTGTGCCGCGGCGCCGTCGCATGTCAACCCAAATCTCGTCTACACTCCGAGTCCCGTCTACCCTACACCGTGACCTCGAATTGCTCCCGTTTTCATTCTCCAAATCCCACCCGTTCCTGAAATCCGACCTTTTTGTTCTCTTTTTTCGATATCCACTCACGCCCCATTCCCATTTTGTCGCCCAATGAGCTAGAATACAACCGACACTTGCCAGCGCGCAGCCCATTTCGTCATCCTTCCAGTTTCCCAGCAACCCCATTTGAGCCGAGGCATAATGTCCAGCACCGCTCTCGAGAGCCTCAAGGTGCGGCCACAACAACGCCCTTTGCGAAAAGGCACCCCGAACCCGAACGCGCGAATATTGACACAATTGCGCGACAGGCTTCCGTCGAACAAATAATCCTCGACCCCAAGTATCGCGACGTTCTTGCCATTGTCAAGGGCGCTCGCAATGGCGCCGTCTACGGAGCCAAGGTGCGGTTTCCGCACGCGCTGGTGTACGCCCTCATTCTGAACCCATCACTTTAACGCCCAACAAGACTGACCCGATAATGCGACAGCATGATGCTCCTATTTCGATCTGGGACGTGAGTTTATAGCCCCCCTTTACCCCTTTCCCGCCTCCACATGGACACCCAGCTAACTATGTCTACCATTGCGCCAGTCTCCAAGAAAAAGCGAAACTCGTCTTCCGGGCGACGAAAACCCACGCTACGAATCTGGCAAAGTTCGCGACCATATACAAGACCGTCTGCTATCTTCTAAAACATTACGGGACAACACCAGGCAAGGAAGGCAAGCGGATACCCATACCCCCCTTTGCGACGGCGCAAAAAGTCAAGCGCATACCCGAGAGAGGACGTAAGCTTACCGATTCCCCTTTGGGATAAACTATAGGTCCATACGATAGCTTCTTCGCCGGCCTCCTCGGAGGCTACGTCGTATTCGGCCAGCGATCGCGAAAGGGCAAAATCTCGAGCGTCAACCAGCAAATCGTCGTCTACGTCTTTGCGCGGGTGGTGCTGGCACTAGCGCGCCTGGCCGTCAAGCCCGGCTATGGATTGCCCGGCGTGTCCGAGCCCAACAATAGCACCGCCATCAGTCACTATGCTTGGCCGGTCTTCGCTGCTGTGTCATGGGCCAGTGTCATGCACCTGTTTAGGTGGCATGATGCTGAGCTGCAACCTAGCTTGCGCAGCAGTATGGTGTACATTTATAGAGATGCCGATACATGGGATGGGTTGCGCAACTTCCTCTGGCATAACAAATAAGCGCGGCTCCGAAGCAGGGGACATCATTTGGGATATCACAGCGGGTTAGTTATTGCATTTCTTCTTATATATACCAAACGGCCCACATATTGCTGGCTGTTTTCCATTTCCTACATGTTATCAGGATCTGACTGTCAACGAAGAGGCCAAAATGGTCATTGTACCTTATCTAGGGAGTCATTTGGATTACTACATGGACCTAGCGCTTGGAAAAGGGACCGAGAAGGCTTTCATATTTGGCCATGCAAGTGACCATGCCAATGCATCTTTAATCGACTTGGCGATCATGCGGATCTCCTGTCTCTCGTCTACGATTGCAGTATGCACACATCCCCACAGCCCCTACGCATCATTACCGTAGAGGTAGGTATATACGGGTTGCATGATCTCATGATCAAGAAAAAGGAGAAAAAAAACAACACCAGTTCATGAATGGTGCCCAAGATAACGATAGGAAGTAGAAAGAAAATGAAAAGATGTCATGAAAAGAAAAAACAGCATGTTCAAAAAATATAAAGAAAGAAATCTAGAGGAGGAATCGAATTCCCAACGTCCATGCGGGACGGCCCTATATACAATCTACTGCTGGTTTGTTTGTTACCTTGGTACTCCTAGTATTTTGGACGAGATGTATTCCGAGTTGTCCCAAACCTTATAAGGACGCATTGAAATGATTAGGTACGGATAGGTACGGATGGGATATGTTTAAAGATTGATCGAAAATATATTGATATAATTTAACGTCACATACCTATTCAGCATCGCATTTGACATATTCAAGATGGATCAGGCGTTGATCATGGAACGAAACGCATCAATAGATATGAAAACGCCTAGGGAAGTAGACATGAGGTCTCGAGCTAACAAACAAACTAGTACCTCTATTGGACTGTACGTCTAGGAGCTCTAGGTAAATGCATCGGATGTTACTGCCGGCGTGGCCAGCACACCGTCATACTCCTCCTCCTGCAAGTATCGGATCACAGGCCAACACCTATGCGCCAGTCATCCCGTCACTCCTCCATCCCATTCCCCCAACCAGCATCATCGGATGCTACTCGTCATTCCACTTGTCACGTCTCCAACTGCCGTGCCTCGGTCGCGAAGCGAACCTCGGTGGGAGAGACTAGCAGTCGATGGTCCCGGACTAAGCTTCTCGTTCTTCCGCTTCCTCCTCCTCTTGTTGATGCTATCGATAGCCATGAACACCGGAATAGTAGGCGAAAAGATCACGACCACGCTCCACCCGAACGCCCGAGACCGCACAATCTTTCGTCCGACATCCTTCGCAAACTGCCGCTTCCGCTCAGCCGTAGGCTTCACATGGTGCTCAGCGCCGTCGCCGTCGTCGTCGTCGCCCTGCGTGCCACTGCCGCCAGCAAACGCAGCACTGTAGTCGGTCATCCATCCGTCCCATCGAAAGCCGTGCGACGGCGACGGCCGATGCCAATACGGGATCCTCAGCCACTGATCCTTCTCGCCGCTGCAATCGCGCACCTCGACCTTCCATCCGTAGCCGCGCATCTCCTCCATCAACACCTCGCACGACTTGCTGATCTCCCGGATCGGCCCGTCGTAGTGGATGTTCACGACAATACCCCTGAGGCGCTTGAACTCCTCCCGAAACGCTGCATCCATGCTGCCGAGCAAGATCTCCCTATCATATGGCCGGACCCCCTTCCAAAAGGAATGCCCCGGGCCGGACCAACTGAGATCGAACTCGATGACCTCGATATTCGGACACCTTCGCCACAGACTCGGCAGTGCACCGGGCACCACGTTGGCGCGAAGGACCAAAGTGTCGAGCTTGGCCGGAGAGAGTCCCAGGGGGCCGTCGAAGGACCGACGCGGCCAGTCCAGATATCGCTGGCCCCCCGAGTCGAGCGGGAACGGGATGCACAGGTGGCGGAGACAGGCTAAGTTGCGCGGCCCGATCCTGTCGATGAAGCCGCGCATGACATAGTTGGACTGGAGCTGGGCGTCCGGGAACCGACACAGGGAAGGCGGGGCGCGGAACTGGTTGTGCGAGTAGAAGACGGCGGTGGCCTCTAGGTGGATTTGCTTGCAGATGAGAAAGACGGTGAGCAAGCGGGAGGAGAGCGGCCAGCGCTTTCGCTCCGAGGCGTTGTCGAGGTGCACCCTAACCACGCCATCACCCTTAGTAGACTTGTTGTTGCCGTCGTGCTCTTCGTGCCACTCTTCGGCGTGGACGACGATGGGCTCAGAAAAGACCAGGAGGGACTCGTAGATCTGGTTGCGTATCTCGCCGGGAAGGCGGAGAAAATGGGTTTTATTGTTGGACATGGTGGACGTGAAACTCATGGTTGCTTTAGGTTGCCGAAGTCGGCCGAAACGTGCAACGAACGAACGACTGACCGTATCCAGCGGCAGCCAAGTCCCCTTTTATTATGTCCGTGTCCTTTCCTTTTCTATGGCGGTGCCATTTGATAGGTATGAATGGGAATCTGAATGACCGAAGCAGGTTTGCTGAAAAAAGAGAGAGAGAGAGTCCAGAGACCAGGGACAGGAATGTGCGTGACCAACAAGGTGCTGCCGGTCGAGGAATCGGATGTTGAAAGAGGAGTCGTAAGATGGAGGTGGGAGGCAAGGAAGTTCGGACTTCGGGGGTGAGGAGACTCGAAGAGGGGGGATCCATTAGGGTCGTAAGGGTCCAGTCAAGAGGGGATTGGCTGGATCAGCCCTACCTCGTGGCGACCCAAGGGGGGTCCCTGCATGCCAAGCGGACGGTTGGTCACTGTGACCAGGGGCCACGGGGCCCCGTCTGGCCCTTCTGGCCCTCCATTATCACCATGTCAACAAAGGCATCGGGGGAAGGCTGTCAAAACGGCATGTGCGAGTCCCAACTGCCTTGAACTCAGTACCGTGGGAATGGCTTCACTGCCAAAGCCAACACCAGGCTTCTTCTGGACGTTACAATGTGATGAGTGGGCGCTTGTGCGCTAACGGCCAAGTGAGAGCGGTCCGAGTGGAGGTGCCTCGACTCGACCCGAGAAAGGTATGCCCGCCCTAAATCCCTGAACACCACGAGTCTGTGGAGCTTCGAGTTCATAATACGGCGAGCTTTGCAAAGATATCGAGATCGCCAAGCCATCGCGATGAGCTCTTTAACATGGAAACCAAAGCGGTTTGATAATCCTTTGCGATAGAGTTGCCTGGGTGATCAATCCAGCCTATCGGCAAGTCAACAAATCGAAGTCAGCAAGTCTTGGGTCGTGATCCTTGGCAACGAGTTTTTGAAGTTTAGCCAAGGGCAACACAACAGTCAGGCATGAGGCTCCTAGGGTTCTATCGAGGTAATGTACCGTACTCTACGCTCGCAGTCGTGATCATCAACGGGAGCGACCGCATCTCTCGTAGCACAGTATGACAGCATGTAGGTCCCCAGAGACCCAATATCCGGCAAAACCAAGACATGAAGTATACCTTCGGCCGGCCGCATCGCACGGGAGTACCATAGGAAAAGTGGTCGACTGGGGCAATACAAAGGCGACTGACAGTGCACCCGTGCTATGGACCACAAACACGGAAACACCAAATGCGCAAAATGACTGGCATAAAAGGACTGCGTTTGCTTCTTTTACGGGTTTGTGTTTCGTGGGGCAAGCCGGCCAAAGGAGTTTCATCTCTTCTTGGTGCTTGTTTCGGAATCGAAGAGAGGGAATATGAAAGCAAACGGTTTACGCTCACTTTCAAATCTCCCTCAGTTGGAGAGGCGGGTTTCTCTCTCCTCGAACTACCTTCTTTTTCGGAGTTCTGGAGCGATTCCTTCTATTGCTGACTCCACAAAATCTACCGTTATTCGAGTCTTCCTTTATCCTTTGACTCCTTTGAGCAGAGATGGCTTCGCCAACGACATCAACAGCATGGCTGACTCTCATGACGACAACATGGTTCACACCTGCCTCTACAATTGTCCCTGCCGTCAATTTCACGTGCCCCGAATTCCTCTTCGGCGACAAGCAGCATGATGTGAACATCGGCGGAGGCTCAAAAAAGTTCCATATTGACGCTCCAACACATGCAGTTGTCGATTTCGTGTCCGCCACCCTTAGCACTCAGACTAACACCAGTTTCGAATGTAGCTATCGGATCGCTGCTGAAACTGGAGCTGTCTCCTTGGGAAGCATCTCACGGACCTCGACGGCGTCTACTACGCACGCTACTAGTACAGCTGCTCACTCTACCGCCACTCACTCAGTCACCCACACGAAGACGAATGGAGGCGCCATTGCGGGCGCAGCTATCGGTGCGGCGCTTCTGGGTCTTTTGGTCGGAGTTCTTATCGGTTACTTCTGCCTAGGTGTCAAGCGTCGAAAGCGTCGGGGCACTATTGATTCTCACAATGAAGGCACAGCAATGGCCACCTTCCTCCCTCCAGCTCCGCCGCCAAAGGAGAGACTGTCTTCCAGAAGCAGTGTCCGAAACGAAGCGTTACTTGCGTCTGCTGGCGCAGGTGGTCTCAACAACGTCCTGTCTAGCATCGGCATCCTCGAAGGCGCGAGCGATGAGGAGATCAAATCAGAACTGTCTGCCCTCGGCTATCTCCTCCAGGAACACGTCCAGAACAACTACCATCTGGACCAACTAGATGGGAGCAGAAACGAGGTCTTCAGAGTCAACCAGGCGTTGGCAGATCCAGCCTTTGGCTTGGACGACCGCACCCACGCCTTGATCCTGAAGCTCTCCAAGGATCCGCAAATCCGGTTCGCAGCCATCCGCCACTTCCTCGCGCTTACCATCTTCTCCGCTTTGGACTTGCACCATGTTCGGTCTCACCCGGGTAGTATCTCGCTCTTGCCGCGACAGGTTACTTCCTTCCTTGAGTCGATTCCCTCGGCGGGCATGACGAAGAACTCCATAGCTCCCCAGAGTAAGCACATTCCTTTTTTCTCTCTTGGTACAACCCGCCGGCCGGGCACAAAGCTAACCCTCCCAACAGCAGCAACAGCCCTAAACCTCTGGCGCCGTCTCTCCGCTTACCTCCTCCTCGACAAACCCACCACCCACCCCCTCTCCCCCTCATCCCCCACCACCACTGCCAATAACCACAACACCAACAACACATCCTCACCCCTCCCCGAAGATCGCCGCTGCTCCTCAACCACCATCACTCCCCCCAACCAAACTCCAATCCCAACCCTAATCTTAACCCCTCCCTCCACCATCACCGCCCAAGTAACCAGCCTCCGCGCCTCCCTGAACAAGTTCCTAGGCATCTTCGTTCACTCGGACCGCCGGGCCATCTTTGATCAGGAAAGAAACCTGGAGGGCGTGATTCAGGAGTGTGTAAGTTTCGGGTACGTGTTGTTTGCGCATGGATGTGAGTGGCGGTTTGTGTTTGATGCGGCTGGGGATGGGAAGGGATCGGAGGGGGGTGGAGATGGGTATAGAGCTGGGGACATGGAGGAAGGGGAGGGTGGGAAGGAGGCCGCAAAGAAGGGAACGAGGCTTTTGGTGTTGCCGGGCTTGGAGAAGCTGGGGGATGGGAAGGGGGAGATGTATGAGGTGCCCAAGGTTGTGGTCGAGGGGGAGAGTGTGGTTGTCTAGAGGTAGGGAGGGTCGATAGGTAGGAGGTATAGAAGGATTCGTTTGGCTGATTACGTGCTCTCCTATGTGGGCGAGAAGGTCATGGCATAATGGCAACATGCACTTGCTTGGAGTTTGGGATAACAGGATGGACATGCCTATCAAGGGAAATGGAGTTATTAACGTATTTTTCCGTTCAGTTCTTGCAACAATTGAACCTCAGGACCCCCCGCAGTTACCTCCTACTTATTCTCTAGACCACCTAAAGGGTGTACACCTTATCATAGTCATAGCAAAGGATACCCGTCTCTTTACAGCCCAGAATATCCATCACATCACCGATGGTGCCCTGCTCATAACTGACACCGAGTGTCATCGGGAAGTCCAGGGTAACCGGGGGACTGGTAGGATCGATCATCACACTCGGGCCTGAAATATCCTTCAAGCGGGTAGTCAAGTTCCGCTTCTGCCACGACCACCACAGACGGTCGAGGTTGGCATGGTGGAGGTAGAAGATGGGATCAGCCGGCCACTGGAAGAGATCACCCATCTGGCCTATTTATCACGGCACACAGCAAGTTAGCAACCATATCCCAACAGACATCAAAGACAGAAATCATCACACAAAGACACGTCAAAGAAAGAAAGGAAAGAAACATACCAAAAGTCCCCCCAACCCCATGATGCCCACCCCCATGCACCCCACTCTCCTCAAAGCTCGTCGGAGAGTGACTGTGAGAAAACACCGAGTTGGACTGGAGAGTCTGGAACCGACGGATCTACACTGAAGTAGCATGTGCAGTCAAGACGCCGAGATCAGATCGAAGGCGGTCGGTTCATGGTGCTTATATACACAAAAGAACTTTCTCCATCTTCCCCGATGGTTTCCATGATGCTTCGACCATACGACCCCGTAGCGAAAGTTTTCACTTCGCAACGGATGCCGCATCCACTTTCGAAAATCGAAGGGATCACCTAAAATCTCACTACCCAGACATCTAGGACATGGGGTAAACAAACATCAACGGTACCGAGTGAAGGCTGTAATGAAAATTATCAGCCTAGCTGGGCGTAGCATTGCTGAAGTGTCTATCAAAGCGTCGAAGAACTTTCCCGTAATGACTAGAGGTAGCCATGATTGGAACCTGAGCTCCGGTGTCACGCAATTCTATCTGTTTGCCAAGTGCTTCTAGCATCTTAGGTGGACAAGCCCAAGAGAAATGCGTTATCCTGTAAAATGCCGTCGGGATGTTGATGTACTAGGTAGGTACTGCGGAAATCCCATTCATGTAGGATCTCAGAGGTCGATGTAACCTCAGCAACATCGGGTCCTGGACACGTGCAGCCTCAGGACGACAAGTCCTCCCATCCCATCAGAGAACCCCATACATCCTCCTCCTCCCCGCCAACCTCCAAACCGCCCTCCTCAACTCCAGATCCTCCTGACCATCCATATCGCTCTCCTCAGTCACCTCCTCCACATCCGGGCCAAAAGGCACCACGTCCCCCCAACACTCCCTCCCCTCCTCCGGCATCCCCTCCCCTTGAAAATACCCCCTAACCACCCTCGCCATACAAACCGACGGCGCCGCCAAACTCGTATGCCCCCAACTCCTTCTCTGCACCACCACCCTCGCCCCCCTGAATCCCTTGGCATTATTCCGTGCACTAATCAAAGGCGTCACATTATCGAATTCGTTGTTGATGAACAACACCGGGTGAGCCGTTTGCACCTCCTTGAAGGCCTCCAACGAAGAAGAGTTAAACGGCTCCCAGCGAGGCCGGACAGTCCTGCCAGCGCAAGATAACCGAATAGAAGCCTGCACCGCGCCTGCAGCCTGAGAGATGTTGAGTAGCTGTTGGGCGTAGAGGGCGAAGTCGTGGGGGGTGGAGATGAAGGGAGCAGCGTCGGAGCACGCGACTGCTGTGAAGACGTCGGGGTTGCCTATTTCTTCGAAGAAGATGAAAGGGGGAGGTTGAAGAGGGTCGTCGCCGTCGGCTTGGCAGGTAGTTGGGGAGGGGGGAGCCGCTGGTGGAGAGTCGGAGAGGGTGTAGTGGTGGTAAGGGAGGGCGTCGCCTGCTTCGAGACTGGATAGCACGGGGGCGATTTGGGGGAAGCGGAGGATGGGTTGGTAGAAGGCTGCGGAGAGCAGGCGGCGGATGCGGGAGTAGGTTACTAGTGAGGGGACGTGGTAGGGTTCAGCTGGGTCTGAAGATGGAGACTGGCCCTGAGGAACGAGGATGGGATGCGCCCGTAGCTTGGTGAGGAGGGCGTCGAGACGAGACTTGATCGCGAGGGGAGAGGAGGCATGGAAGGCACATCGATCCGGGCCGGCGGAGTGACAGAAGGTGTAGAAGGCTTCCATAACTTTGTCGGTGTCGTGGGCGAATTTGATATAAGTGCCGTTGTACCAATCCTCGTAGTCAACGTTACCTGTGATAGTCGAGGTTAGCGAGCTTCATCGAAGCAGCGAGGCCGTCCGGCCTTTTGCAAACAAGACTCACCATCATTGACCATCCTCTCGACCCTGTCCGGATACATAGCAGCAAACGTGCCACCCAGCACTGTCCCATAGCTGAACCCCCAGTACTTCAGCTTTTTTTCCCCCGTTGCCTCCAGAATCGCCAGTAGATCCCTAGCATGATACGCTGTACTGCTATGCTCCAAGATCCCCGACTCCTCCATATTCCGCTCACAAACTTGCGAGTACGCAGCCGCCCTAGCATAGGCATCGTACACTGCCCCTTCATGGGCATCCACCACACCTGGGTCCTGCAAATCCCAGTATACACGATCCTGTGCCGACGCCCAACAGTCAATCCGCGGCGTTGAAGCACCGATACCTCGTGGATCCCAGCTGATGATATCGTGGTTGGTGCCCACGATCGTCTGCAGGTCTTTGCCGTGGTCGCGGAGTGACCATATCCCCGACCCTCCCGGCCCGCCAGGGTTGAAGATGACTGGTCCTCGGTAGTCGGGGCTGTTTGAAGGCACGGCAGCTCGGAGACGGACGATGGCTAAGATGACACGCCGTACTGAAGCAGAGCCATTAGTTGCGTCTGCTTGCTGCCAGTCCATGGGGAGATCCAGCCGCGCGCAGTCGAGTTCGTCATCGTAGCATGGTTGCCACTGTATTGGTGGTGGACTGGGTGTGATGTTCGCCCAGTTGAACTCATCCTCTTCCTTCTTTTTCGTGTCCTCGGAGCTACCCAACGGATGGGCTGCGTTGGTAGGAGGCCATCTTGGGCTTGTTGTCCAGGAAAGTGCGGACAAATCTGACAGTGATAGCACCACCAGTATCGCTAGTGCCAAGGCTGCACTCAACCGAGCAATCTTCGTGATCCCCGAATGCGTGGTCTGGTACGAATGATGTGGCTCAGAGGTACTGATGGCGGGCAGCCGGTGACTCGCTCCGTCTCGAAGTTTCCGGTCCATCGTATACTTGCTCGCCATGGATGCCTCTGGAGGAATCATGATGTGTTCCAGAGTGTCAAGTCCATCGGGCTTGAACCAAGAGGCGAGGGCTTTATCTAAAGTATGAATGTGGATATGCTGAACACCAGCTGAACTCTTTGCTGTACGACTCGGGGATTTGCCATCATTGGACCCGTTGGGGTTAATCATGTCTCGGAGATCTTTGGCGCCATTTGAAGTTTTTTTTTCAGCTGAAGATTGAAAAAGGAATCCAGATTGGCTGACACCTTAGTCTGGCAATATCAAGGTGTGGTTGATCACCATTATGTATTTAGCTCCTGCATACCCTACGTACGTGTGAAGGGATGGAGGTCGTCGAGGTCGTGTATGTAGAGCCCAAGGGTCCAGTCCCTCGAAATGCTCCAATAGAGAAGCCGCTAAAGGTAAACATATCAGCCCCAAGTCCGAGCGATGATGGATCGCCGTCCGGGAATAGGGAACTGGCGGGGATGAACTGCACGCCCAATTGGGGTTCGTCCTTTCAATAATTAGTAACAGTAAAGCTGCATAGGGTCTTCTCGTCTAACTAGAGGTAAACTGTATCTGCACTGCAGAGGGGGGGGAAGCTAAAAAAAATGAACTCCCCCCTCCTCTTCCTCCTCCCCCTCCCCTTCTCCACCCTGCAGTACTCTGTTCCGCAGGACAACCCCGCATGATACAACGCGATGTCTGAAGTGGAGGCCGGGGCATCTTTGGCGATCTAGGATCAAGCTCTTCAGGAGACGAGGGTGAAGGAGAATGGCATAAGTCCGATCAACTAGGGGCAAGCGTTCACCACTTGGTGAACATCAATGGCTTCCGAACCACAATCACATATCAACAACGAGCCATGTGTAGTTAAAATCACCTTTATTAGACGCTTGACTCGTAGAAAAGTTTTCCAATTGAGTAAAAGAAATGAAGTTAAAGAAAGCATAAACAACCATGTAATGCGGGGGAATCATTGAACATAACATTTTCCTCGTCACAACACCCCTAAACCTCTCCAAACGCCAATGCCAATCATGCTCACGGGATAACACAACTGAAATTTGCCGACGTACTCAGGGCCCGATCAGTCCGAGCTATCAGACGTACTGAGTGTTTGTGCGGGGGTTGCGTCCTATTCTTGAGGCTTGTCGGCCTCCTTTTCCTTGTCATCTGTTGTTGCTGCCGGGACTTTGTCGGATGCCTCCTCGGCGGCCTTGCTTGGCTCTTCTGCCACTGCCTTCTCAGTATTGGCTTCTGGTACGGGCGAGGCGGCCTTGGGGGAGGCTGGTGCTGCCTCGGTAGCGGGCTCCGAAGTGGCGGCGGCGGGACTTGGTCTGCGCTCCGCCTCTGGCTCCGGAGCAGGGTCAGTCTCAATTTCCTCGGTCTTGATCTCCGCCTCAGGTTCTGTAGGCTTCTCATCGGCCTCGGCCATATCCACATCGCCGTCCTCGTCAACCTTGGCCGCTGAGCTTGCTTCAGGCTGCGCGGCTGTCGTTGCGGGGGCCTCAGCTTCAGGTTCAGCCGCGGCCGGTTGCACTTCGTCATCGTCGATCATGGTCTCATCATTGTCGATAGCAACAGGCTCCACTGGCTTAGCAGCGGCCGCGGCAGCGGTAGCGGCAATTGAAGCCGGAGCCGGTTCTCCAATATCGAGATCCATATCTTCCACTGCCTTGGGGTTCTTGTAGTCGAGAATGGACCGGCGCGGCGGTCCATTCGGCTTGAACACACCATTGGCTTGAGCCATGTCCTCGTCGTCACTCTCTTCGAACTCGTCCTGCCTGGCCCTCTCCTTCTCCCATTGCCGCTGTGTCCGCCGGACATCCTTGTTCTCGTCCTCATCCATGTCGTCGAGCTCGTCTTCCTGCTCGTCCGACATACCGAAGCCCTGGCGCGGAACGTCCTGCATCTGGACAGAGGGGACTGGGGCGGTCTTCTTCAGGTTTTCTATCACTGATATCTTGATCTTCTCCAGGTACTCTGGGCTGTTGGCGTTCTCCATATTAGAAGAACGCACATCGAGCTCGTAGTCGGGACCGTAATACTAGAGTTTGTTAGCAAAATGATGAAAAGAAAAAGGTATATACACTTACGTCGTAGTACTCGTTGTATGGAAGGACTGGGTTCATCTCAACACCGACCAAACGGCCAGTTTCGTAGGCCCATGTCCTTGCGACGTTGCGCATGGTATAGCCACCTCCGCCGAGAACCAAAGTTGGCAGTCCAAAGCTCCGCACGTAGTTAACGCAGTTGGCATGGCCGCGCATGCTCAGGTTGAAGCAGCCAAGACGATCACCAGACAAACTGTCACCACCGCACTGGAGGACAACAGCCTCAGGCTGGAAGTATTGCATGACGGCGCTGATGACGGGCTGGAAAATGGAGCTATAGGTGTTGTCGTCGATACCATCGCGGAGAGGGAAGTTGACGGCATAGTTCTTGCCCGATCCGATACCAATGTCGCGCAACTCGCCGGTACCGGGGAAGTATTCGCCGTACTTGTGGAAGGATACGGTCATGACGCGATCCGTCGTGTAAAAGGCTTCTTCGACACCATCGCCGTGGTGCACATCGATATCGATGTAGAGAACGCGCTTCTTGAAACGCAAGAGTTCAAGGATAGCTAAGACGATATCTGTCCAAGGAGATAGGTAAGCATGGGGGTCCCCTTAAGGAAACCAGGAAATTGTGGATGGCCACATACCATTGACATAACAGAAACCACTAGCCTCGCTCTTCTTTGCGTGATGCAAGCCGCCGGCCCAGTTGATGGCGATGTCGCACTTATCACGGTTCAAGCGGGCGGCACCCTCCATACTGCCGCCGGCACTGATGCCGCAGAACTCGAATAGGCCGTCGAAAACGGGGCAATCGTCGCCGACGTTGTACTTGCCCTGCTCGCGCATGAAACCGTCCATGTTGTCGGGCGTAACCTTTTGTAAAAACTCAATGTACTCGTCGGTGTGAAACTGTGTCATTTCGGCAGTAACGGCTGGTTTTGCACGCTAACACAGAGAGGGTCAGCTATTTGTTGACGTAGAGCCATCACCACCGCCACCGAGAGAGCCAAACTTACGTAAACCTCGAGAAACTTGTACACATTGTAGTTCATAACCAGGCTGTGGGCAAGGCGGATACGATGGGGCTTCATAGGGTGGCCGGTCACGTAGGCATAGTTGCCAATGTCTGAGTCGTAGAAGTAGGCGACCCGCTTCTTGTCATTGTGGACGACGTTATACAGCGGCTCGTCACGCGCGACTCCGGCGGGATCGGTGAATGTGGAAGGCATGGTGGGCAGATGTTGCCGGGTTGCCCGTCGTGTTGCGTTGGCGGATACAGAGGACTATCGCGGTACAATTCGGATTGTGGGTTGTGTGATGTGTGTGGTGTTGTGGTGGTGGATATTGAGATCGAAGTGGAAGTTATCGCTGATCGGGAGACACTCCAGCTGGGATGGTCAGAACCCGTCGTGAAGGAAATGGAAGGTCCAAGGCGCCGGGCGGAGTGGGCGAGAGACACTCTTGATGATATCGATAGAGTGACGAAGAATGATATCGAATATACCCGTGATGTGGCAAATCACCCGGGCGGTATCGTCATGGGTTGCCAGAGAGAAAGATGGTGTTTAGTTGGAGATTCCAGACGCCGGCGTGTCACTGGCAGAATTGCTTGTACGAGCCAGCGCTGAGGTCGGTGCGTGTCCATGCGTGGGCCCTGAAGCCGCGGGCGGACAGGCGGGGAAGCGCAAGCACCCGACCAGCAACCTGAACGGGCAGGCATCGTGGTGGTCATGAGTGGGGTGCAATTGAGCTGTTCTCCACTGGTAAATCAATGTTATCCAATCAGAGGACGAATTGAACAGCTGTCTGTCCCCTCGGCAGGCAATGTTGAACCTCCAAGACCCGCCAATATGAGGTCAACCGCTTTTGCCTGCCGAGCGGTAGCAGACCAGATAAGATTATGTAATCCACTCAACCTTCCGTCACTGCTAGGGGTCGATTCGAAATTTTTGAAATTAGAAATTTCAGAAATTTCATGAAATTTCATGAAAAAATGGCTTTCTTTTCCATTTTTTCATGCACGTGACTGAAATATCGTTTTTGTGCTGCTTTTTTAGCCACAATCGTGAAAATCGTATGTAAAATTAATTTATCCAGTGATAAATACCAGCTCTACTATTTATGTTAATTACTACATTTCTGGCATTTCTAGTATTTCTAGCATACAAAGTACAAATCTGTATATTAAGTAACTATCTCTCCTATTTAAATAGCCTCCTCTCTTACTCTCTAGCCTCCTTCTCCTCCCTCCTATTGGCTTAATCGCCCTCTTACATATAATTATATAGTTACTCCTCGATTTGCAATAGTAGCTCGTCCCTTTCTAGTATAATAAGGCCAGCAAAAGACTAGTAAAGGTTTCTAAGCTTCTTTTCATTTATATAAATAAACGTAGCTATATCTATCTTATTGGTGGTAAGGCAGTTATACTTTAGGTTGTCTAAAAAGTTTATGGTAGAAAAAGCCCGCTTATATAGTATACTATTAATTGGCGTACTGAATACCCTCACAGCAAAGGAAGCAATAACAGAGCCGCTATTTAATAGTATACTCTACTATTCCTTAAAGTTAAAATTATAATAGGTTTAAATATCCTAATCTAGCGCGTATTTACCCTTACGAATTTTAAAGGATAGGAAGTTACTTAGGAATTACTCCTTTATAACGTTAAGTAAAATATAAGTATACTATTTAAAGAATTCGAATACTGTATTAATAATTCTAAGAATTAGAAGTTAAACGGTGGCGTACTTCTCTACCGTAGTTTTTAAATATAAAAAGAAATCTAGCTAATTAAATGGAATCAATTACTTACTTCTACGGAATATATATAACTTTACTAATTCATTTTAATACTAATTGCTATAGTAATAGAGTGATGCCCTATTTTACTCCTAAATAGAACAAATAATAACCTAATAATAGATAATGTAACTAACGTAAGATTTATCCGCTTTTAATATTAATTAGACTTTATAAAGCGGCGTTATAAATCTTGCGAAGGTATTAAAACTGTATTAATATTATACGTTCTCGATAACTTCGAAGATAGATTACAATTTAATAGGTTTGTTACTACTTCTTCTTTTTATAATAATAGCGTGGAATGGCTTATTCTATTAATTATTATTATAATATACAAATTGAACGAAAGCTTATAGTATTAATTTATATATTAAATCGATTATATAAATCTATACTACAATCTCCGTCGGTTAATTATATTAATTTAATTAATTTATAGTATAAAGAAATAATAGAAAGATAGTCTTTAATTTAATTTACTAGGATAGTAATGAGTTTATTATAATATATTATCATTAAATTGCGAAGGCGCGCTATTTGTAATTTAAAGGCGCGGAAGAAATTTATAATAATTACGATCTATTATATAAAAATTTTAATGGGTTCAATATTGATTAAGTTTTTTATTAATAATTATAACGAGTATAAATCGTATAAAATTATAAAGGATATTCTAAACCGGTTTTAAATAAATTTAAATATCATACGCCGAACTAAAGTATATATATTAGTAATAAAACTATTAATTTTAGTTAGAGTATTAGTTATTTTATTATAAACGTTCGAAATAATACTGGCGAAGTTTATGATAGTATATTCGATTACTTTAGTATGCCGGTTTAATTAGAAAAAAAATATTCCGCTAACGGTAGTAAAAAGAATATTAACAATATAACAATTAACGTAATTATTAAATTTATTAAAAAAAATATTAATATAAGAAGCAGTACGTATATATTGGGCAATAATCTATATTTTTATTTACTTATAAATAAAAGGAAGCTATTTGTTAACTATAGCGGTAGCGTTAGGAAGGGTATAAATAAGTATAATAGAATATAGAAAAATACGTATAGGGGAACTTTTAAAAAGGTTAAAAGGCCGCCTATCTAGTAGTATTATTTTAATTATATACTAGTTAATCTTCTTTTTTTAAGTACTATTTAATTAAATCGCGTATTAGCGGATATTATTATAATTTTCGACTTGCTAGCGGAGTTTATAAAAGCGGTATACCTTATATTCTTAGAGGTGAACGCGTAAGCGAGTAATGTTATTAGTCTAGCGGTTATTATAGTAAGTGCATTGCGCGATAGGAGTTATACAACCAGGGTCTTAAATAAGCTCGAATTAGGTAGCGATAGCCTCGTTTCTAGCATTATATATGGGCGGTATAATAAGGAGGTTATTAGTATTAAAGGGATTCGAGGAAGCAAATCAGAATACTAAAAAGTAGGTTGGGAGAGGAGGGGGGAGAGGAGGGGGCACGGGCCATTGAAAAAAATGAAATTTCTGAAATTTGAAAATTTCCGAAAAAATGTCATTTTTTCAGAAACTATCGATCCCTAGTCACTGCAGTGGACTTTGGCAGTTGGCGTTGCAGGCTGCCACAGCTTGTCGTCAACGCCGCCGCCAGCCAGCTGCGGCAAGCTCCCCATGCTGCATGCTCCATGCTCCAACCTGACGCGGAGACTCGTCCAGCTACAGAACCTCAAACCCACCAAACAACAAACCGCCCCGTCTGTCATCTACGACATCCCACTTCAACCTTACAACCAAACCGCCATCCTCTGCATCGCAACCCTCCACCGACTTTTGCGCGACGTCATCTAGTCCCAAGGAACGACGCCAGTAATAATACTCCATCTCCCGAAATATAGCTACCTCCATAATACGACACTTTTCAACCAACACACACATCCAAGATGGATCGCATGCGCAGCTTGTTGGGCGGCGGCCTGGGAATGGGCGGTGCCACTGCGCCAGGAGCCGTATGTTTGTTCCCATTCGCAACTTCAACAACTGGATTGCAAGCTTGCCTGGCAAGTAGGTAGCGAAGACATGATGCTAATGTGCAGCTCCTGTCTAGGACAACACCAACCTCATCGATAACTCCGAAACCGTCTACATTTCCTCCCTAGCCCTCCTCAAGATGTTACGCCACGGTCGCGCCGGTGTGCCCATGGAAGTCATGGGCCTGATGCTGGGCGAGTTCGTCGATGACTTTACCGTTCGCGTCGTCGATGTGTTTGCCATGCCCCAAAGTGGTACTGGTGTCAGTGTAGAGGCTGTCGACCCCGTCTTCCAGATGAACATGATGGACATGCTCAGGCAAACGGGAAGGTGAGAGGATACCCAGTTCTTTCCCTAAAATTCCACTAGCCACTAACGTATTCCCCTTCGCAGACCCGAGGCCGTCGTTGGCTGGTACCACTCGCATCCCGGTTTTGGCTGCTGGCTTTCGTCGGTTGATATCAACACTCAGCAAAGTTTCGAACAGCTCAACTCCCGTGCGGTCGCTGTGGTTATTGACCCTATCCAGTCCGTCAAGGGAAAGGTTGTGATCGACGCTTTCCGCCTCATCAACCCCCAGTCGCTCATGCTGGGCCAGGAGCCCCGCCAGACGACATCCAACTTGGGCCATCTCAACAAGCCTTCCATTCAAGCGCTCATTCACGGCCTGAACAGGCACTACTACTCGATCGGCATCAACTACCGCAAGACGGCCTTGGAGGAGAACATGTTGATGAACCTGCACAAGCACGTTTGGACCGAGGCCCTCGAAATGGAGGACTTCCGCTGCGAGGGCCAGAGGACGAAGGAGAGACTCGACCGCCTGGTCAGCCTTGCCGATGGCTACGAGAAGAGAGTCAAGGAGGAGACAGAGTTGACCAAGGACCAACTCAAGACACGCTATGTCGGCAAGCTGGATCCCAAGAAGCATTTGGAGGATGTCGGCCAGCAACTTATCGAAGACAACATTGTCGCCGTTTCCAGGCAGATGATCGACAAGGAGGCGACCATTGCGAAGAAGGATACCCCCGCCGGGGCCAACGGCACCACACAAGGCGACCAGATGGAGGTTGAGGAGGAGCAGCTATAGGTACCTACCTAACCAAAAGGACAAGCATGCATGACGATTTCTTTCGCAGGCGCATACCTCCTACATGTGATTTTGTATGACTAGGCGTTAGGCATAAGGGTGGGCAGCTAGACCGGTAGCCATGTTCAAGATTTGGTTTTCTTTTTCAGTGAATGAGGTTGTCTGTTCAGGTACAGGCTTGCAGTGACTGGTTTACGGGTTCATGGCTGATGTAAGTGGCCCCAACTTCCCTTTGTTCCCAATGTTATACGTGAGTTGATATCACAGGGATGAGCACATTGCCTTTGTGCACAGAGATTTGTTCTTGGTTACACACCATTGTCCTTTGACAGACGCTCTGCACAACGCCACCATACCCATAATCGCATTGTTTACTTCTGGTGTTCATGGCATACGTTCACCTCTTGGGAGCTTCTCATCCGAGTATAAATGATGAAACGCCCACTCCTTCCCAAAGTGTTCGGTTTGTCATCAACAAAAACACTACATCCACACAGACAACACTTAACCATTACCAACAGAAAGTCAAGATGGGTTTCACAGCTTACTTGAAGACGATCCTCAGCGATTTGTTCTGCGGTCCGCAACCCAACAAGAACCCACATGCTCAAAGACACGGCAACAAAGCCAGCGGCCGCAACGGCAGCCGGAAAGGAAGTCATCAACATAAAACGATGCTGCCCCAAAAAGGCCAGCACCAAGGGACCACCACCATCAGAACCACCCAGGAAAAGAAGAACCACCGGTACCTCCCCCCTAATCCTCCTGCTCCCCCTCCTAACTCCCCTCGTCCCCGTCCAATTCGACTTCCTCAGAATCCCCATCCTGCCCCTCCTCCCTCTCCTCGTCCCCGTCCCATTCGCCTCTTTTTCCCGTCAGGAGAACCCCAAACTAACAACACAGCGCAAGTTGAAGCCCAAAAGAGTGTTCCTATTCAGCCCCATTTATCATCCGCTTCTGCACCGGCGACCTCGCGGCCTCCTCCCAACATCAACAAACCTCTTCCCCGCCTTCCCCGCTTCCAAGACCCTATGTTCCCCTTCCCGGTGACAGCATTCACCCCTCCGTCCCAAGGTCACGACGCCCAGACTAAAGCTAAGGCTAAGGCTCAGGTTCCGCAAACTCCCACAGTAGTCGAAAACCATCAGCAACGCGAGCAGGAGGAAACCGAATTCCTAGCCCTCCTCACCCTCCTCGAAAAAGCTCTCCGGCACACTCACTACGCCGTATGCGGCCGCGCCGCTCTCTACGTGTGGGGGTATCGCCCATCGCAACAGCAACACTCCTCGTCGTCTCCCCCACCAGAAAAGGTCAGCATCGTCTGTCCAGATGGTAACGAAGGTATTATCCTCTCGTGGGCGAAAGCGCAGGGGTGGACGTCTGTCGTTTCTAGTGCCAATGGGTGTTCTTTTGAGGTTCCTATTCCTTCTGCGCCTGTTCCTGGGAGTGGAAGGAATGGGAATGGAAAAGATGGAAAGGGGGGAGATGGTGGTGGGAAAATAAAAGAGGTAACAGTCAAAACCGCTATCCGCATGGGTCTGACACTCCCAAACTTTGGCGATGGGGATGGGATGGGCGGGATGGGAATGCCAATGGCAGTCAAAGGCACCTGGGCCGAAGCAGAAAAAAAGGTTCTCAAGACGCAAGCGGCTGTGGTTACGTTGCCTGCGCTTTTGGGCATGTTGATGGAGGGGTTTGTTACCGAAGTCACCCAACACCACCACGACCAGCAGCAGGAAACCGAAGCCAAAGCGTCGAGGGCAAGAAGAGTGGAGGAAGCAGCAAAAGTCATCCTCTGGGTTCTGGGCCGGCTCGTGGAAAGAGGCGAGAGACTCTCACAGGACCAAGTCCCAGAAGAGTTCCTGACCCCCTTCCTGGCTGGATGGCCCGAAGCTCATGCCCTCTTAGAGGAGTTGGGCGTTTCAACGTTCGTGTCAGCGTTCGAACTAGATCGAGATGATGAACCCCAACCCCAACCCAAATCCGAGCCAAGTCCAAGTCTGCCACTGTTGGACGCCGTGACTTTAGCTGCCTTGGAAGGTCTGCCCTCGGTGCCTCCAGTGCCACCGGTGCCACCGAAGGCTCCAGGGAGGACCGTCATGCGATCGATGTCGCCGGTACGCACTACAAGCCCAGCTTCCTCGTGCGGATCGGAGGATACCATTGCGCTGATCGAGAATGAGATTGAGAGCTGGAATTGCCTGTCGTTGGAGGAGCAGTCCGAGACTTCTTCTTGGGTTTCTAGGGCAGAGACTTTTAAATCAAGTGGGGTTTGGACTTCGGCTTGTTCTTTGTCGACTGCGGTTTCTTCTGTTCCCTCTTTGTCTATGGCTTCTGTTTCTGCTTCTTCTTCTTCTTCTTCTTCTTCTTCTTCTTCTTCTTCTTCTTCTTCTTCTTCTTCTTCTTCTTCTTCTTCTTATTCGGAGCAGAGTGGAACTGGATGCCGGTCATTGTCGAGTCAGAGTGGACGAAGTGGACGGAGTGATAAGCGCGTTCTGCCACCTTGGAAGAGCGACTGGGATGAGAGGATGAAGAGGGTTGGGGAGCATCATCCTGAGTGGATTTGAGACGGTGATGTGATAGGAGATCTATTTCGGTTTTGGGTTCGGCTGGGTTTCCTGGGTTGTTGGGTTGGTTACTTGTGTTAGGGCGGCTTTCTGCATTTTGGAGAGATTAACGGATATACGTACCATACCTGTGTGACTAATAATGATAGACAGTTTTGTTTAACTTCACTAACTATAAGGATTTTCCACACATCATTGCCGCCAGTGACACGCGTGAATGTTGTACGTATCATGTCTCGCATGTTTGGTTTTGGACTTATAAACGGGATCCTATCTTGCACTTCACCATTATATCGTTCATGAATCAAGCAAAATGCCTTCGACGATGTAAGATGTCTAATATCTCATGAGAGGTGCCTGACCTCCCAGTATCGAAAGAAGAAAAGACAAAAAAGATGCAATGCAAAATACAACTGACCCAACATGCTACCTTTAAGATGCCCATCTGTCACAATTCCATGATAAATTTCTCTTCATCCCCCTTCGGTCCTTAAGCTTAAGAAGTCTCTCAAATCGAACTCCCCGCCCTCCTCTTCAAATGCCTCCTAGCATGCCTCTCTCCCGCCGCACGCGCATAACCCTCTGCCCTCTTTCCACCCTCTCTTTGCACCGCCGAATGCACCAACGACCCATTCTCGCACCTCGTCCCCTGAGAGACCCTCTGGGGAACCGCCCACCCGTGGTCGCACAAGCCAAAGTAATCGTCGCCAAAGCACACGGAAACTTGGTCCTTCTCGCACTTCTTTGGGCCACCATCATTAGCGCCACCAGAACCGGAGCCAGAGTTACCGGCTGCGTTGTTGGCTGAGTCTCCGAGTCCTGAGGGAACTGCAGAAGCCGTAGATGCAGATGCAGAAGCAAAAGCAGATGCAGAAGCAGCTGGAGGAGCGCCACTACCAGCGCCGGCACCTGGAGCTTGGCTGGTAGTGACAGCCCCAGAAGCAGAGGCAGACGCGGCCGGTGGACCGGCGGTAGTAATTGTTACCATAAGGGTCATGGATGTTGTTACCTTTATTGTGGTCTCTGCATCACCCTCTCCAGCACCGGCTCCAGTTTCCGTAGCAGCAGTATCATGACATTCTCCTCCCTCCGACTTCTCTGCTCCTCCAGAGCCGGACTCAGCAGCACCGCCACCGGTACCACCAGTAACGCTAGCCGTGGCAGTTGGTGCTGACCCATCGCTGGGAGCAGTGATGAAGGTACCGCTGGCGCCGTCGACTTGAACGCCGACGCTGGCACTGGCACTGGCACTGGAGATGGGAGCGATGGAGAAGGAGCTCTTGGTCTTGGTCTTGGTACCAGTGGCACCAGCAGCGGGAGCGGATGTGGTGGTAACAGCTGGTGGCTTTGCAGTGCCTGTAGCAGTAGCGGTAGCAGAAGCCCCAGCGTTGACCTCACCTCCCGAAGGAGGAACCGTCGGACCACCATCATGGCCACCTCCCTCCATTAAGGTTCTCTTGTCCTCTTTGAACTTGGGCGGCTTGTCGAAAGGCGGAAGGTTCGCGCAGAGCTTGCCGGCGGCCGGTTGGTCGGGGGCCGTGAGTTTGTCGCCGACTCTGCCGAATTCGCCAGGGTTGGGGATGTTGACTACGTTCATGGCGCCGCCGCCGGTGACGCAGCCGTCGTAGTTGGGAACGTCTTTTTGGGGGAGGTTGGCGATGAAGATGTTGGGGAGGGCACTGAACTTTTCTTGGGAGGGTTTGCTGCTGGTGATTTCGATGGGGGCGCAGTTCCTGTTTTTGGGGAAGGGGGGATGGTGTTAGTGGCTTCCAGTTCTTGCTTTTCTTGTCATGGAAGGGTGTGTTGTGGGGACTTGGCTGTGGTTTGATGAAGCAGGAGCGGCTTTGGGAGATTGCTTGTTGCGAGGTGAACACAAAAGAAGGAAGGAACGACTTACATGTACATCTCCCTGTTTCCAATCTTGTTGAACCAAGTCCAGGCAAAGGTCGCCTTCCCGGGGGGCAAACTGTAGTGGTTGAGTTCCATTAGCTTGGTGCTCAGAGAATGGTGGGATAGGACTCAGCACCCAGCCAGGTCAAGGTAAGGAACTCACAAGTCAGGAATGGGAATCAAGAACTGCCGAGTGCAGTCCTCCTCGGTATCGCCATTGCAGTGTAGAGTCTCATCTCGTCTACTCGGGTCCTTCATGCCCAATAAAGGCAGATTTGACTTGCTGTTTTCCTGGGCGTCCGAGAATTTCGCTGGACACCCGCCAATAATGGTGTAGATGGTCTTGAAGGTGGCCGAAGTGTTCCATCCGTTCGACTGTTCTGGGTCGTCGTATGAAATGCTGAACTGACAGGACCCGCCGCCGTGCTGAGCCCCTCCAGTGAAATTGACGCGCTGAAGATAACCGGCCTTCACTGTACCGCGCTCTTCAACGGTGTAGAGATTCTGGCATGGGTATTTGTACTGCGCCCCATCCAGAGGGTTGACTTGCAATAGGGGGGTTGAGTTGTAAAGATTGTAGGAATGGGGTGTATTCATCACCATGTGCCCTTGGACACTGGTAAGGAGAAGGATTGCGGCAGTTGCCGTGCTCGTGTACTTGTTGACCATCTTGTGAGAGAGTCTAGTTGCCGTGATGATTGACCGACAGAGGTGAAGAAAAATGCAAGATGCAACAGGTCCAGAGTTTTTATATACGACTCGAGGATACCAATTTGCCGGTCACCCAGATATGGATTTATAGCAAAGGACGCATTTCTCACATTGCAGTGTGAACCACGGGGGGCAAACATCTCGAAGTTAATTAGACGCTCATCGTTTCAAGTTCTTGTTCACTGACATGTGTCAGGCGCCGCATCGTAAACTTGTAAAACGACATTGAAGAATCTGGGGGAAAGGGGGGACGGGAAAGTCTAGAACTTGCAAGCGCATCAGTGGGCGGATAGGGATCCGCTGAAATGAAAGGAAATGGTCGAGTTCTTGTCCTGAGGAGAGTTCATGTGAGAGGTGTGACATCAAACACTGAAAGGGGGGCTCGAGGGTTATGTTTGCACACTGCGAAACAGCACTGAGATCAGTCAGGCCACACGAGTTGGCAATGGTATGCAAAGCCCGCCCCGATGGAATAGGCGTTTAAGATGAGAACGTTGAGAACTGTTGGCGTATGGACGTATCATAGGCGTTGGTTGGCTGTTGAAGCGGCGCGTACATGAACAATGGCTGTGTTGTTGGGTGTAGTCGTTGTAAGTTGAAGAATCACAAAGAAACGCCAAGCGCCTCACTTGGGCGTTTGCCATTCGAGGACGGCTTGCAGTCATCCGTTTGTGTCAGACATCTCGAGAGCATCACATGCAATTAACCAGGCAGATATTTTATAATGATTTTTTTTGTTTATTCAAGATGGGAGCCAAAAGATCTAGCATCCAACTAGTCCATCTATCGACCAAAGTACTCGACTTCTAATGGGTATACGCGGGGGTATTTATACACCAAACCATCAAGCAGAGGTATAATGCAATGCAAAAGGAAGAAAACAAGGCCGCGCAATGGCGCCAGTAAACCACAAAACATGATGGTGGGAGGGGGATCGTCAAAAAAACTGAACAAGATCCCAACAGCAACAAAAAACCGAAAAACCCGGCGGGTATCATCATCACACAAGGGTTATGGCCGTAAAAACCCTCTTTCTTCGTTCTTCATCATCCTTTGTCGTTCGTATGCATATCCCAATCAACCTCCTCGTTTTTCCTTTTTCGTTTTCCCACTCACGTCATGATAAAAGACTTTCTTCAACTCATTAATGTTCGTTCTTGGTGTTAATACCGTCACCGAAGCCGGACTCGACACCGCGCTCGTCGACAACATCGACGTGGGCGGGGGAGTCGCTGTCGCTCCCGGTGCGGTCGCGCGACTTCTCCTCGTCGCGGCGGTTACCACCCTCGCCGTTAGAGTCGCGGTCGACGAGACCATACCTGTTGGCATAGGCCTCGATCTCCTCGGGAGCGAGGTGAGGCAGCTCCTTGGCGGCCTTGACGTACGAGATATTCTCGGCGAAACCCTTGGCGAAGATGATGTCGATCTCCTCGAGCGAGCGGTGGGCAGTTTCGGGGTAGAAGAAGTAGATGATGGGAAGGAAGCAGCCGTTCATGACGGCGAAGAAGAGGTAAGTTCCCCAGCCAATCTTGTCGATCATGATGGGAGTGACCATGACGATAAGGAAGTTGAACATCCAGTTGGAGCAGGTAGAGACGGCGTTAGCCTTTCCACGGGTGCGGATGGGGTTGACCTCGGCGGGATAGAGCCAGGGGAGGGGAAGCCAGGTGGCACCGAAGAAGGCAATGTAGGTGAAGAGACCGACGGCGGCACCGCGGGCCTTCATGGGGTCGTTGGGGATCAAGCAGGCGAAGACGATGACCATGGAGAGCATCTGGCCAACGGTACCGATCAAGAACAGACGACGGCGACCGACACGCTCAATGACGAACCAGGAGACGGTAGCGAAGATGGAGTAGACGATCATGTTGATACCACCCAGCAACATGGACATGTTGTGGGTCTCGCCAATAGAATCCTGGAACAGAATAGGAAAGTAGTAGATGACGGCGTTGCAACCACCAACTTGCTGCATGAACTGGGAGCTGGAACCGAGCAAGAGACGACGGAAATGCTGGGTCTTGCCGCCAGTGAAGAGGGCCTTGAAGGGAGTGCTCTTCTGGCCGAAACCTCCAGAGGCACGCAGGGAGTCAACAATGAGATTGCGCTCCTGGATGGTCTCGGGACCGTCGATCTCGTAGCCACGGAGAGCAGCAATGACCCTGTCAGCATCTTGGGTCCGGCCGTGGCTGAGAAGCCATCTGGGCGACTCGGGAAGGTAAAACATGGGGACACAGATGAAGATGGCGAAGACAAGCTGGAAAGCGATGGGGAAGCGCCAGGTGAGGTCATCGGGGCCGTAAGATGCGCCGTAGTCGATCCAGTAGGCGATCAAGGTGCCAAAGGCAATGACACCACCTTCAATGCAGATGAGAAGACCACGGTTCGATGTCTTGGAGCATTCGGCTGCAAAATCTGTTAGCATTTTTCGTCGGTCGATGGTTGGCAAGGCCGGGACTCACCTTGGTAAGTAGGAATGGTCGAAGTGTTCATGCCGTTGCCGATACCCATAACGACTCTGCCGACGAACAGTTGAGCAAAAGGGTTGGAGCCAGCTTGGCAGGTAACCTGAATAATGACACCGAGAGCCATAATGAAGGCGCCCACCATGATATTCTTGCGTCTACCCAACAAATCGCCGGTCCAAAGGACGAACATGGCACCAATCAAGCATCCGATTTCGTAGATGGCAGTGATGAGACCCTGCATGGTTGAGTTGTTTCTGGTTGGTGTGAAGAAATTGTTGAAAGCGGGGGCAGTAATGATACCGCTCATGACACTGTTTGGAGTCTGTTAGCATTCGGCCTCGTTTTGACACAAGACTCATGGTGTTGACTACTCACCCTTGGTCATAGCCGAAGAGAAGGAAGCCAGTGGTGGCTACAGTCGAGACAGCTAGAGAAAGTGGTCGGCCTGAGAGGCCCAGGAACTTTGGAGGCGCCATCTTGGGTTGGCTCAGTGGGATGAATGTGACGGATGACGGAATTCGAGATCAGGACATTCGCTCTGAGTGGGAGCGAGGCCGTGGATATTTAAACCTCATGGAGGTCGAACCCAAGCAGGGGAGGCGGACACTATGACCGCAGGCCAAGACGACGGGAATCAAAAACAAGGAGAGGTCCCATGTCGCCCATGTTTAGTGTGAGATGTGAACATCTTTTCGTCAGGGCCTTGCGAGGACCCCAACGGCGTCCCATTGCGTTGTGAAACTAGTGACAAGCGGTGGAACTCGGGGATGTTGGGTGCGTGGAGAATGGGGACGATCACCGACTCGGAGGCTTGCGCGGGGAAACAGACAAAGTGAAAGTGTTCATCTTGTCCCCATTGGGCCGCATCCGGCGCATCGTGCTCGGTCAAAGCTGATTTGCTGGATGGGGGTCCATCGAGGTACACTACACACGGTGAAGATACGTTACGACCCCGGTTACTATGTAGAGCGGTATTTGGGCCGTATCCAGTCGTATTGATCCCCTTCTTTCCAACTGTGGTTTTGGAGTCCCTCGCTCTTTCTGTTACTTATAGTGGTATTCTGTCGCCTGAAGAGGCTATCCGCGGCAAGTGCTGATATCAGACACTGTCGTTAGCCAAGACACCAGAGGCAACAGGCAAATGCAGGGTCGTGGAATCCAGGAATTGATAATGTCATTATCAGCCGTCATTTGTCAAGTTCACGGAGGACATGTCCCTTTCTGGAATCCCGTTTGGAACCTTGGATCTGATGGACAAAGACAGCCTTGTTGCCCGTGAACATCACTGCCATCGTCTTGTACCTTCGCCTTGATCTACTGCAGCCGACCTGGTAAGCGCGCCTGAGCAGATGGCGATCAGGACTGTGATCGTCTCTGTGCCATCCTACTAAGCCAGCTACTGCATTCCTCTGTTCAGGGCTCCATTCCTACTCGTGCGATAGCCTACAGACCACACAGTTTAGCTGGCTCATACCACGTTGTTTTCTGGGCGCAAGGCGATGGAAAGCAAACCGGTGTGATCCTTAACACGGTCGACATGGAAGCCACGCATCACTGAAAACATGAAATTGGGAAGGTGAAGAAAATGGTGGAGTAAGTGGAAGTCTTGTTCCCCAGTCAGGGGACTTCACCCGCAGTTTGGAGGAGCCCTTCCAGATGGACCCCTGGGAGTGGGGCACATGAGGTCATGGCGGGGCTCTCTGCATCCAACCTTTTCCCCTTCAGCTTTTTTGAACAGCCCACCAAGACAACCAAGACCACTCTGCGAAAACAATGAGCCGCCGGCTGTTTGCTTGTTGCCTTTGACATGTCCCTGTCTGTGTGGAGTGGACGAATGATGTGACAAATGAAGGGAAGCGGTGCTGTTCATGCCAAGTTGTCCTAACAATTTCTGAAGTGCCGTTTGGCGGGTGTGCGCACTTGTCTCTTCACCTTTTACTAAGAAAACCAAGACCTCTTGTTGCCGCTGGCTATAACATCATCGCCAACGTCCAAAAACAAAGACATTAACAAAAACAGGACCCTTTGAGGCAGGCGTTCTCCACAGTCCACCCGAGCTCATGAACATCCGCCGGACTCCAACCGTTCCAACCACCCTTCGGGAGACTAGACCCCCGCAACCCCATTCCCCGCCTCTCTCCACTTCCTACCCGCACTGCTGCGACGCTGATGCTCACTGTGGACCGAAAACGGTAGTCAGTGACCCACTTTTGGTAGTCAGCACAACCAACTACAAAAAATGCCCAACTAACGTGCACCATCACTTGCACGCAAATTCGCGCGCACGCGAATCGAACTAAGAAGAATATCCGACTTGAGCGACAAGGAAAACTCCGATCCCAAAGTTGCCGAAGAGTAAAGATCGTTGGCGAAAAAAGAGGATATCGATGCTTTAATAGCGACAGATGGGCATTTTTTGTCCAACTCCAAATTGCCCCACTTTTCGCTGCCCAGGCACGCCAAGACAAGGGGTCAAAACCACTTTTTCAATACTAACATTTGCGCGAACACTTTGCACCTGCTTCGTTCAATCGCGCTCTTGAAAAAAAGGGTAAAAGACCTTAGAGAAAGCTTTAAAGGTAAATATCAAAAAGAAAGCGAAACTCTGACGGTTGTTTTGGTTGAAATATCTCAGTTCTGAGTTGGAGACTTGGCCTTAATGTTTGGGTGCGCTGACTACCAAAAGTGCATGCGCTGACTACCGTTTTCGACTGTGGACCACGGCAATGGAGTCTCAGAACCACTTGACTCGAATCAGCTTCGCTTACCGTCTTCCACCCTGCTGCTTTTTGTGGACTCTCGGCCCTTGTTCGGTCGTTGGCCGTTCCTCCAACCACTCAGCTTGACGACCATCCGTGATGATCGCTCCTCTTTACCCCGATTTTTTTCTGATTTTCATGTGACGCATGTCGCGCACGGTGAGGCTGCAGAGTGCCAGAAGAGGCAGTCGACATAAAATCCCTTTGGGCTGGCGCCGGCCGAAGTGTTTGTCAATAGCTTCACCTTCGATCAAAGCCAGCCCGGTCTCGAACATGCAAAATTTCCGTGATGGCTTCCATCGATGCACATGCACCCCGAAAAGTATAACTGTCACGGGACCCTGTTACGGCTGTTGGGAAACGACTCTTCCAGGCTTCCCCAGAATCTATCCATTCGTCTGGGGCCAGAAGGGTCTGGGGGAAATGAGGGGAAATGGCCAACACACGTGCGCGACCGCCAGTCCGGAAATTAATTTCACAACAAAAACATGGAGGCCGGGGAAATGATTTCCACTTTGGACGTCTTGTGTTCTGATGTTGGGCAGACACTATCACTCAAAACATCTTTCGATACTCGCAGCCGGAGCGTCGATTTCCCACTTTTGGGTATTAATCAGTGGCTTATCATTACTCCAACCATCTTTGTTGGCCCTGACGATCCGATCACCCGAGCGAGCAACAATTCGAACAAGAGAACAGAAGCAGTTCTATTCAAAAGGTACGTACTGCGATTATCTCCGCCACTGCTACTCCACCGGCACAGATTCCCCCCCTATAAATCCCATTCCTGGAAGCCAAGCATTTCATAATCTTCAGGGGAATGGCGACTGTGATGGACAGCGGGTGGATGTGCCACCTCGGTGTATACACCGACACAGACCTTCACAAATCATAATAGCTGACAAAACCCTCCATTCTCCAGACCTCACTCCAGTTTTTGGCAAACTCTCGAGCCTCAGATAGCCGCCCCCGTGCAACTGATTTCTGGGTACCTGAACCCGAACCTGACAGCCGTGGACCCATCAAAGTTCCGGTCCGCCACACATGCCGTTCGTCGCCTTACCGCCTCTCCCACCTTCCCGTTCAGCCACCGAACCCCCACCGGCTGCGAAAGGGGGGCCCGGCGCCGACCAAGAAGCTTCAAACCGCTGACTCGCCATGAACACCCTCGGATTCGGCAGCACTACGGTATGCGGTACTGTAATGTCAGCAAGGCTTGTCGTATCTGACATGGAAATGGTAAGCTCCGGATCCCAGCGCAAAAATCAGCAAAATGCTTCATCTTACGGGAACGACCTTGGCCTTCGGATAGCAGTTTTCGGCACCCTTGACCCCTTGGTCATCAATGCGTGATAGCGATAGGACGACGCCGTGCCGAATCATGTCGTCGGAACGGGTATGGCAGCCGTCGCCGGGTCCTCCTTGCCAATCATTCGGTGCCTGAGCTTTGGCCGTCTTGGCGGCGCCTTCCTTCGAAGACCTTGACCGCAACCACCGGGTTCTCGGCAAACTTGCTGGGGCCGCATACGGGATCGACAAGCCAAGCCCGATTACCGCCGGCGTGGGGCCGAATCTCCCTCGCCGAGACACGGTTTCGCGGAATATCTCTGCCGGATCCCTCCGAGCTGACTATGATGACATCGTAGTGAGATGTTCATTTCTTTTTGTCAGTTTATCGCCAGGCATCTGAATCCGAGGTTGGCGGCGATGGAGGGACGAATTTGTTTCAAAGTTCAATCTTGAAGCAGTTTCCATCTCGAACCCGTTCATGCACTTTTCTGAGTCGATATGGATCAAGTTACCAAACTGTATCCAGTGATGCTCATGCATGACTCGCCTTTTTCCGCTTCTACAGTATGCGAAAACACTTCATCTGTTCTGCAAGAAGACCCTTCACGCTCTCCACGTTGCTGCTGCAGCCTTGCCAGGTATTCCCTGGATCCCTCGTGTGACGGATATCAAGATCACCACCTCGAAGTTTCAGGTTATTCCTTTCCCGACTAGGTTCATCTCAATCAAAGCTCGGAGATTGGGACTTTTAACTCTTGAGTCGGTCGTTTTTCCTTGCTGGTTAGTCTCAAAGAAGCATCTCGTTGGAATATCTCAACGACTTCTTACCTCATGATGTGCAACGGGAAGCGGGATAGTGTCCCTGCAGCATGCGTTGCTCATTGTACACTACTATATACACTCGTCTTCTATCGTTTGTGAACTTGTCGATTTCCATTGAAGTCTTCTACTATGGGTTGGGGTGTGATTAAAGTATGGTAAGGCAAGAGATTAACGACCTACCCTTCTCTTGCATTCGTTCTGTATAAGAAGTGGCAGTTAAGATCATCAAGACCAGCAGGGGAGCACTATCAACAGTATGTGATAGCAGTTAGCACTCGGCGGGTGATATACGTCGCAGGTAAATCTTCAACTCAACCAGTCCAAGCCGTCACCCAAGGTTGCGGACTCGCTGCGGCACGAGTACATTGTCAACGGGATATTTAAACAACTGTTGATGCTCGAGTTTTAGGCTTATTCTTGTTGCCCGAAGTCTCACATCCTCCCGTGATTCATCCGTTCACCACGAAACGTCACCAAAAAAGGCATAACTTTTCGATTCCCCTTCGCTTCTGAAAAAGGCATAACTGTTCGACTCCCCTTCGCTTCTGAAGTACGCCGCTACAGCCTATGCCATCAGCCTCTGCTTGCTGAGTTGGAATGCCACATCCGCCGTCGCTCCGTCAATAAAATCGTTCATCATAACGACAAGCGTGTCGTACCCACACGTCTGCAAAACGTTATCCCTACACCACGGCAACGTCTTGGAATCACAGATTGCCTTCGTCGCCAGGATACAGCTCGACGTCGTCCCCGCCTCCAATACCGAATACGCCACGGCCTTGGGTATGTTCGTCGCCGTCGCCTGACACTGGATGTTGATGAAAGCCTTACCCTTCCAGTTATTCTCAGTAAGCACCCTCGGGAAGGCATCGACAATGCTCTGACCATCCATCGTGGCATTTCCTTCATCCGTATACGTCGACAGGCTATCCACGCTCTCCATCATAATCAGCCTCTTCTTATCCCTCCTCAGCTCCGCAATGGTCGCATTCCGGAGGTCATTCTCGTTCCCAACTACCATCCGATCACCCCCCTTCTCCAACGCTTTCTCAAGGTACTCCCTCTTATCCTGATCCGACGGCCTCGCACACTCATTCGGCACGCCATCCCACCTCAGCTGCACCACCACAATCTCCTCCTGGTGCGCCAACAGAAAAGCAACCACATCCGCCAAAAACACATCATACCCCATGCCCGGAATCGCGCCATGCTGGAAGTACAACCTGTCGGGTAACCCATCCTTCCCCTTCTGCATCGCGCTCCTCACCGCCGCATGACAGTACGCTGGCCGAAACTCAAAGTACCTGGCTCCAATCCGTAGCATGGCATCCAAGCTATCCTTCTGCGTCATGGCCAGACTAAAGATGATATTCGGCGCAATCAGCGCTATCGCCGGCCCCGAAACCGCGTCTGCAATCTCCGCCATGATCCGGTTATCGTGCACCAGCGTGCCCACCACCGCGCCGCCCATCTTGCTTAACAACCTGGAGCTGCTCGCCATGCTGTTCATCCCCGCGTCGTGCGCCGAAGGCAGCACCAGTCTTCTAAACCTGCGATTCTCCTGCCACGAACCCGGTGGAACAAGGTCCTCCATCCATCTACTACCTACCGGAGAAACGGTGATGTAGCACTGATGTCTCTTCGGCAAGATATCCTGTCCCGCGGGACCGGATTCGTAGAAGCCGTACGTCACTACCACTTCTCTTCGTTTGGGGGTAGTCCCCTCCGGGTCGATCCACGAGAAGATAGACGGCGTCGAAGCGATGCTATCCATCGTTCCCCCCGTTGCTAAACCGGTGACGGCGTTGACGTCGATCCATTGCTCTGTTATCACCTTATTATTCTCGGTCCCAGGTCCAAGGTCAAGGTTGACGCGGAAGGAGAAACGACCCTTTTTGTCAAAGAGGGAGGGGATGTTGCGGGCTTCTACTTCGATGGCGCGGGAGAAGAATTGTTGGTTATTAGAGGATGATGATGATTGGAAGACGACGGTTTCGCCGGGGACGGTCAAAGTGATGCTGCATGTTCCCCAGGAGGCGACGGTCGGGGAGATGTAGGCGCTGATTTGGATTCCTTTGGAGGGAAGCTTTTCTTGGATTTTGATGGACATTTTGCGGAAGAGAGTTGAGGCTGCGGTTGAGGCACTTGAGGGGGTGGCGGAGGTGGATTTGGAGGTGGAGGAGGAGAAAGGGCGACGGTCTTTGAAGAGGGTCTTGAGTCTCATTTTGGTTTTGTTAAGTTTGGGGCTCCTCTTCTAGGTAGTTTGTGGTGTGGTGTTTGGTTTGATGAGGTTCTGAGATGATTGTCACTGACCGGTTGGTTCAATTAGCTGTTTGGTTGCATGGAGTGGGTGAGGTGAGGTGAGGTGAGGTTGATAAGTGAGTGAACGCTGTTCTGTTGCTGTCGTTGATGGAGTGATGAATGGTGGTGGCTGTCTGGAAGGAAGGCAAAATGATGCAAATCTACCTACACTCGACCAAGAAATAAATGAGAATTGACGTTCAAAGTGGGGTTGGAGGCCGCATTATATAGCGAAACCAACTAAACCTGAGGCAGGTATCGGATATCACATCGAGTTAAGTCTCCCGCTCAATAGCTTCGCCGGGAAGGCTGAAACAGGGGTGTGTGCTCCGGGGTAATCCTTGGAAACTGCAGACGTCACTTTAGATTGGGCCTGGCGCGACAAATGATCTTGAATTAATCTCGATATTCCCGACCAAGATGGTGGCCGGCGACTGGTGACTAGTTCTCAAATCTCATGACGCTTTACAAGGCAAGTGATTGATAGGTGTGATGGGGATGGTGAGACATGTTGAAAACGCCCGAGATGTCAGGGCGGGAGCACAAGAGATTTGGAGCTGAGCCGTTCCTTCGGGAGGAAATATGCAGGTATGCAAGCTGTATGCATGCCGCGTGAAGGAGGGGCTTGGTTTCGCTTGTGACGCTTCCAGGTTTTTGATTTGCAGGAATCATGTGAATGGTTGACGTATATTGGGGTAGGGTGTCCTTTGTCTTAAAAACTCAAAAGTTCAAATATGGAAGACTCGTGATGAACATCATGAACCTGATACTTCATGAGTTGCGATTTTGACTGATGTGTTCATGTGGCTACCACCGTTGATATCACCACCGACGAGATAACCTAATGGTTGTTGGAAGGAGTGCTGCATCGTAGAGGTAGGTACGGACACTGCAAATCGGTGTAACATAAAATGAGGGTAAAGAGAAACGCCTGTCACTCTTTCCAGAATCGTTATAGATGGCTTATGACAGGTAGAGGGTAGTCAAAATAAGCTCGAGAAGCCACAATGCAGTGGTCAAAGGTTGTGTATGTCACAGTCAGGTTCCACGACCTTGATGGATGAATCCAAAGTGGACTACCCGGGCCTGAAAAGAGGCCATCACTAACTATTGAACGTTGAAAAACCTTCAAGAAAATGTATAGCCTACATAATAGCAGACATCACTTTTATCTCAAGTCGGACTCAAAAGAGAGTTGTGCTCTGGAGACATTCCTTGACCTGCTATAGCCCTCTATGCCCATACCTAAGTCGCCCTTTTGCAGCTTTGTATATTCCTCTTCCTCACAAACGGCTCTTTGCCTTACCAGACGAACAATCACCTCCTTGCGGCCCTCTTTACAGCCAAAGTAGCAACATCTTTGAGTTCATTTCCCGGCTGTGTCTTGCTCATCGAGGATTAAGACCAGAGGTACCTGCGGCTCTGGTGGACACCTCCCATCTGTGATGCGTTGTCTGCAGTGCGAAGCCTCTCCATGACTGCACCTGCTCGTACTTCTTGCTTCCTGCATAGTCACTCCTCGGAAGTGTATCTGCAAGTACTAGGAATATTGGGAATGCCCGTTGCCGCCAGGGCAGGAATCTTCGTCACATTATCCACTAGGTCAAAGCCTTGCAGGTTCTTTATTCTGCTGCCCTACTTCATTGCCCGCACAATACTCAACCATAGATCTCTATCTCCTCCAATATTTGTTGTTCCGCTATTCCAGTACAGACTATAGTAGCGCGTACCTACCTTCAAGGTGCTTGGGCGATCGAGAGCCACAACCTGTTTACCATTATTGAAACGATCATTGCATCCTTCGCCTTCTGACAACATTCAACAATACCCCTCTACATCTTCCAGTCTTGTGTTTCCCGCTGTCCCAGGGCAGATTCTAGTAGCGCGTATCTTCAGGCTGTTAGGGCGACCCCAAGCCACAACCTGTCTACGTTTCTTGACCCGATCGCTGCATCTTTCACCTGCTCACAACACTCACCCACAATCCCCTACCTCCTCCAGTCTTTTCCTTTCCACTTCCAGGACAGATTATAGTATCGCGTACCTTCAGGTTACCACTGTGACTGCGAGTCAGATCCTCTTCACCTTTATTGACACAATCGTGCCATCTTTCACCTTGCATTCAGTACGTCCAGTCGCGTCCCCTACCTACCTCTAGCCTTCGCTGACAGTTATTGACAGTCGCGGAACCTTTAAACAGGCATCAGCAATCACCGGTTCGCACAAAGGACCTTGCTTTATTCACGATGTGCGGCGTGTACCAAGGACCCCCAAGCAACCATCCCCCGCCGAATTCACTTTTGGCTCATCCGGTAGCGCTCCAAGCAGAAATAAACAACAGCAGAGCACCAGTAGCTCCAATGGACCTTGTCCCCGACAGTGACTCGTCGGCAGAAAAGCCGCACAGGACGAGGGCTTGGCATCCGCGTGGTGCAATGTCTCTTCAAGAGGCACCCGAACTAGCCTTCCATCGCTTGATTCGTATGGGTAACTCGGTTCCAGCTCCTCCACATCAGCAACCGGCAGCACAAGAGGCGCCGAGCAGAAAGAAGAGAAGTGCTCTCTATGATCCCGTTAGGGACATAGTCTTGCCGGCGCCTGAATCTTCGCCTGTCGCCGCCGAGCCCGTCCAGGGCCACACTTTGTCTGACGATGGCAACATCGAGACGACAATGGGGACGACACCTAGTCCCACTCTCAGCGAGCCGGGCTTCCGCAACATCGCCGGCAACAACACTCAATTTGCGGACCCGAATGCCCAGGTCGAAATCGACCTGAACACTGCTTTAACAATAAGGCTTTCGGATTTCCGCAGACCTTTAGCCTCTGCCTTTCCTCGAACCTCGGTAACTGCTGTCAAACCAAACCAGTACCAGAACCGTGGCCAGGAGAAAGTTCCCCTCCCACAAACACCACCATCCCAACCCGCAACCCAAGCCTCACCGCCAGATGCACCAAAGACGTCGCCCATCCCCCAAAGGGCCACCAGGCTGAACGTGCCAGCCACGTACAACGATATGATTGCGCAGGAGACACTGCTGCACCAATCCAACCCCGAACTGCACGAACAGGTGCGTGAAGCGGCTTCGTACGGCTTCACCACCACGTTACAGCCAGGAAATAAACGCTCCAGCGATGCGGCGTTGTCTCCGCCATCAGAAGGGCAAGAGCCGCCAATAAAGAAACTCCACAACAGAGGCGGCGCCCGTCCTGGTGCGGGGAGACCAGCGACTAAGATGTTGAGGCAGCTGGCTAGTGGGACTGCTCCGCAACCGCTCAGGGCTGGTAGTCTTTGGGATAGGCCGACGTCCGCTTTTGGTGCAAGTGGTAGTGGTTCTAGGTCTGGGCGTGCTTCTGTTGCTGGTGCTGGATCTCTCTCAGGCTCCTACTCTGCTTTTACCTTTGCCCCTTCCGCGGACCCTCACAATCAACCTCCCAATTTCCCTCCAGCATCTGCCGGCCCCAGTGGCCTAATTGGCACGTCCCCCAGCAAAGGTAAGAAGCGCAAGGCGGATGAGGCGGGCGTTCTGTCTTTGGATGAGAACCTTCCTGCTCCTGTGTCTTCTTCTTCTGTGGCTGCTTCTGTGCTTGAAGTTTTGAAAGGGGAGCCACCGCGGTTGCCGCTTGCTGCCCTGGATATAGAAAAGGGTGGGGATGCAGGGGGTGGAAAGGGGCATGATACCTCTAGCGATGACAAGAAGGAGGAGGAGAGAAAGGAGGAAGTAGTGGAGCATAAGGTTGCCGGGGAGGAGACAAAGAGTTGTGAAAAACCTGAGGAGGAAAACACTCCATGGCTGCAGTGGGAGAACCTGCGCGGAGGAAAAGGGGAAGGTTTGCGCTCGGAATCCGCATCACCAAAGAGCAAGGCAGAGGAAACCAGAGGAGCCCAGGAACCAGAGTGTAGAACGCAAGCAGAGGGAGACGAGAAGAGACAGGCGACAGCGAAAGGGACAGAAAAGGGAAATGGAAAGAGGAAGGCCGAAGCCATTACCCCAGTGGCAGAGCCCGCGGCAGAGGAACCGGCGAAAGATGAACCACCAGCAAAGCGGGCTAAGACAGCGGCCATGTCCAGCTCCGCGGTCTCCGAGGCGTCGGTAAGGCGCAGCGCAAGGCCCCGAAAGCCGACTGCTAAGGTCAGGGACAATATGATCCAATAGATTGCCAGAGGACAATGGGTGTTGGACAACTGGGCCAAGACGGTCAGCAAGAACAAGAACGTCAAGATTCTCTTGGGAGTGTCGGGCAGCCCGGCAGCTGCAGGTACCGGGTATGTGGCTGGAAGCCAACTGGCCAACGTCATCAAGTACTCCCAGACATTCTTGAGCTTTGGCGGCGTTATGATGTGGGATATGAACCAAGTGTGGGCGCAGTGGTGATGGTTCTTTTGAGAATTATTAGATGGCAGCGTACGTAGACACTCAGCGATGTCGACTTGAACGCGACTAGAAATGACACAATGAAAAATAATTGTGCAAAGAACTCGTCCGAAATCCCTGTTGCTTAAATTTTTTTTATTGTGCTGTGACATTCTGTTGAAGGAAGGAACGAGTGTCTTCTCCGAGTTCTTGCCTCCGTCACCTTCCAAGCCAGGGTTGAAGTGGGGCACAGATGATTCAGTAACAAGGCCTTGTTTCCTTTCATCCCGTCGCCCTCCCGTCTTGCTTTCCTCCTGAAATCCTTCTCTTTCCAACCCAAAATAATAACTGCCGCCTCTTGATCCCCATGCGCAGCTCTCCTATTGACCACTCTTCCTCCCAACCCGAACCCCAAGTAGAATACTACGCCTGCTGGGACCCCCTACATCCCTGGCCCGCGTTTCTGTCTTTCTTCAAGTGGAAATAGAACTGGTCGAGCTCGTTGTCGTCGTCGTTATTTTCTGCGGTCCACCTTATTCTGCAGACATGTGCACCCGTCCTGGCCGCAATCGTAGCACCGCTTCCAGGCTTGCTGCGAGATTAAGGCATTCAATGTCTCTGCGAAACAACCTTATTATTGACTTTGCCGGATGCGACACAAGGACCAAACCGACCGTGGTAGGGCTTTCTGCATTTGCCGCAAGTTTGTTTGTAGCATGGCCGGGTAGGTACCTCTATGTAATATAATGCGTGTGTTTACACGTCTAACTGCCTCGCCTGCTACAACCACCCTTCGGGCTTGTCTTCGAGTTCAGTGCTATGTCCCGCTCTTTCGGAAGCATTCGGTTGGCCTTCGGGCTTGTCTTTGGATTGGGCCGACTTGTCGAATGCATTCGGGGCTTCAACTTTTTTCGTCTGGGGGTTCGGGAGTTGAGCTGGCTTGTCGAAGGCGTTCGGAGCTTGGCTCGCTGTCTTAGTTTTCCCGCCCAAATGCTGCAACCAACCTGTTGAAATAAGACCGCTCCTTCCTCCCGCTGACCAGGAAAATGTTTACTGAATCCGCAAATGCGGAGCTTTGGCACACCAGTCCGGCAAGCCCCAGGCCGCGAAGCTTTACTATTTCTCATGCCCTTTGTTCATCCCTTCTTGCGCCACCGTAGAGCCGTGGTCTGGAGTGACGTCCGGGTGTTCACCCGGCTACAACTCATCGGTTTAAGGCTTGGTTTGCAAGGGTTCTTCACCTGGAGCGCCATTCTGGGTCAGGGGTTTCGTCGTGGATTGCCATCTCCACTTCCAAAAGTTGTAAGTAGAAGAAAACCGTCTGCCACGATCGGTATGAAGATCCAATGATCCATTGCCAACGCCGCAGGAGAGCAGCAGCCAAAAACGAAGGAAATCGTGGTTGTAGCAGCAAGAAAACTGGTCGAGCACAGAGACTGATCGCGCACAGAGGGGGCTGAGGTTCCTGCCGCTCGGCGATGGTGGTGATGGTGGTGTTGAAGCTGGCGCCTCTTGGCTATCCCTTGCGGGCATCTTCACTACGTTCGGCGATAGCTCCCCAGTCCCAAGTGCGTAGACCTCGCTGAATTTCTAGCCCTTCTCCTCAATATTGTAAGCGTTGGAAGGCTTGTAGTCCTCCGATGAATGAAGGACCGGGGGAGGTCGGGCTGGGGACCAATATTTCCCGAAGACATTTTCACCGCCAAAGAGAATATAGAGAAAGAATGAAGTAAAACATGGTGAATGAAAGAATGTTGCCGACCAAAACTCAGAATACTCAAGAAACTTGAGTATGAATGTGAAATTGTAACGATTGTAGTAAAATGTGCTGTCGTAACAATATCTTCGCCCAGGAGGGCAAATCAGTCATCCTCAAGCTTGCAAAGGACCCTAACAGCAAGGAGCTGTGGAATGACTTCCAATAGCATCGAAATATTTCCCGCCTCTTCAACAGGGTGTACCAAGTTGAAGAGGTCTGGGTCCCCAGCTTGCTTGGCTTCGTGCCGCCCCAGAAGACGGACTTTTGGGATGCGGAACCCGGCCTCACCAAAGCAGAGACTATTCGCTACAAGACACTTTTGAGCCACGAAAATGATTACAAGAACACTTTAAAAACAAGGGCTGCCCATGTACACCTCTTCTAAATACATCAGATCAGACGGAAGGCCATTCCTATACCCAGGGTTAGGGTGCCCACTCCGACACTCAAACTTTCCAGGCAGACACTTACTCGTATGTTCTTCCCATGAGGGGTAAACATCAGATAGCTGCTGGCTTCTGGGAGCAAGATCCCCAACCTCACTTCCTTCAAGACGCCGTTCTCTCCCAACATCAGCTGCTCAAGCACTCGAAAAGTAATAACCGTCCATCTCTAGTCTAGCTTCCGCCTCCTCATCTCCCCATCTTCAGTCTGGAAGGCCACAGCAGCCCCCAGTCACGGCAGCAAGCAGCGAAAAAGAAAAAAGATAGAAATAGGAAAAAAAGATGTGCGGTCCGGGGTTCGAACCCGGGTTCTCTCGCTGGCAGATGTGCTCCCCTGGCCACTGTAGGGGTACTGACTATGCAGACCCAAGTTGGACGACTATTGGGACAGCAGTTTACTGAGCGAACGCGTTAACCACTACGCCAACCGCACTTTGCTTTGTTGTTGAATTGAGGTCTGCGGAACTAATATATATACCTCGAGTCAGGTACTCCTGGTACTGGTGTTGGTGTTGGGTCGTGGTGGCGGTCTGGGGGTTTTTCATGTTCGAGCTGGTGTTGATGCCGGTGCTGCTGGTGGTGGTGCTGGCGGTGTGGTTGCTGATGCCTGTGATTTGGTGCTCTTCATGTTGAAGCTGCTGCTGGTGGTGGTGGTGCTGATGTTGATGTGGCCTCTGAAGCTGGAGGTTTGGTGTGAAGTCTGGCGATCTGGGCCTTGGTGACGTTGGAGGCGTGCCTTCCTTCCTTGACAGAAGGCTGGTGGCGACGGGTCGCGATGGTCTTGGTGGTGGTTTGAATCCATCCCGTTCCTTCTGTTTGCTGGCAGAAATGGGCAACGCACACTTTCCCTTGGTGGGTTAATTTTTCTTGATCCAGCGCCCGTGACCCAACACTCCAGCTCATTGTTGGTGTTTCCATTCTCTTGAACAACCACATTCGTGATCATGTGCACCCACGACGTTCAAAGACCACAACAACCAGTTCGTAATTCGCAGCAGCCTTTAGTTCTATCACCATTCAAGTATGAATGCAAGTACTCGTAGAGATGAACGCAAATTTATTTACTAGTTGCAACATTGGCAGTACACGTTCTCGTGATACTCATTGGCGTGGTGTTGAAGGCGTTCGTCCTCCTAGCAACGCAGCTCCTGCCTTTGCAACCCTTGCCCTTGCAAGCCCTCGGCTGTAATGAGGTTCTCACGTACCGTCACTTGTTTTCTTTTGAGAGAAGCATCCAGCGGAGGTCGATTACCCACGAAAACTCGCTGGCTACAGCAGTTCACCATCTTCCAAATCCCCCAGCCCACGTCGGCACGTCGCGTGTCAAAATGCGCAGACTACATCTGCCACAGCATTCCTTGCTTGGCGGTGAGCAACATACCTAGCTCTGTTCATACGACCCAAGATAGATCACTACCCCTACAAAGAAACAAAAACATTGAATTTGCTTCGCCTTTTGTATCCCGAATATAAAGTCCACATGTCTTTCGTGTCCCTGATACCTGCGTCGTAGACCTGTAGCAGTGCAGTGCAGCAGCGCAGCTCACCGCGCATACCTCACCGCGCGGCGTGCGCGCCACAGTCAGTTTACCTTACCTTAAGACTCCCGTCGCGACTCACCTACGCGTCAGGCCCCCCCGCGATACCAATCACCCACTGAACCACCCAATATCAGCCAGTTCCCCCTTTCCTAGGTACCCGTTTCAGGGTGCTACAAACCACGTGGGTTGAACACAGGACACAGGTTGATCAAATTGCTACATGGACAGAAATTCGCTATCGACGAAAGCCCATGTACGACGTGAAACCGGGTATGGCTGAATGGCTGAAAACGGGCTTGGTGTCAGCGGTGTCAGAATGTTGGGATTTTGTTGAGGAACTGCGGACTTGGAGGAGGAGGAACTGGTTACAAGGGTATGTCTTGGAACGGTCAGTCAGTTGTCGGTTCAGTCAGTAAGAAGGACCAGTCAGATTGAGGGGATTCTCAATATTGCGAGAGACATGTTTTCAGAATGTTTGATGGGAACTTGATAGGATAGTTTTCAAACCACGAGAATATGCGGAGTTACTTTTCCATTACTAGAATAGAGCTGTTCTTTTGTAGATTCGTTAAGGAGCTGCTGAACGAAGAAAACTGTTGCGCAGTCCTTGGGATCGCTCTGTCCGTCAAAAGTAACCCATCGCTGATACGCAACTGAAGCCTCTTGGGCAATCCCTGAACCTGAGTCCCTCGATTTTGATCTCTATGTCATCGCGAAGAAGTGTTGATACAGAGCTGAGTTGAGAAGAAAAGGGTCTTGAAGAAGGGTAGACAAAGGAGAGGTAATCATTGAAGTTAACAAGCCGCCGGGTATGTATCGCAGAAGAAGAAGAAAAGTCATGCCTCAACGCCGTAAGTCAGGTCATCATCATCCTACTCCCCGCTCTGTACCATCAAAATCACCATGCCACCCGTCACTTTTTTCTGCCCATCCCTCCATTTGCTTAACGTCTTTTTCTGACCTCGTCGGTGCATCTGCCACCGCCACCACCGCCGCCGCCAGTAGCGCTGCCATCGGAGATGGGGAGAGGCGTGTAGGTGCGGGGTCTCCAGCCATCACTACCGCCTGAGCCAGAGCCGGACGAGCCGGAGGACGACGAGCCGGTGTAGCTGGATGAACCAGAAGTGGCGCTGCCAGTCCATGTGTAGCTGCCTGAGCCGCTGGTGATGATTTCCTGGGGCATCTTGAAATTTGAGTACGCGTTCGCTTTGCTTGCTCGTTACGTGGACGATGGTGAAGTGAGAAGTCGGTTGCCTGGGTGACAGGAAGATTGTATATCGAGACTTGAAGACCTTTGCAGAGGTTAGCGATGAGTTTAGTAGACGTTTGAAGGAAAGATAACGTACTTTATACGGGAAACGCCCAAAGGAAGAAATGTGAGACCTCGGTGATGATTTGATGTTGTGGCGTAAGTTGAGAAATAAGGGTCCGAAACGGTAGTTTATGACTGACGGGGTGTCTGATGTAATCTGCAAGATGCCGACTGAGACTTGCGGGTAGCAAGGTTCGACTGGTATTGTGTATGAAGAGGGGACTGATGACTTGGGACGAAAGAAAACCCCTAATAATCACGGGACGAAGCGCGTTTATATACGCCACAAAACAACGACGAGTGTTCAACCAGAACCGATCACCGAAAAGCAAAACACACAATACCAATCTCAAAGTTGTTTAGTGACCGAGATGGCCAAGACGACTTGGAGATGGTCATCACCAGAGGCTTGCATAGCCATCAGCCTCACTCATCGAAACGTGCACATGTCGGTGTGTCGATGACCAGTAGAATTCCACGCTCAATTTGCCCCTGAATTTGACACATAAACAACAGCGGTCCATCCTCGCGACATTACGTCTATAACCAAGTCTCCCTGGGGTGCCTGGACCCTTTCTCTGTAGCCTCTCTCGACCCAGCTTCGTCAAAATCGATGCGAAGGACTGTGTACCAGCCCTCAGACCTGCCTTGAAATCGGCAGATTGTGTTTTCGCTGTCTCGTTTCAAAGTGCGCAATGTATTATCCCAGCCCTCGAGAGGCTGTCAGAACGAGACTCGCCTAGGGCTCCCTGTGCGGCCGAACGGTCACTGAGCGGTTACACGTACCCATTGTCCGGCCCTGGTAAACATGGCTTCTGGAAAGTTTCCATGTTCCACTGGTAAACGCCAAGTGTCCGATAGTGTGAAAGGCATTTTTGCCCGAACATGCATAACGGCCGCTTATAACCCGATTCCGATGCCTTGGTTCCAATAGTGTATACGGCTCGATAGCAGGTATGGAGATCTGACGGCCCGGGGATCGTGTATCAGTAGGAGCACCAGTGGTTGACCTAAACCTCCATCCAGGGTCATTGCGTAGCTCGTGTAACACCCATCAACTACGCTGCACCCAAGATCTCCAACGCTTTCCTTAGCTCCTTCACCGCCGTAGGGACGTCTTCAAAGTTCAATGCTGAAATCGCCCATTTGGCGTGCTTCTGAGCCGAAGCCATGGCAGCTTCGTCTGTTGTGAAGCCTCCAGTAACTTGCGAAGAGGCATAAGTGGATGCAGGGACAGCTAGTGCAGGAGGCACTGGCTGTAGACTGGGAACTGCAGGAGTTTGGGGAGCTGGAGGAGCTGGGTTCTGGAAGTAAAAGTCAGTCGGCTGGTTGACAGGCGGTGATGCCACAGCAGCTGTTGACGGTGCACTGGGAGCAAACGTGGGAGGAACCACGGGCGGAGCAGGAGGCTGGCGATCAGCATCCGGCGTCCAAGCTGCAGCGCCCGCATCAGGCATCGAGATATCAGGATCAGGGTAGGATGACAGTGCGCTCGGAGCGGATGGCAGATCGGGCTCAGGCCTGTAGTTGACAGGGTTATGTGTGGGAGCTGAGACCGGAGTGTCCGAGTCCAAGGAGACTGTTGACGGTGCTGGGTCAGTAAGCCCACTGGGTACACCGGGCAACTTGAGTTCGGCTTCGGATATCGGGGATGGGCCAGCCGAGGCTGGGCTGACTGGCAAAGACACGCCGGCAGCGTCCGTCCTCTGCAAGTCTCTGTCTAGAACTTCCTCCACTGTGACGGAAAGGGGTGGTGGTGATTTCTTTTCGACCGACCCGGTCAATGCCTGAACTTCTGGATCACTGGGGTCCAAGGCGGGCTGTTGGGGTTCTTCGCGTTTCGGGTTGGACTCGTTCGGGTCCTTGCCCTCCTTGATAGCCTTTGCGATGCGTGCGGCATTCCACTTTGCATATTTAATCTTTTGTTGCGTCTCTTCGTCGGCAGGGCCCCAGATGTTGACCAGATGGAAGAAGGTAGCGGCGGCGTCGAATGTCATGGCCGTTTGCTGTGTCACTTTGTTTGCCTTGACCACTCGCTCGGCGCGATCAAGGGTTTCCTGTGCGAATCTGTCGACGACGGCCTGGCCGACCTCATCGTCTGTGTAGGCATCTTCGTTCGGGTGCTCAGCTTTGGCCTGTAGGGAACAACAGTCAGCAAGAGAAGGTGGTAAAGGGAGACGGAATAAAGCGTGCCTGTTCCAGCTTCCCCATCAAGTCCATCGTATAAGTCATCATTTCGTCATTCTCTTTGTGGAGTCCCCTGTTAAGGATCTGGTTGACGACCCAATAATTGCCTGCAAAAGTCAGACACTGCCGGCCCCCAGTTGTCTTGGGGGTACTTTGCTTTGCTTCTTGTACATACACCAATATGCAATCTCCGGTTTTACTGATTGGAGCTGGAGGGCCTTTGTCGCGCATTTCCAGAGGTTGATATCGGCGGCCTTGAGGGCAGCGGGGATCGTGATGTTGTCTGCCATGGCGATGGCGTTCGGGCGTCTAACAGGACGGGCTATACGTTCGGATAAAGATAGATGATTGATAAAGATAGAGGATCAGTAAAGACAGAGGATAAGAACATGAACGGGTGCAAACCAGGAAAGAATTACGGCTCGTCGTTATCTCTCAGCTTCCTCGTCAAGTCCCAACAGAGGAGGTTGACAGTTGAACACTGGACTGGCGTCGTCATCTTCCGCGGCTGTCTCCAGGCGGCACCATTGTTAGCGTCTCTTCCCCACATTCCCGCCGAGCCATCTGCTCCCAAGCGCTGCGGAAAGCACCATGCCATGTGCTTTGGAGCTTGGGCCACAATTCGGCCATAGCACGTTTCATAGCACTGAAAGGACCCCCGGACCGCAGTTCCCCTGGTGATTCTGGATGCTTCTGACTTCATTTGTTTGTGGCGCCTGCTTCACAGCTTCTGTTGAAATGTGTTCTTTTGCCGAACATGGGAAGATGACAACTTTTCCTTTCATCTCGATCTGTCTGTTTGTTGCTTCCCTTGGGGTTCAAAAACACGACACCATCCCTCAAGGGGTTCTCTAGTACTAGTACACATACGGGAGAGCTTCCTTTGTTCTTATACCCATTGATCTGCCATTGTACATTCATGACACTGTAGCTTCAACCCCACAAACCTCACCTATCATCCACCATCCCTACACACACCACAGTCACCAAGTAAACAAAGGCAAGACCTTCCTGATTTCATCATGCATCACCCCACCCTCTGCGCTCTGGCAGTCGGTATCCTGTCTGCGCTCCCCGGAGCCCAGGCCAACGGCCTTTATACCAAAAAGTCCCCAGTCTTGCAGGTCGACGGAAAGGATTACGATAGGTTGATTGCCAAGAGCAACCAGACATCTGTAAGTCCCGACTACATCTTAGATCATCAATAGTAATAGTAAACAATCTGACCTTCCCCCCGAAAAGATCGTTGAATTCTACGCCCCTTGGTGCGGCCACTGCCAAAACCTCAAGCCAGCCTACGAAAAGGCGGCCAAGAACCTCGAAGGCCTGGCCAAGGTCGCCGCCGTCAACTGCGACGATGACGCCAACAAGCCCTTCTGCGGCAGCATGGGCGTCCAGGGCTTCCCGACCCTCAAGATCGTGCGTCCCGGTAAGAATGCCGGCAGCAAGCCCATGGTGGAGGACTACCAAGGCCAGCGCACGGCCAGCGCCATCGTCGACGCCGTGGTCTCGCGCATCAACAACCACGTCGTCAAAGTCGAGGACAAGAACCTCGACAAGTACCTGAGCGACAAGAACGAGACGGCCAAGGCGCTCCTGTTTACCGACAAGGGTACCACGTCTCCCTTGCTGAAGAGCGTCGCCATTGACTTCCTCGATGTCATCCCCGTCGGCCAGGTGCGGAACACTCAGTCCAAGGCGGTATCTACTTTCGGTGTCGACAAATTTCCTACTCTGATCCTGCTGCCTGGCGGTGATGCCCCCGGCATCGTCTACGACGGTGAGATCAAGAAGGCCGACATGGTGAAGTTCCTTTCCCAGGCGGGCCAACCTAACCCGGACCCGGCACCGGCCAAGGCCAAGAACGGAAAGAATGGAAAGAACGGAAATGAAGGAAAGAACGGAAATGAAGGAAAGAACGGAAAGAACGGAAAGAAGGACTCCAAGAAGGCTGCATCTTCCTCCTCTTCCTCTTCTTCCTCCAAGTCCAAGTCATCTGAGACCTCAACCTCAACCTCCACCTCAACCTCAACCTCCTCCTCAACCTCCTCCGAAACCCCCGCCCCAACCCAAGAAGCCCCCGTAATAATCGACACCGCCCTCCCCATCCCCTCCCTCAACACCCCCGAAAAACTAACCAAGGAATGCCTAACGTCCAAATCCAACACCTGCGTCCTGGCCTTCGTCTCTCCTAGCAGCGGCGAAAAAGCCCAAAAGGCCCTCACCACCCTCTCCGAAATAGCCTTCAAATACGCCCACTCCGGCCACAAGCTCTTCCCCTTTTACGAAGTTCCCCTGGCCACCAACCCTGGCGGCGCCTCCCTTCTCAAGTCCCTTGGTCTCAAGGAGGATGCTGACATCGAAGTCATCGCCATCAACGCCAAGCGCGGCTGGTGGAGACACTACGACGCCGTTGGTGCGGCCGATGATTTCTCGGGACATGATAAGTTGGAGGCGTGGATTGATGCGATTCGGTTGAGCGAGGGAACCAAGAAAAAGTTGCCCGAGGGTGTTGTTGTTGAGGCTTCTTCGGCTCCAGTAAAGGAAGAGGAAAGCAAGGCGGAAAAGGCAAAGCCTGAGGAGGCTGTTTCGGAGGAGGAGACGACGCCGGAGGCTACCAAGGCTGTTACTAGTGACGAGAAGGAGTCGACTGCGCCGGTTGATCCTACGCCTGAGCCGGAGACGGCTACGCATGATGAGCTTTGAGTTTGGAGGGAAAAGTCTGATGCTTGGTTTACTGTGAGTGACTGTTGTTAGTTCATGCTGATCAGAAGCTGGAGGAGTCTTCATTTATCAATTTTTTGGGAATACTTTCAAAAGTTGGCGCACGTTTGACAAAAACGACTTGTTGCTCACCTGGTCATGAGCTGTATGTACTTGGTTGCATTTGATAGTCGTGAACTTCGTCATTTTGTTCATTCCTTTTGCCCCCCAAACCATTACAATGCTACCTACCGTGCCATACCCAACCCAATTCTATGAAACTTGGCCAGCCGTCCACCTAGTAGTATGCAATCAGTCCAGTTCCATATCATTCAACCCAACCCCCCTCTCCACTGTGCCCTCCTGTATCATCTTTATCCCCTTCTCCCTCACCACCCGATCCAGAATCTCCCTCACCTGCTTACACCCGTCCACGCCCACAGCCAACATGCCCTCCAGCCGGCTGACCTGCACTCTGCTCTCGCAGACCAGCACCGCCACCCGGTCGCTGTCGCCCAGCGTGGCCACCGTCAGACCGGGAAGCTCCTGCTCCTCCTGGTGGTTCATGTCCAGCAGCGGGTCGGCGCCCTCGTCGTTGGCCGCGTATGTGGACGTCGAGCCGGCCGTGCAGGCCGCGACGTAGTCTGTCATGGGAATGCCGGCGTCGACGCAGGCGAGCGTGGCGGCGTTGATGAGGGCGGCCAGCAGAGAGCCGTCCTGCGAGAGCACGTGCAGGGAGATGTTGATGGTGGAGTGCGGGAAGAGGTGGGTGTGCAGGCTGGCGGCGAGGGCTTGGGATATCGTCGATTGGAGCTCGAGGATGTGCCTGTGACGGAAGAAAGAAGGAAGGATGATGGTTAGTTATGCGAACAGTGACAGACTAGTAGCAGTAGCTAAGACTGGGGGAACAATCCCTGGGTGTCGACTTACTTATCACCTCTGCCCCTTCGCTTGCGATCAACGGAGCTAAACCCAGCAATCACAATGTTTACAGCAACCTCAGCGTTCTTGGATTGACCACCGCCACCACCACCGCCCGACGTGGCTCCCCTCCGAGGACCGGGCTCACTGGGTCCGTTGACGACACACATGACCTTGGTGTGGCCCATCTCGAGGTAACTGGAGCCATCGGCGGCGGCCTGGGTGCGGATCTGGGCATGGATGCGACGCAGCTCGTTCCACCTGCGGCCGTCGACGCGCAACAGCGCGAGGCTGTAAGCTGAAGTATCGAGAGGCATAGCTGTGTGTATGTGGGTGTGTGTGTTTCACTGTTCTCCTCCGGGTATCGTGGTTCGGGCTAATCTCTCTACCGGACAGGTAGCGAGTACACCTCGAGATTGGGGTACGGTATCCAGCAAAGATCAACAACAATTGCCCTGGGGCCTGTCTGGGGAGCTGGACCTGAGTCTAGAATTTGTGCTCCTGCTTCCCCTGCCTAGTGTAGAGCAAGCTCAGGTTATGCTTGTGGTATCCCGGTCGTTCTTCGGGTCGGGTCGGCCAAGTCCAATCTGGGAGATCGTGGTTACTGTGTACTGGCTTGGTGGGACAACGTTGTCGATGCGATTTCGTGCCGCGAGCGACGCGCAAGTTCTCGGTACGTGTTTCGAAGGGAGAAAGGCTTGCGTAATACGGGAGTGTCGGGCCCCAGTTTCAGGGACTAGATTATCGCGAAAAGTGGGAATTCGGAGCTTCCGGTCGACCAGTCTGAATAATCTACAACAGGTTGGTGGACGGTTGTTGACTTTGAAATCGCCTTTGTTGATGGACGGACGTGGGTGGTTGCGCAAGGCCGAAAGTTTCCAATGGCAAGACAGGAAAAGTTTAGCTGAGCGGGGCGGGGCAAGATCCGCCGCGTCTCAGGTCCGCGGGGTCGCCGCGCTCCACCGCTCGGCGGGAGTTCCACAGGGCTTCCACTTTTGCTTCCATCAGGAGCTGAAGTGCATGCATGTGGTCTGTGCGTCGGCTTGTTTGCAGCTGCAGCCAGAGGAGCCGATTGAACAATTGAAGCTTTGATCCCGGGTCTCATGGTCAGAAGGAATGAATCTATGTATTGTTGTTATTCATTCCATCTACTCTCCACGTGAGCTGTCTTGCCATAACTACCACTTCCATCCAGATCACAGTGGTACACCCGCAGGGACGAGATTGAATGCGCCATGGTTGGGGGATCATTGATTGTCTTTGATCGGGCACAGGGAGCATGTGGATGTGAGGGCAGTAGCAATTCCACCGCAACTGAAGTCTGGACTCAGGAGATCACCTACTCAGGGGCACGCCGTGGCAGACTGGCAGTGGCAGTGACCCCTTGACAACAGCAAGGAGGAAACCGGCATTCCTCCATTCCCCCCTTCGCCAACTGAATACGGGAAACGGAAACCAAGATCATCCCATGGATACCGCGATTTGTTGGCTGTTCGTAATGTCGATTGGTCTGTATTCTTGGAAGCTTCGCATGAGCGCCTCGTCATCTTTGATCATCTCGGACCCAAGAGTGATCCGGTTCTGAGAGTCTGGAACGCGCGGCAATACTGCTGATGCTCCGTATCTGGGGCGCGGGTAATCCAAAGGGGTGGAAATCGATCAAGTTTCAAGAGGATCCCGTTTGGTGTTTTTGGATCGAGTTGTTCATGATCGAGTCTCTGCAGCCCTAGAGGTAGACAGCTAGACTAGTACGAATTGGCCTAGTCAACATGGTTGAACAAAGATTCACCATCAGCCAGTCGTCAGCCAGTGACCACAATGCCTTTATCAAATGGTTTCATCAGACGCGGTTTGTTTCTTGTTTTCACCGTTTGAAAACCTCACGATGCGCGCTTGCTCTTTGAAGAATTAGGCCCGACCAGCCCACGGGGTCCAACGGGACAACGGGAGAGTGTGTTGCCAAGTCTACCAAGGAACCACCCGACAAGGCCAATTCGCATTACGCTTCTAATCAAACTGTGGATGAACCATGGATGAGGCCAAGGGGTTCGCCAACACATTTGGCAGTAATTACATGTGTTAGGGATCAAAGCTCTTGGATGGCATTGCCCCCGTTCCCGTTCATCTCGATTCAGACCACCGACCGCGGAAAAGGGAAGGACGGTGACAGGGCTAGCGCTGCCATCCTCGACGCCAAAGCAACCTTCCCCATGCTCAATTTCCAGAACACCACGCAATGCACGTGCACCATGTCTTGGGCCCCTTTGAGTGAAAAGATAAAGAAACGGACGAGAAAAGTCACGATGAGATTGCTATTGTGAATGAAACAATGGCTTCTTTCACTTTGGCAAACGGAACGTGACCTATTCTTGGGTCGAGGGTGCGAAGTCAGCGTTACGCCTTTGTGCGTCGTCGAAGGGTTCCATTGTTTCCACCACTCAATCGACCGAACTGCCGGCGAAATGGGTGGTGGATATCAAAGGGGCCAGCCAATCAGAGACGTCACGTACCTGAGCAGAAGTCGTGGACGGCGGGTCGCAGCTGGCCACTCAGGGACGACAGATGGGACGATCACCGCCCTGAGGTGAGTGGTGACGAGTGGCAGGGACTGCGAGACCCACCCGGCCCACCTGTCCAGACCAATCTTCCAGGTGCCAGGGATCAATCTGCCAGGCCCTCATTTCGGCGCCCCGGGCATGTGCGTGTGCCCCTGCATGCTGTCCGCCGGGACCACAACATGGGCCAGCCCGCTCGTCTCTTTTAACCTCTCGACGCCCTCCCCTTCGTCCCTCGCGATTTCATTCCTCCTCCATCCAACACACAACGACGCACAACGCTTCCTTTGTTGCGCTTCACCACACTCTTTTTCCCATCTCCCGCGCAGATATCCCAATCTCGCAGCCATTCATTTAGACAGCGGTCCCACGCTACACCAACACTCCTTGGATTGATTGCACAACATAGACCACGTCGGCCACCTCATCTCACATAAACTCGACATTTATCAAGCCAGCTTTCAGCGTCTTTTCGAGATACCCAGCATCCTTTGCGCCATCTATCCATTCCAACTAGACCAACAACTATTCAAACCGACAAGATGCAGATCACCAGCCTTCTCGTCCTTGCCGGCGTCCTCGGCGCCTCGGCCATGCCTTCTGGCCACGCCCACCTCCACCGCGCCGCCCACCAGCAGCGTGACCTCAAGTTCTACAAGGCCGAAAAGCACTTCCCCATTCCCATCCCTTCCGCCACCTCCTCCTCCGTCGCCATTCCTTCCAGCACCACCGCTCCTGCGGCTGCTGCGACCTCTTCGGCTGCTGCGACCCAGGACGACGACGAGTATATTCCCTTCTGCGGCGAGAACAAGAACACCAAGCGCGTCACCTACGCTCAGATCATGTACACTGGCAACACTGGCACCACCAACGGCTGCAAGTGGAACTCCAACTTGATGACCGTCCCCAAGAGCATCGCCGACAAGTACAACAACCGCATGTTCTTCACCAACGTTGCCAACGAGCCCTACCAGGTTGTTTGCGGCAACAAGATGGGTTCCGACGGCGGCCTCAACGGCATGTTCAAGACCCCCGCCAACCAGCAGCTCGTCTTCACCCTCGCGCCTGGCCAGACCGAGGTCGTCGTCGCCGACGCCAACACCCAGGGTGTCTGCGCTTTTGCCCCCGAGGAGGTTCCTACCACTCAGAACGGCCAGTTTGCCGGTAACTGGGCCGAGTTCGACTTTGAGAACAGCAGCAACGGTGGCTGGTCTGGTGCCGACTGCTCTTCGCTTGTTGCCCAGGCTGCCGGTATGGACGTTCCCGGCTGCCAGATTTGCGGCCACGGCACCTGCTCCAGCATTCTCCCCGGTGGCGCCGGTACCAACGCCTACACCAAGGGTATGGAGGCTTTGGACGGTATTGGCCTCAACCTCATGGCCGACCTGCAGATCACCCTCAACATCAGTGTCGGCTTCAGCGGCTAAACGTTTCGTTCCCGAAATACAAACCTTGTCTCCGATTCATGACGATAACCGACGGTGCCTTGTAGGCAGCCTTATTCATGGCGGTTCAATGTGGTCGTTGCTATCTTGCTTTCTTGTTACATACTTCATGAAGGAGCGGCGTGGTGTGCTTGGAAAATTGATGCTTCCCCGGCGAGGGTACGGGCTACGTTATCTAGGCATTTGTTAATTGAATACCATTCTTGATGACTCGAATCCGTCGTTGGTCGTGTTGATATCCGTGTCTCTAGTGTACCTACTTCATCGTCTACCTGCGACATTCCTGTTTGCTGCAAGATCATGTGCGCCGGCAAAGCCAATAAACAGCAGCCGCACGATGTCACAGATACATACATTGAGCTGCGCGGCATTTTCCACAGCTTCTATACATATCCTTGAAGCCTTCTTCCTCGTTCGAATACGAGAAACAATGAGCACAAAACCGGTACCAGCTCCTGATGATCACGTCGATCAAACCCCAAATAACATCGCACAGGGCGGCACAGGGCTCCACGGCCCGGTCCCGCTTTGGGGGCCTTCTGGGGAATGCAATCAATGCGAACAAAGGCACAAAGAAACCACATTTCTGTTCGTGGTAAGCTTAATTGGATCCGAGTATTTGTGGTGCACGTGTGGTAGCACAAAGTGAGGGGGTTTAAGTTATGATTTTTTTTTTTCGTGGAACCATCCTTGGGTACCAAACGAGTAACGAGTCAGGGCCGGGGAGAGCCGGACGCTGGTGAGGGACTGGTGAGATGTCGTCAGAACAAGACTTTCAAGAAGTTTTTCGTTCCCATCTTCCGAGCGGTGTCGATCACCATCTGATATGCAGTAGTTGGGTTAAAGTTTCCACTTCCTTTTGCCACTTTTATTGCGTGCTTTCGGTGTCAGGGTGTGTCTTATGGTTTCTTCATTGAAGAAGCGGAATTCTCCGTCCGTTTGTTTTCTTTTCCCTTTTGTTCTTCGTCATGATTTCTGTTTGTTAACATTGTACGTTGTTCCGTGGTGTGCAGCCGGCCAGCCGGGTTGCAGGCCGGCAGCAGAACCGTATGCCGCGCTTCACGTGGTCCTCTCCTCGCCGAGCGCCTGTTCATAAAAAAAGCTCAGACGAACAAGATCCGGGTACGGTGGGTGTTTGGGTCTGGGTCTGAAGAAGTTTAGATGAATAGGCGGCAGCTCCGGCACCACGGACCGCATCGGCGGTGGTTGGCTCGGGTTCGGGCTTTCGCTCTGGACGATGGGAAACATCAAAACTAATGATTCCCGGCCGTTTTCCTCGCTCCCTTCACGCAGTCGACTCGAGCCCCCTGTCCGGAACCTGAAGAGAGGAAGCGATGACACCCGGTCGATCGATCTTCCCCGCCTGCCTGTCCCGGGTTCCCAAAGAAGGAAAGGACGATATCCGGCCATCTACTCGTCAGGTCTTCAAAACCGACCATCTGACTAGCGGGCGAGCCACTAGTCAGGGCCATTAATTCGTACACGACCATTAATTCGTACCGGATTCTTGTACCGAGACGGTATATGGTGTGCATGCATTGGATGTTCATCTAGGTGGAGTAAAAGTGCATCTAAGCCATGTTTGCATGCGGGTAAGACCAATAACCGGTTTAGCGTGGGAGACTTTGGCGCCAAGGGTTTTTGCTAGCCATTCAAAGTCGCTCCCGCGGTACGAATTAATGGTCGTGTACGAATTAATGGCCCTGACTAGGGGGTTTCCTCCTAGTCAGACGGTCGATTTTGTAGACCTGACGAGTATTCCTTCCGTCCCTTGTAGTTGTTATGCTTAGGTATTCCAACCTACACCCGCACCCTCGATGACCCGGTTCCATAAAGGATAATAAGACCTCTGCAAAGACAACTTGACATCATCTATCTCCTTACCTTATGCCCATCTACCTTCTTTGCTCTTTTGTCCACTCGTCCCCTGAGAATTCAAGCGGGGTTCAACCCAAAACTTGGACACGTCACGAATCCATGTCTTACGTCCTACATCTCCCCAGCTTATGTGATAACGGTTTTGGAAGTTATTGTTGCTGACTGCTGCTGAGTTCTGACTGCTGTAACGGTACCTTGCATTCTTACTGCAGCCGTCAATCTATTCTCACGCAGGTAGGTAGGTAGAGGTACGTATGGCAGAACCATACATTCATCGCATGACATACGTGACGCAAGGGAAGGTACCTTAGCTCTCTCTCCTAAGCGGCAAGCGCGCGCTGTGGACCTACGCGCCGTTGTATGCATGTGTTGTGCCTGCGTCCCGTTGCGTATCTAGTTAGCAGGTAAATGAGCTGCGAAGCTGGCATCTTTCTTTGGGTTGGGGTGTGCATGATGTCTGTATGCCGTGGTAACGGTTGTGCGTTGTGCGCTGTGCATTGCTGTGAAACATCAGAAGCGCTTTCATTTTAATTTCATACTTTCCCCGCGTCTTGTATTCCGTGAGAATGGGGATACCGAGATGGTCGCAGTTTCGTCTCCTCGAGGTTCCATAATTGTGTTATAGTTGCACAGTTGTTGAAGGACACGTGGGACCATGGCTGTGGGTTGGGTTGGGATTCATGAGGGAGACGGGTTGTATAATGCTTTTGTGCTTTGATAGGGTATGCTAGTTCGGAATGATGTGCTTTGTATGGGGTCAAACATCCAAGATAACAGCCTCCTTGTTGTAAGTGCAATACCTCCACCTTCAAATCAAAGGCTCCAAGTCAAACGAGAAACTCATCTCCTCAACCTTGACGAGCAAATCCTCCCTCACACCCGGCCCGCAAGCTGCCGTGCCCACACCTGCAACCTTTGCGTCAAGCCTCAGCAGCGTAGCGTCCTCTTCCACAAGATCGCAAGGATGATTTGCCTCTTCTAAAACCTTTGCGTTATGTCTCGTCACCACAAAGCTGAAGTTCCTCTCGCAATTTTTCGACCACTGAGCGCTCCCTGCTATAGCCCGTAGCCCGGCCCCTTGAGGCTCACGGATGGTTACCCACCTCGTTCCCATGCGGTTGCCGTTCTCCTGCGGTACTTCATAAGGGGTCTGAAGATCGGCGACGTGGTCGACAGACCAATTGCCGACGCGTTGTGCAGTGCGCTTGTCAGGATAGGATTCTCCCGGTCCTAGGCCGAACCACTTCACGGCATCGAGGCGGCGTGGAAGACGGAGATCGAGACCCACACGGGGAATGTGGGCGGGGAGTGTGTTGACGTAGTCGGAAGACTGAGGTTTGAGGGTTATCACGATGCGAATAACGCCAGCGGCAGTGATTTCGTGGACCGTATGGGCAAGGTAGCCCCAGGAAAGAATTGGCGGTGAATGGAATGTTTTGGTCGTAATCACAACCTTGTCATCAGTGGCAGAAACGTCGAAGGAGCGGAGCTGGCTGGTCATGGCATGGACGCCGAATCGCTTCCAGTACGGGAGGGAAATAGGGTTATCATTGTCGGTGGGTGGACGCCAAAAGGAAGGAATAATGGCCGCGCCAGTTGACGGATTGGGCTCTAAGAGGGGAGCACCGCTGGCTGTCCAGCTGGTGATATGGCCTTGTGCATTGTCGAAATTGACGGAGAAGTTATGTCCCGTGATAGTTGTTCGAGCGCCAGATGATTCGCATCGGAGCGGAAGGTTCACAAGTGACTGTAAAGACAGCAGACCGTGATATTTTCCATGATCAGACCAAAGCTGGAACTGAGCCCAGGCAACTTCCTGGCCCTGCTCCGCCCACGCTGTCGAACATTTCAGGCGGAATGAGACGGTTAACCACATATCGTCTGATAGTTGCCGTAAGGGTCGACGGCCTAGAGTCAGGTTGACCAACTCTGATGATTGTGGGGGGATATGTGGCAGTTCCAAGACCCCAGTGCCATGCAAAAAGGTACTGAAAAAGGCAGATTTGTGCAAAATGGTACTAGGCAAGGCAGATTTGTTAGAGGCGCGGCGCAAAGTTTGAGTTGACAGGATTTTACCTAGTGGCATTGATGAAAGACTCCAGTTTCCAGGTCGCGGTTAGATGATCGAGGGAGACAAAGTCGTACAAGTTCGTAATCTTCAGCCAACAGTTTGCACTTAAACCGTTGTAAGAAACCCATTGGGTCTCTATAGGCTGATACACTTTCTGTAGCTCGAGTAGGCCAGGTGTCGGTTTATGAGTGCTGTACAAAAGACCGTCCATGACAAACGTTCCGTCATTAGGGACATCGCCGAAATCACCCCCGTAAGCGTAATAGGACTTGCCATCAGGGTCTTCTTTCCATAGACCGTGGTTGGCCCATTCCCATATAAAGCCTCCCTGAAGGCGAGGGTAAGTGCGAAATGCCTTTTCGTAATCCTCGAGCCAGCCAGGTCCGTTTCCCATTGCGTGCGCGTATTCGCAAAGCACTATGGGCTTCTCGAAGGTGCCATCGGACCTAACGCCTTCAGTCGCGGCAAGGCTGATCAACCGCTCAACTGATGGATACATGTAAGAGTACATGTCAGCAGACTCAGCGTGAGGGTCTCCTTCGTAGTGGACTAGCCTTGTCGGGTCGATATCTTTTGCAAGCTCGTACATGGCTCTGTGGTTTTGACCGTAGAAAGCCTCGTTACCCAAGGACCATATAATGACAGAGGCGTGGTTCTTGTCCCTGTGTATGAGCTGGGCCATGCGATCCAAGTACGCAGCTTTCCAGGACGGGTTGTCACTGGTAAATTTGGCGGCATGGGCAAAAGTTAGCTTTTTTCGCTCTTCATAATCCACCTCTTCAGGTATATCTAAGGGACGTGCAATGGCGTCGTAGAACCCGTGACATTCCAGATCTGCCTCGTCTATGACCCAGAGACCGAGCTCATCGGCGAGGTCTAGAAGCTTTGGGTGAGATGGGTAATGGCTGCATCGTAACGCGTTGATGTTGTGTGTCTTCATGAGCAGGAGATCCTTTCTGATGAAGTCCAGCGGTACAGCACGTCCAAAGGAAGGGTGATGGTCGTGTCGGTTGACGCCGCGGAATCTGATGGGCTGTCCGTTGACGCAAATCAGTCCGTTCTTCAGCTCGACTTTGCGGAAACCGACCTTTTGTTCAACCAGGTGGGTCTGAATCATATCGCCGACCTCGAGCTGTATCCTGACGGTGTAAAGAATTGGGCTCTCCGCTGTCCATTGGTACACATCGTTGATCGGGATCTTGATCATCACCTTTCTACTGCCAAACCCCTTGTCGCTGACAGAATAGACCGTTTGCCAACTAGGATCTCCAATGATTACGACTACCTCTGAGTGAGACTCTGTTTTGACATTGATCTCGGCAATGAGTGTTCCATTCTTGTATCCGGGGTCGAGATCTGTCCGTAAGAACCAGTCCTCGATGCGAGTTTGGGGGAAGGACAAGAGATGTACGTCGCGGAAAATGCCCGAAAGCCACCACTGATCCTGGTCTTCGATGTAGGAGCCGTCTGACCATTGGTAAACCCGGACAACGAGCTCGTTGGGACCAGCTCGATCGACGTACTCGGTTACGTCAAATTCGGAAGGGTTCCTGGACCCTTGAGCGTAGCCGATGAGAACACCATTGACCCAAACGTGGTAGGCGCTGTCAACACCGTCGAATCGCAAGCGCAGCTGGTCGGTAGACTCCCACGAGCCAGGCACAAAAAAGGAGCGACGATAGGTGCCAGTAGGATTTTCCGAAGGCACAAAGGGCGGGCAGACGGGAATTGGGTATTGGACGTTGGTGTAGTGCGGGATACCGTGGCCTTGAAGCTGCCAGTGACCGGGAACCTGGATGGTAGTCCACTGGTCTTTTGTCTTGTGCTCGTCAGTCGATTTTTGTCCATCTTTTGCGGTCGGATCCGGAGCAGCTAGAGGACTCGAGGCGTAGTGAAAGTCCCACTGGCCATTGAGCGAGAGAGAAGCATCCTTTGGGATGTAGTATGTTCGTGGAGGCAGAGTGTTCCGCCGGAAGACAGACTCGTTGCAGTAGTCGGGTGTGCCGTCGACCTCTTGAGGAGGGATGCCTCGAGAATGGGAGGCCATGGTTGCAGGAAAGACCGGTCCTTGGTAGAAGGACGGGAAGAGAGGTGTTATCGTGGGGGAATCTGAAGACAGGATGCCGGCCAAGTGGCCAGGCGTTTATATTTCAGGAAGCCGAGGCAGGTCATATCGTTGAAGCCGGCTGATCAATGTTGTTTTGTGTCTTGCCGCATCAACCGATCATCGGCATCGGTTCCAATGCGACGTCGTCTTGAACACGGTGAAAGGCGAGACTTGTCCGGTGATTGTCGTGAGGGGTTGAAGCAACCCCACATTCTTCTGCATACAAAAGTACATGTTCCCTTGGAGGCCATATCTTGCACCAATCACACTCGATACGCGTGGCTCAGGTTGTGAAAGGATTCTTCCTTCCCAAGTTCGTTTGCAGGTGAACAGGAAAGTCAATCAAACAGAGAAAAGGACGGCTCCTTCCCGTCACCAAGAAAACGAAAAGAAGCTAGCCGTTTGTGGGTTAGCACACCGGTTCAACTGTCATGACCTTGCCATGGCTGGGGGGAAATGCGGGGGAAGCACACCTGTCGGGGAAGTCGGAGCCAGCCCAATTGTGGAAGGAGATTGGTTGGTGCGGTTAGGTGCCTTTCCGTCCCCCCCAACCAGCACTCCAACATCGCTCTGTTCTCCAACTTCCACTTTTGCTCCTTTCTTCATTCTCACTTGCAGCCCATCGATGCCAGCGACCATGATCTCTATAGCAAAGTCACATTGCCACGGCTTTTGCCCGTTGTCTCTCCTTCAATCGTTTGTTTATTCCTCTCCTTCGGCAGAGTAACAGACCGGACGATACAGTACCAGTCGTCACTTTAACAGACAGCCCTTGTCTCGTCCATTTCCTCACTCACTGACCATCCAGATGTTCAGAATAACCATCACGGTCTTCTATGTTTACACACCCTGGATAGGGATACTTAAGCATGCGGGGTCCCACCTCTCCAGATCCGGAGGAAAAGAGACCGACCCTGTCACCGTTTCCCCAGATTTGCCCTCCAGAATTCGCCATCACGATGCACCTGATGTCTGGGGCCCCGGACCAACCCTGGTTATAACACTCTTGACAGTCACACCCTCCAAGTTCTCCTTCGGCATGGCAGCCCATAAAGGTGCCGACGGGTGCAAAAGCAACATCAGCATGCAGGGCTGCACCAATACAAAAAGCCTGGACCCATGACCGTCCAGCCATGGACGGCGGAAGGCCATCTGAGGAACTCATCATCGCTTTGCCTTCGTTGTATAAAAGGGCACGATGACCTCTTCGCTTTCCACCTCGAAGAGGTGTCTCTGATGATTTGCTCTTTCTCCGCATAACCCCATACCAGCCACTTAACATGGCACCTGCGTGCAAGCCACAACTCACACCAAATCCCAGTTCCTGGGTGGTCGTTTTGTCCTCGGTTTCGGCGTCAGCTTCTGTTGCGTATCGGCCCCTTGCTATGTCAGCGAGATGGCTCATCCCAAGTGGCGCGGCACCCTGACGGGTTTGTATAACACGACCTGGTACATTGGCTCCATTATCGCTTCGTGGGTCGTTTATGGTTGCTCCTACATTGAAAACAACGAAAACGCATGGCGAATTCCCATCTGGTGCCAGATGATCACCTCTGGCATCGTGTGCTTGGGGGTCTTTTGGTTGCCCGAGAGTCCCAGATGGCTCATGGCCCAAGACAGATACGAAGAGGCTGCCAAAGTACTGGCCACCTACCACGGCGAAGGCCAACTCGACAATCCTCTGATACAGCTGCAACTTAAGGAAATGGCCAATCAGATCTCGTCAGAGGCATCCGACAAGAAGTGGTACGATTATCACGAGCTTTGGAACACTCACTCCGCCCGTCGCCGCCTTATTTGCGTCCTCGGCATGGCCTGCTTTGGCCAGGTCAGCGGCAATAGCCTGTCCTCATATTACATGGTCAATATGCTCAAGTCAGCCGGTATTACCGACGAGCACAAGGTATTGGCGCTGAACGGTATCAACCCGGCCTTGTCGCTCATCGGCGCCGTAACGGGAGCACGCATGACCGATGTCGTTGGCCGCCGTCCTCTTCTGCTCTACACAATCGTCTTCTCTTCCATCTGCTTCGCCATCATGACGGGTACCAGTAAACTCGCAATGCCGGGCCACGTTGGCAACCTTGACGACGCTGGCACTCAGGCTCTTACCCCATCCCAACGTGCTGCCGCTAACACCACCATTGCCTTTATCTTCATATTTGGCATTGTCTTTTCTTTCGGATGGACGGCCTTACAGTCCATGTATATTGCGGAGACACTCCCCACAGCTACCCGCGCAAAAGGCACTGCTGTCGGAAATTTCGCATCCGCTGCCTCGTCTGTCGTTCTTCAATATTCCTCCGGGCCTGCTTTCGAGAAGATTGGGTATTACTTTTATCTTGTTTTCGTGTTTTGGGACCTCATCGAAGGTGTCGTGATCTTCTTCTATTTCCCTGAAACCAAGGATCGCACCCTTGAAGAACTCGAGGAAGTGTTCTCGGCTCCTAACCCGGTCAAGAAGAGCCTGGAAAAGAGGAGTGCGCAGACAGTATTGAACACCATGGGAGCGCTGGACGACGAGAAAGTCACAATCTAGCTCAATCAATGGGACTCGCGCGTGGATAAATGGAGGTTAAGCGCATGATTTAAACGGCCAATCAATGTTTTCAACGGCCCTACTTTCACATGTTGATGTTGCTATAAGAGAGTACACCCCTTGTCTCTCTAGACTTAGTCTCCGCCTTCCCCGCAATATTAGGGCCAGGGGGTTATGGCTGGAATGCCCCGGACCGTCGCGTCCCTTTCTTCCCTCTCCACCTCTCAACGCCAGGTCCTAAATAGCAGCCCTTTTCCATCGGTCCGCTTCGGATCCAGCTAATAGTGTCGATCCTGCATGGAAGTAATGATGATCCAAGATGGCCATGGAGAACGACACCAGTAGCGGGCCATCCAGGAAGCGGCTCAGAACGTCCCACGCAGTGAGTTTTGTTCTTTCCTAGAATCTTGGCTTCATGTTGCCCAGGTTAAAGTGATCATCCGCTTATGCAACTTACTATCCAAGTGTGACCTGTGCCGGTCCAGAAAAATAAGGTTCGTTGATCGCCTTATCGTTCCCTTGGCTACCTGCATGTGCATATGCAAAGTTGCTATGCCGTTGTGGATGGAGGTTTCTTGAACCTGGAATCCAGGCCGCTTACTGTCTTGATGACAGATGTGACGGTAATACGCCATGTGCGGCTTGTTTCGCAACTGAAAACGACTGCACTTATGGATCAGAAGCCAACTCGTGAGCGATACCATCACGCCTGTCATTCCTCAACTGAACGGACCACTAGCTGGCATATACACCACAGGAGGGGAAAGAGCGATCTCATTCTAGAAGGAGTGTTGCGTCTTGAAAAGTATCTTCACGAGTTGAATGCAAACATTGTCAGCTGCCCACCTCACTCGTCGCACCTCGGGGGCTGACACTTATATAGGCAGCATCGCCACACTTGGTTAACCGCAGTTCTTCTCATCCTGTACTGTCACCCGCGGTCGGCTCATCAGTTGGGAGAGGGAGCTTCTCCGGCGGCTCCTTAACTGACCTGCGAATTACGCCTCGCCTTACCCTCTGCCCACATCCGGACGAACTAGACAACGTCAACAACCTGGAGAATGCGGTTCTAGAGTCACGGCGCACTTCTACAACGGAGTCAATTCTGCAATGGCCCCATTTCGATGTCTTTCCCAGTCTTCGCAATGACTACACTTCCATCTTTCACCTTGAGCAGTCTCGTCCTCGCATCAGAACGAAGACAGCATACATCCATCCGTATATGACAGAAGAAGAAGTCGACAGCATTTTGGGCGCCTTCGAGCATGCCGTCAACTTCTGGTATCCTACAACGTCACGCGATCAGCTGCAGGACGCTCGGACGATGATCACGAACGGAAACTTTGACGATGACGATGGGCTCCGCGTCTGCCTTGCTTTACTCACTATGGCACTGGGTTGTGCAAGCAAGGTGACGGCGGGCTTGATGGAAGGCCCTCCCTGAGAGTGAACAGAGACGCAGAGCAATCTATCGTGCAACAGGGGATATGTACTTCGAGAGTGCGCTCAAGAAGCTCTACGTTGCCCACATGGATGTCAACTCCATCGCCACACAATGTTTTTTCTTCGTTGCGTGAGTTTCTTTGTCTTCAGCACGCCTTAACCACCCTTCACCTTCTCCAGCTCTCTTTCCGACTGACACTGATCCCTCAAACTTCAGCCTTTACTTCGCCTTCCTTCGCCGTCCCCTCCAGGCTTGGGAGTACATCTCCGCCGCAGCTTCCAAGTGTCTCCTCCTCCTTTCGGGCCCTGCTAGGGGGGCACTAGTCCTTTTGCTCCGGGGGCACTTATACCCCTAGGGGTTAGGGCTATCTATGTGTAAATATCAGAGTGTATTTTTGGTAATACCGCCAATGGTGTTGATAGCCACGCAAGGCGGGTCGTGCCCGCCAGCCGCCCAGCCGTACGTGCTGCCTCCTTCCTACCCGTTGGGGAGAGTGGAGCAGTTCCTGTCTGTTCCCCAACTCTGCTAGGCAGAGTTGGTCACAAAACCACCGGACATTACAAAACCCCAACGGACAGCAAAAATCGGGCATTTTCTATAGGGATTTTCTATAGTATTTAATTACACAAGAACTAATAGTCCAAACATAACCAAAACCTATATATAGGTTTATAAGTAGTTATATAACGTAAATATAATTTTTATTTTGTCCTCCTTCTTAAGCTACAAGTTTTATTTCCAGTCTTTAATAAGTATGAAAATTACGTATTTATACTAAAAATTCTATATAATTCTAAGATGCGTGCAACCTTTTAATGTATTAATATTAGTATATAGAATATAGCCGCTATATTATATAATTAACGTTTCTATATAATATAGTTAAAATATCTTTTTAAATAAGTATTTAATTCTATTATTTATTTTCTATTAAATGAGACGTTGAACAATTACTTTGATATGAGTTTCCAATTTATATACAGTATTATATTAGATTTATTAAAGTTATCGAATATTTATGAGAATACTCAAATTATATATATAGTTTAGTTTAGTTTGTTATTCAGATTTATTTATTATTTTTAATAATTCAAATTAAATTAAAATTAAATATAAATTAATAAAGTATGATTATCTAATTAGAGTTGTATATTTCTATTATACGAATATTAAACAGTATTAGAAATAATATTATAATATATATAATAAGTTACTAGTAGTTTTGGATTTATTGAAATCTTTTACTTAATTTAATTTATATTTAAAATAAAACCGTTTACTTTTTTTAAATGGATTATTCTATCTATTTTATTTTTTAGCCGTAACAGTTTTATTTAGAACTTTATATTTATATTAATTATTACTTTTCATTTAAACTAATCACTTTGCTTCATTTAAAAATTAGCTTATATATATATTAATATTAATTATTAATTTTAAATTTAATACTTCACTTACTTTCAATTATAATTAATTACTATACCTTTTTTTAAAAAGGTTGTTTTATATATATTAATCTTATTTTACAATTTCGAATATAATTATTGTAAAACGTATAAATTAATTAATATATATTTTAAATAAAACATTTAATAAGGTTCTATAAAGAGAAAACCGGAAAAAGAAGTATTTATAAAGTAAAGCAAGCTAATTATCCTTTTAAAAGGATATACATATATATATATATATATAGGTGGAGGAATAATTAGTAAAATCACCAATTTAATTAATTAAATTTTATAAGTTAATTAAAGGTTTATTTAATATATATTATTAAATAATTTTCATTACGGGTATTATTTCTATAAAAATTATTTTACTTATTTTATATTAATATTAATTATATTATCTTCCATAAAAAGATTATATTACATATATAAATCATGCTTTTTAACTTTGAATCAATGATTTCGTTTAGTTGTCATTTAAATTAAATATTTTACTCAACTTTACTTAAGAAGTATTATCTTCTTTATAATAATTATAAAATATATATTAACCTTGTTTTTTAATTTCAAATTGATTATTTTATTAATTCAATATTTTAACTAATTACTTTTCTACTTTAATATTTTATTTATATATTAACGGTAATTACAACCTTTGAATTATGGAAATTAATTTAATTACTTAATATTTAAACTTATTTTTTATTAGCTTATTATTTTATTCTTTTAATATTTTGTAATCTTATTACCTTATTTCTATATTAATTGTATTTACTACCTTTATATAAAGAAAATTAACTTATTATTATAAGGTTAATTTATAATGTCGTTATATAATATTATTTACCATATATTATATTTAAAATTAATATTATAGTTTAAAGATCTATATGTATTAGTTATATATATAATAATTATATATAATTATATATATATTATAAAACTAACTTATAATTACTATCTAGTTATAATATTATTACGGTAATAGTTGCCGGATTAATATACACTTTCTAATTAATTATATTATCATAATTAATATTTTACAACTTTAATACCGAGGTAGTAAATAAATGAATTATATATATATATATATATATTATAGGTTTATTACTAAGATTATCCCTTATAAATTACATATATATTCTATAACTTTTTTTTTCCTTATATAATTATATAAGTTTTAGTTTACCCCTAACGTTTAACATCGCTTTATTCTATAATAACATACGTATATAAAGACTAATTTATGTAAACTTTCCCTTATATAATTAATATTCTATATATCTTTCCCTTTTTTCTACTTTGTATAATAACGTATATTTTACTATACTTCTAATAATACTTCGCCCTATAATATTTATTTATTTTATATTTAAATTAATTACTTAATTATTATAAAATTAATTTTATAACCTTTATTATACGTAGTATCATTATAACTTACTATTATAATTAATTATATTTTTATATAAACTATAAATAATCTTCAAAAGTATTATAAGTTAATTAATTAAAGTACCTTATAACAACATATTTTATTTAGAATTAATTATTTAAAAATAATTTACATTTATTTCATCTATCCTTTATATAATTCTATGTTTTTTATATTAATACTATATTTTTTATTCTAAATATTAATTGTTCTTCTATTCTATTTACTATTTCAATATAAAGAAAATTAACTTATTTACCTTATAATAAAATTAATTACTTTATACTTGAATTATTTTATTATTATATTTATATATTAACTACAATTATTACTGTAATAAGTAATAAATTAATTTACTTATTTTATATTAGTATTAAATATCTTATTATATAATTATTTTATTACTCTATAAGTCTATTAATTATAATTATTATTTTTATATAAAAAAAGGTTAATTTACTTATATTATATTTAAATTAGTTACTTAAATACCTTATTACCCTATTTATAAATTAAGTACAATTACGATTTCTATATAGCAGAAATTAATTTAATTACTTTATATTAAATACTAATTTAATGTGACGAACGGCAGTCTTGATCTGCCTAAGTGGGATAGCTGAAAGTAAAGACTATCAAGTGCAGTTCGGTGAAGCCAAAGGGTTCACAACAAGTATCGTTATACGTGTCTCTGGTGACGATGGTCTATTGACTACTGTCGAACTATCTGACAATCTGAGTTCTCCAGTCGTCCCTTTATATCCCACATGTCTGTCGTGGTGTATCCTATTCTCTGGTACTCGCTGGCTCATCCCGAGTTCCTGCTTACTTTGAGTTCTTGCTCACCGTGAGCGCCTGCTCACTTGTGAGCACCTGCTCACCGTGAGCACTTGCCCACTGGTGAGCGCCCTTGGTTGACGTGCGCCCTCTGGTCCAATCCCCGTTTGGGGTTACACTGCCCTGTCTTGGCATGACTGTTGTGTCCCGATGGCTTGGTCGGCCCGTGTACTCGCTTAAGTTCGTAACATCCGCTACGTATTTATATCCTATCGGTAACGGCTTAATTCCTATAAAAAGAGTTATTAACGTATTAGAATTATAGAAGAAAGTAGGTTCAAGTGCCTATGGATAGCGTAAATATAAGAGACATTAAAGTAAGTAGAGGAATAAAGATATATTAATAGTTAATTTCGATAATTTTGGAGGCGAATTCGACCGGCTATTTATATCGTTATAAACTCTATTTTATAATAGCTAAGTCCACGACGGCTCCGAACCGTTCCAACGCTATACTATGGCGTTATATTGTACGAGTCTAACGCTTAATAGGTCCCTAGCGACCTGATAATTTATAGGAGTGCCCTAACTATTGAAATACTAGAAATTTAGAAATTTTATATTAAAAAAATTAATTGATTTAATTATACTTCGATAAGTAGTAGATTAAATATTATATTTATAATTAATAAATTATATAAAGGTAATATTAAATTAATAGATAGGTACGATTATATAATACGTTACCTCTTTAAATATCTAGTAGATTATTTAGATTTGGGTCTATTATTGGGAGGAGTGTCGTTACTACAGTAATTAGAATTACCGATATAATTAGATTTCAATTTTAGAATATACGTAGGTACCTCTTATATTAATAGTATCGAGATAAAGTATAGTATAGTTAGCTATATTATATTTGTTACGATTGGGCTGGTATTTTAGAAATTAAAGAAATAAACGTGTATAATATTACATATAATAGAAGTAGAATTTATAAATTTCGTCCTAGTGGTTAGATTTGGTAATTAGATAGTATAAATATTAGAGGAGTTCGGTTTGGTACAATTGTAGCGTATCCTTTTTATAGATAGTGCTAACGCGAAAATTACGGTTTTTAGAACCTTTAGAAGAAACCGTTATATTGATATACAGTTAAGATAGGTTATAGAACAGATAGAATAAAAAAGGTGTAAGGTTATTCACATTCCTAGTATTAATATAGTAGCCGATGGCTTAACGAAAGGCCTTAAGGCGGATAAATATGGAAAATTTGTAAAGATGTTGGGCTTTATAAGAAGGGATATTTCCTGGCTTTAAAATACTAAAAAGAAGGAGGATACTTGAATTTGTTTATATATATATAAATCTCTTATTTTAGGTTTGTAGGGGTGTGTAAGAAGATTCTAGGCGTTTGCTATATAGACCGCTAATCCTTTGCGCTATAGGGCCTTTATCTTACACCCTCTTTAATAGCGGTTTTGGCACTTCCTAGAATCCCCTCCTTTGTAGACCTTTCTTCCCTTTGTATCGCCAGCTCTATATAGCTGGCGATCCCCTCCAGTAGATAGCTGGATCCCTTACTCAATACATCATCATTCCCCTCATTCGTGATCCATCTCATAATAGTATTTATAGATAATGTGCTATGTTGTTGACTGTGCGGTAGTGATGCGATTGATCTTATTGGTAATTGATTTCATTAATGTTTGGTAATAGACTCGGAGGCCGTTTTGAAAGGGTAGAAATTCAAAATCGCTAAATGTATATATCTGGTATGTGCTACTGGGTCTGGGCGGCTAGCGGGTGCGACCCGCATTTTTACGATTATCCCTTTAACGGGACAAATTTGACATTTTAGCATCCTGCAAGTTTGAGCCAATCGGTGGTTCCCATTTTCCTGTAGGATACCTCTTCAGCTTGCAAAGACCTCGGAAACCCCAGCCTTGGTAGCGCTTACTAGTAATGTAGGCGGAGTGCTTAGCTGACAAGCCACGTCACCAAGTCCTCCAGGTATCTTGCGGGGCGCGCTAAAATGTCAAATTTGTCCCGTTAAAGGGATTAACACTATGGAGTGTATCACGAAATTACGACCCAGATTCTGACTACACAGAACCCTAACCCCCAGAGGTATTAGTGCCCCCCCAGCAAAAGGACTAGTGCCCCCCTAGCAGGGCCCCTCCTTTCATACTCTCCCCGCGATTCCACTTCCGAAGATCAAGAACGTATCCGCCGCATCTTTTGGTCCTGCTACATCCTCGAATCAGACTACCTAGCTGAGCTCTCCAACTTGCCGCTATCAGGTATTGCTCGCATCGAATCCTCAGTTCCGCTACCAGGTGCAGGGTATAGCACGCACTCGACCGCCCAAGAGGAGGAGCAGAGCTCCTTGTACGTTTTGGCTTGTATATCGATGAGAAGGCTGCTAAATCGAGTGCATCAGCTACTGTATTCCAGGGAAACAGGCGCGAGCTTGGACGATAAGCGGTTCCCTGGCATTGTGAAGGAGCTAGATCATCAGTTGGATGAGTAGAGGAGTGTGCTGCCAGAGGCTTTCGCTTTCGAGGTTGAGTGGCCACAACCCAAGGCAGAGCACAAGATCACCGGAGTAAAGACGGAGCATGGGGGGTTCCTGAGGCAAAGGTATCTCACTTGCCGGAGTGTGATATACCGGCCGTAAGTTGCAACTCCTTTACTATCATCAACCTGGCCCCAGAGGAGAGTTACCAACTCCCCTACCACAGATATCTTATGTGGATGAAGCAGTTCCAATGCCGGCTCCAGCCCTGGAACCAGCCCAAGTGCAACAACAGGCGGATTCAGTGGCGCCCAAGGTCCCCTGGCCTCCGTTCCAGCAAGCAGCACGGCCGTCGGCATGAACAGCATCACTGCCCCGTCATCCATGAACATAAAGCTAGCAGACCACGAAGTCCTAGCCAACTGCAAGGCTTGTCTGGATGCTTGTTTGCTTCACATATTGAACCTAAGGGGATTCTCCCAGACAGTGTTGGTTGATACATGGATTTGTTCACTTTCGTGCGTCCCTCTCATTCATTTTCCCCTCCTCCTGCCTCCTATTCTCGCACCATCCGACTTAGAGCTAGCACTAACACGACGTAAAACAGAATGGCAGGCGCAATGCTCGTTCTCCTAGCCGCCTGTAGGATTCCTCCCCTCAAGAGCCTCATCGGGCCCGAGATCCTCCAAGCGGGAAGCCACTTGAGGGAGTTGTTGGTAGGATGGCAGAAAGTGCAAGGAGAGCCGAACTCACCTAGCGTGGATCAGAGTGTGCACATCATCTAGGATGCCGAGAGGTTCATCAAACAGGTCTATACGGGTGGTAAGGGTGAGGGTGAAGGGGAAGGCCGCATCGAGGAGTGAGCTTGTTGATTGCATGGACGATGGAGGAGATTGATCTCAAAATGGGAAGGAATTGACGAATTTTCAATTAAAAGGCAAGATGGCCGAGCGGTCTAAGGCGCCACGTTAAGGTTAACCCTTAATCCTCATCCGAGAAATCCGTGGTCCGAAAGGGCGTGGGTTCGAATCCCACTCTTGTCAACATCAGTTTGATCTCCACTTCGCTCAAGTGGGGATCGCATCTTTTTGGCGTTTTCTTATTTTTTTAGTTTTTGGTAGTTCCTTTATCATGTTCCCTTTTCTTCGTTTTACAATCAGTAAGATCTTGCTTGGGTAGGAGCTTCTGCTTCCTTCCAAGAGTGTGGTTGCAACCTGTTCGTATTATACCTATGCTGTGCTAATCAAGGAGTGGACGGCTCGTTACATCCCCTGCCTATTACTTCCAAAGGAAAAAAGAACGTTAAGCTTGGCCAGGCAAATAACAAAAAAAAGGAAAAGTTGTCTTGCGACGTTCAACCTTCTGAGTCTCCCAACATCCCAATAACCCTATGGTCCATGCATCCAGTCGGTAGGAACCTCTTCAGTCTTCACCCCTTCGCAATATCGCTCATCACTCCCGTCGTCATATGGGTGATAACGAGCTAGCGAGTGGGTAAACTCAACTGCCACTAGACCAGCATCTAGTTAACATCGCAGCAAGAATTCTTCTCAACAAGAACACCCCCGACATTCGTCTTGCAGTGGTCGCGTTGAGGCGGCTGGCAGCCCCAGTTCTGGCGGCCGTTGGCCTTGCACCACTCGTCGAACTGGAGAACCGCACTGCCGGCGGTTCCGTTCGCGCAATAGAAGAGCGAGTCGCTCTCGTGCGTGCCGTCGGGAACTTGGCCGACGGCCCGCAGGGCGTTGTCGATGCGGAGCTTCCAGTAGTCGTAGTATTGGCCTGTTTTGCATTGAGATAGGTAGGTAACTTTTAGCTTGGGTCCGAACTGGATTTGTGGGGAAGGGGGGGCATGAGGAAATGAGGGGAGGTTTAACTTACCGGCCAAGAGCTCACCACCGCAGTAGAATTCGCCGGTGTTGCAGGCGTTGGTGGGAGGGGAGGGGTGGTGGGGGACTTGGGCGGAGACGCCGGCACTGAGGAAGGCGGCGGTGGCGAGGAGGAGGGAGGTGATTTGGACCATTTTGGCGATTGCTACTTTGTGGTTGTTGAGTGAAGCTGTTGTGTTGGTGCTGAGGCTGTTGAGATTTGAGGTTGAAGGGTGAGGAGGGTTGGGCTTTATATACCAGCTAGAGGTACGAGGAGCCTCTGTACTCACCGACGGTGGCGTATTGAGATGCGGTTGCGGTTTGAGGGCATAACCGTCGAGTGTCGACACATCACTCATCACACAAAGGGGTGGCAAGCAGAGGGCCGTTTTCTGATGTTCTTTTTCTGGGCATATTAACTTCTTCATGGAGTTGCGAGGCTCGCATTTGGGGGCTTGAGGCTGCCATCCAGAAAAGTGATGGATGAGATGGTGGGGAATCTTCTCAGTTCTCACCGACCAGGCGTGGGAGGCATGGAAGTCGGTGACAGGATAATGCCCGTTTGGGAGACATCACGATGGTTGTTGCCTTAGAATTGCCGTCTGGTTTCTTCACTTACCTGTCTCTCGGTGAATGGGAGATGTAGGCCCCTCCGTTCTGGACGATTGAACCTGAGATCTTCGCTGGTGAGGGCCTTCGAATAGTGCCAGGTAGACGCTTGGATCTCCGAGTTTACCGCCTTTACGCGCTGTTGCCGGCGAAGACGTGCACCTGGAACCGTTCCAGGTTCCAGTCCCCCATTCATAAATTGAAGCGGCTCTCGGCTGTTACCGACAATGAAGAACCAGCGCCTCGGTCTCGGTAGCACACAGTCCTACCCAGATGACACTACGCCTTCTCGGTATTACTGAGCGTGAGAACATTTCTGGTAGACGTGAGGGTTGGAACCAAGTTCAGGGTTTGTTACAACGAGGAGGTGTAAGTCCTACGTTCCTGGAGGGATGGATACCTGACTTCGAGTTGTCCGTGTCAATTCGTCACCACCTACACACCGCCCACACCTCCACGGGATTCACCTAGTCAGCCCTACGCTTCAGCCGCTACCTGGCTCCTGGTAATTCTTTGTCATAGAATGACCGGTCACTTGAGTGCCATGTGCAGGTCACAGGCGCCTTCTACTTCCTGTTTGGGTGCGTTTTCGCAAGGAAAGAGCCACGCGGGCTGTCCGGTGTACCGCAACGGCGGTGGATGGAAGCTTGGCAACGGTTCCCGGCTGACGGTGTTAGTAAGTGGACGCTCGTATATCTTCCATGCTTCACCATCTTTCCAGGACCCATTACGATCGATCGTGGGACACTCTTCCATCTTTTTTCATCTCTATAAGGCTGATGACCATTGAGGTAGGAAGCAGATCCTGATCTGTGACCCCCGTGCTGTGCCAAAGAACAACCAACTAATGACAGTACTCTCGTGACCATCAAGGTACTTCGCATCCTCTTCCTCTTCAGGCAGGCTCTTCAGCAACGTCGCTGCGGCTTACATCGCTTTTTACCCGCCAAGAGGCCATACGTTGGAACCGAATTTCTTCGAAGCCCGGTTCGACCGGGTAAAAGTCACGTGTCTTGTATTGCCCTCAACCGGTGAAAAGGTGGCTTTCCGCGGGACCTATCAACAGGCTCTTCATGTACCTCGCAGTTTGCCGTTCATCTAATTGATTCATTTTCTTGTTCCCTTGTTCGGGCAAGAGAAGCAAGCCCCAGTTCACGACTTACACGCGAGTCATGCCCACAGTGCCCAAGTCAAAAAGGCAGGATCACCCCTGCTTCCCTGAGCCCCCCATCTTGGCCACAACTCCACCACCACGATCACGAAAACGGCAAAAAGAGAAGATATTGCGGTTTGTGTGGATCGAACACACGACCTTCAGATTTATGAGTGAAGTGGACTTCAGTCTGACGCTCTCCCAACTGAGCTAAACCCGCTTTGTTGGAAGAGGAGCTGAGATGTTGGGTTTATCACGATGGTGGAGTGGAGTGCTCCCGTGCCGCATGCCGAAGTGGTGATGCGCTGATGCGGTCTTGGAAATCTGGGGCGATGGTTAGTCTGGGATAAAACACCTTTGAAGAGATGAATAGGGCATGGATAAAGGTATTTGGAATGAGAAAGATGTCTGGTTGGCATAGTATGTCTCAAGTTCCTCCCACGAACTCAAAGGAAACTTGTCTGATGTTTTCACTTCCAGTCAACGCATCTCACTTACCCCGATCACGTTTTCCGGTGTGCGAAACGGGTCTTGGGCGCAAATCACGGCATACGGCGGTATTCATCATGGACATGAACGATACGGATATGAGGTACGGATCAATTCTGTTATTGTTGGAAGTCCGTGCCCTGAATTCCCTTCACTTGGCTTCCCATTCACCGGCACTCCCTTCCAGTATTTCTAGGCTGCCCTGGTTTCCGTTTCCCCTCTTCCGTTATCACTACAGGTACTCTATATACATCATCATAATTCCCATCTTTCGTGATCCATCCCACGACCCTCCCATTTTCGTGCTTGGCGCCGGTGACAACATTCACAGGGAGACAGTATGGCAAGTCGATCTTCTCCTCCTTTTCCAACTTTACTCTCAGAGGCGGCTGTAGCCTTGCCAGGACGGAGACAGGCCCTTGGACAGCTTCTTCCACCAGTCAGCCGGCAACTCTGTTTTGGCTCGCTTCATCTCAATATCCAGCCTGATATCTGCTCTCTGGCGATCCAGCACCCCTCTTTGGCAGTTTGGTATGCTTCAGCATGGTTACTGAGAGACTCAGCGGGTGTCCAGCCACGTTCAAGACCAGGGAATAGAGGGTCTTTGCCCGCTTTCGCCACGATGGTCACAAATCGTTTGGTTGGTGGTCCCTTCTTGAGCTGCACCGGGGATTCATCGATGACGAGATGCGGCACTCCCGTGCTGATGGTGGAAATCGCTAAGTCTCATTCCTCTCATGGCTGGGAGCCAGAAGCCACAGAGGCGATCAGCGGTTGGAAACGAAGAAGCAAAAGGCGCTTGTGATGATCTGCTTTTGAAGCATGGCCACGACAGACTGAGCAATCTTAACGTCCGCCATGTTCGGATTCATCTCGAGCATCATGTCGTTGATCTTCTTTTGTTCTTCCTCCAAGCGCTTCATGTAGCTCGCCAGTCGCTGTTGGGCCCCCTCAACTTCGCTGTCTTCGTGTGCGTCGGTTTGGGTAGAAACACCAGGTAGGAAATGCTAGTATAGGGCAGTGATCATGGCCTCCTGCTTCTTGTTCGTCGTCGGTCAAGTACTTTTTTTTTGTTCTTTTCTTTTCCTTTCTTTTTCTTTTAAATTTTTTTTTTTTTGTTGTTTTTGTGTTTTTTTTTTGTCTTTTTTTTTTTTTTTTTTTTGCCAGTAGCGTGAGCTGGAGTGGTGTCTTCATTGGGTCTATGAACAACTTGTGGTCGATGGGGCACTCCAGCCCACGCTCCTGGATCTCCTTGTCTCCTTCAGGAGTAGCCTTTTGAGCTGCCGACGCAGGAGTCGTCCACTTCTGGCTCCAAGCCATGAGAGGAATGGGACTCAGCAATTTCCACCATCACTGCCGGGAGTTTGACTTGGCCTTGGCCTGAAACTGTTCCCACGATGCCTTGTCAGGCTCGGCAATGACGAACTCTCCGTCGGCATTGACCATGATGCTGGAAAAACAACACAAAAAAACACACAAAGATCGATGGTGGTCTGGTGCTTGCTGTTGTGGTTGAGTCGTTGACGTTCTCTCCGGCAATGCCTCCCGTAGCTCCTGCAGTGCCGGCTGGGACTGTGAGATCGGAACTTGAAAACTTTGAGGTTGACTAGGCTGCTGATGTTGGACCATCTCCCGGCAGGAATGAATATAATTCTCATGACACTCGGTCAGGAGCTGTGTGGTGTTGTCTGATGTTGAGGGACCTGCGAGAAACTTGAAGAAGACTGAGGACTCCATGTTGAGTTCAGGTTGATGTGATGTTGATGGAGTCCCCAGTCTTCAGGTTGAAGAAAAACCTGACAACTCAGAGAGGTGGTCACGGTGGGACGTTGGGTTCGGCGGCAACTCGGGGTTGGAGATGATCGGAACTGGAACGGCGCGTGTCGTCCAGCACGTACGGGCGCCGCAGGTGAATCCTGGGCACCGAGGGTGACGGGTTGTCCAAGGGCCTTTGCCTGATCCAACAATTTGCGGATTACGGAATCTACGACGTATAGGACGCCCAGCTTGTAAGCGTGGTGCATGTGCCTGCTCGTGGCCAACAAGGTCAGGCCGAAGAAGGTTGCGAAGAAGGAGAGGAAGAGGACGATGACGAGAGGGGTAGGAACGTTGAGATTTGTTGCTGCTCAGGGAGGTCGCTGGGCCATGGAACGGGGAGCAATCTTTGGTTGGATTGACTGCTGAACCGGTGGTTGAACAGGCTTTTGCTGCCCGGGGGCTGCCCTGGGTCGATGGTGATATCTTTGGAGTACCGGTCCCATTCGGAATGGTGAAAGAGATAGGTAGCCTTGGGTGCGAGGGTGAGGTTTGCCTTTCGGGGCTGGGAACACAATCATCCGAGGCGCTAGAGATACAGGTACTGTTGGTGACGCTCTGTGTTAGTGATGTTCTTCGCTTGAGGACAGAGCAACTAAAGGCTTACCCAGAGCTGTAGGCAGTCACTGCATGGCTCCGCAGAACCAGAAACGTTGGCAGCGCGAGGAGCCATAGTGTCGTCGGTGGTGGTATCACTACCCCGGTAAGACTCCCAAGACTCAAGGCGGGGAGAGGATCTCGAAATGCTGAGAATGATCGAGACCTAGTGAGACGGTCTGGCCATAAGTCGTCGAATAGATCGTGAGAAAATCAGTTCAAAGGAAAACCAAGCTTTTGAGTCGTCGCAAAGAAAATGCCTGCAAGCAACAAGGTGGTGAGGAGGGGTAGGAGAGAAGAAGCGTTGGTGGTGGTGGTGGTGGTCTGTTTTTGTCAGCATCGGTTCAGATTCCCATCACAAAAAGAGTTTGGCATGAATGTAGAAGCAGCCGCGATATTTGAGCTTGTGGGAAGAGGTGAAGATCGTGAAGATGAGAAATGACGCGATGAGGTGGAAGTGAAAGTGTAAACTGATGATATCGAACTGAACTCACATTTTCTTGGGAGCGACGTTCCCAGCTCAGCGAGCGAGGCACAGCCAGCCCAGACAAGGAACTCGGCGATGATGGTGGCGATCAAGGCGATGCCAGGTGAGGGCGAGATGGCGCCGACGACGCCGACAGCAGTGAAGATGCCACTGCCAGTGACGCGAGGGCCTTGTTGATCGTGACCATCTTGGTGGTTCACGACTTGCCTCGTGAAGGAGGACAAGAAGTGAGAGCGAGTGAAGGTGTGGAAAGAAAGACGAGGGGGGGAACTTGAGAGTTTGTTGTATGAGGAAGAAAAGAGGAAGGGAGGAGATGGCTGAAGAATTTATGTAGAAGGAAAACTTTGTGCGGGGCACAAGCTAGGGTTCAAGCTCAGAGATACCCCTCGGTTGAGAAAGAAAAAATGAGTGCCTTGTTGCCTAGTCGACGTGAGTTTGAACTGCAGTCTGGACTTATCCGATGACGTGTAGCACGGGACTACAGCCCTCAGGTTAGGGCAAGACCAATAGCAGTCAGGGATCGAAGGAGAAGGGGTTCGATCTAGTCACTGAGCTCAACAAGATTGTGGCTGTGCTACCTGCTTGTCGGATGGATATGGATTGTTCTAGGTGGCAGATAGGCGGCTGGGCCATTCCATCTGATCTCAAGTTCAACAGCTGACCTCCTCCAGGGCTGTTCTCTGGTGGAGATCCCTGACCTTTCCCTCTAGGACAAGAAGCAAATGAGGCTACAGTATGACTGATAGCCTTGAAAGAACTGACTGGCAAGAGTTGTAGCATGGATATCAGCTGCATAGCTGGACCACGGGACCTAGCAGCGAGACGAAGCACCCGCTTTGAGCCTCAAAGTTCGAGGACGGTGGGAGTCCGGTACTTGGAAATGGGTAGGTGCGTGAGATGGGGGCCGGCTCCCAGCCCCCGTTTGCCTCTACGCGGCGCAGAGCCTCACTTTCAGTCCTGGAACTGTGGGAAGGAAGGAGCGGCGACAACCACACATGAGTCATATACCTTACCCATTTTCCCACCTGATAGATTTCCCAGCAAGGCTACTTGTTTGGAAAAGAACAACGTGAACTTTGTGTAGTTATCTCTGCAAGCGAATCAGTTAGCTCATTTGAAGAGTTTACTGTCTTGGTAGAGGTAGGTAGAGGTAACCAGCTGGGACAGAAGACAGACACTCGAGTTTCTTGATCCGAAGAGACCACGGACTTGCTCGTTTCCAGATCGAAGCGTTCAAAGATAAACATCTTATCCCATCCTCGGTCCTCTAAGAGCTGAAGTTCATGTTGTGAAAGAAAACGAGACAGGAGGTGACTCACGCCTCATATTACGTTCAAGGGAGCAAGCCGTCCGTGAAATCACGTACTCGAGCGTTACAGTCATTTGTCGATATAGAGCACACATCCTGAGAATGGAGATATGCCTGCTATATGCAAGGCTATTATCCCCCTTCTTAACTTCGGTGTCCAGCAACGCGGTATCGCTCGTCTCGGCTGTTGCAAGTATGGGTAAGGTACCTCTACCTAGCAATTGGATGATTGAAATGGGCGAAAAGTCGCTGATCGAGGCGAGCCGACAGATGACGGATTGTAATTCTTTTGTCGTTATTTGGAAATGCCTAGTACTTGTAGGTAGGTAAGTAGTTACGAATGTGCTTGGGCATTGGTGATTGCGTGCATGTGGACGAACATCTCTCTCTCTCTACCTTATCTTGTCGTCCTGGACACTTCGGTTGATAGTCGCAAACTTTCCATCCATGGGATTGACCTTCGACCAAACTGAATTGGCCGGGAGGGGCACGGATGGGAGACGCGGAAGGTGCGAAGTGGAAGTATCAATCAACACTAACAACAGCATCGCAAACACCTTGACTGCAACTGTTCATTCGGTGCGAGATCCAGCGATCCACGAACACAACCGCAGTGCATTCAAGGAAAAAAAAACCAGCCAGTCAGTAAAACGAAAACAGCTCAAATCGCGACACCACTGCGCGATTGTAGAAAAGAAATGGAATCAACTACGACAATGAAACAAACGCAAGCAAGAAAAATGCAAAAAAAGGAAAAACAAAAAAAAATCAAGCCGCCCACGGCGAGACTCGAACTCGCAACATTCAGATCACTTCACTTGTTCGTAAAAGTCTGACGCGCTAACCAATTGCGCCACGCGGGCTTAACTTTGCTAGGTTGTGAAAGTTGCCTTGTCTGTCTGGTTATATACCGCAAACTCCCACGTCATCCCTTCCCTGTTTTCTTTGCCTTGCGGGCTTGTGGGCTTGCGGCGGCGGCGGCCAACCGGCACTGCACTGCGCGCATGCACGCAGGGTTTTGTTTTGGCGGTTGGCCGCTGAATTCTTTGTCTTCCCACTGTGTTTGCAATGTTTGCAAATACGGTGCGGTGCGGTGCGACAGCATCCCTTCTGCTGGTTGACTGGCCGGTTGACTGGGCGGTTGAGGCAGACAGACGCTGGCTCTCGGGCGGGAATGCATTCACGTCACTGTTGTCCAATGAGTGGATCATTGCAAGGTGTTTTCTGTGATTGCAAAAAGAACGGTCGTCACGGAGACATTACATGGGACGAGTTTCCACAAAAACAATTTCCCCTGCTTGCTCGAGCTTCCCCTCCATCTAACAGTGACTAGGAATACGAACTAGAAAAAGGCGGGGAGAGCTTCAAGTCCATTGTCATCCCTGCAACTCTTTTTATGGGAGCTTGTGTGCGCAGGAGAGCAATGAGGTGCGCATAGTTTCCCACCCTCTTCTCAACCAACAAAACAAAAACAACAAAAACAAAAACAAGAACAAAAAAAGGGGGAGGCGGCCGACCGACCGGCATTGCGCCGCTGCTGCACGTTGAACGGAAGGCTGGAGAACAGAAACAGAAACACAAAGAAGGGGTTCCCCTACCGTCCTGCGTCCGATGTATTGGGCCCCTAAAATCCACACGTGAAATAGGAGGGATCAGATGAGGAGTCTCCTCTCCTCACATCACGATTGGGTTGCGCCCGATTTGCGGGTCCTCCCTTCTCACCCTCGGCTTTCCAATTCGAGCAAACCGAATCGCTTCCACCACGGACACCTCATTCATTCGCGGGTGCGAACAAAGCTTCGCAAGCACACTGTGCAACCGCGAAAATCAGGGTCATTTTTGCAATGCGCAATTGTGTCCGTGTCCGTGTCCGGCCTGACGGAGAAACTGGAGAATAACCAGGACCCTGGAAAACACGAAAAAAAAAGTCTAAAAATCTTGTCCGTGCCGTGGCATAATGCCGGTGATAATCCAAACCGTCTATCCATGCTGACGGACGGCTTCTTTTCATCTTGATTTCCCTTTTCCTAAAATAGTCATTCAGCTTGACGTCAACACTGAGCGGCGCAAGCTTACCATGGCGAAGAAACCATGCTCTGGCGTTATTACCGTACTACCGAAACCCGGGAATCGGCGCCTCATGACATAACGAAGGCTCTCACATCCAGGTAACAAGCTGAATCCTTCCTTCTGAGTTGCGATAGTTGACCTTGCATGGACATTGGTCTTGTATTTTATTGTGTCGGTTGTCTTCAACAAACGGAAGTTTCCTATTTACACAATCCCCCTTCTGAATTTCTTAATCATAACAAGCCAACTTGGCCCAAAACAGACAGACGAGACTCCGGACAACGCCATAATGTAATGCTTCCCCAGTCCATGTCCAGTCACCAAGCTCGTCGGCCAAGTAGTCGTTGCCTTGGCCAATGTATAGTGCATAATTCCCCAATAATATTTTCCATGCCACCCCGGAGCGAGTCGCGTATAAATGGTATCAAACTCTTAACCCATGTGAGGCAAAGGCGACTCGCAAAAGAACAAAGAAAGAGAAGTTGAAAAGAACCCAAAAGCCATGGTAGACGCCAATGGTAAAACAACGGATAATGCGTGGGATCCGGATGCTCCACGGTCAAAGCCGTGCAGACGTCAACAAGGCCCTGAACCGTTTGCATCGTCGGATCAAAAATCTGAGTCGGGAACAGAACTGACGCGTGCCATCTTCAATCGAATGCTTGTGCAGGCACAACGGAACCAACTCCTTGTGAAGGTACACCACGAGAAAATGGCACGAAAGGTTCCGCGTTGTTGAGAACCGCCAAGTCGGTAAACGCTCGTCGCTTTTCCATATAACCCTCCCGCTGGCGAATTCGAGTCGGATCATGTCGTAAGGCATCATAGCCTAAATTAGGTCGGTTATTTTTGGTGAAGCCATATTCTTCCTGCCGAACACCATTCGTCATCCCAGCTAAACCAACGCAGGTAACGATAGTCGACGTCTTTCATTTCTTGCTGGGCGCTGTGATCTTGCTGGTGCTCATAAGATCACCAATGTACTTTTGTAGGAACTTGTTATTGTTGTCGAGCTTGTTGTGTTCCTCTTGCACGGCTTCGATGCGGTGGAAGAGGGCCAACAGCGAGTCCTGAAGCGCCTTTGCGTGCCTATCATTCACAGTTAGCATACCTACCATCCATAACTGTGCGAGCGCCGTCAACGGCAGCGGTCATTGGTAGGTAGAACTCACCTTTGCAACTCTTCCCTTGCCTCCTTGCTCAACATTTCGAGATCCTGGCTCGTTCTCCTTGGGCTCATGGCCCTCACGTCGTCAGGCCCAAGAGCCATGTCGACCGGGCCAACCTCAATAGAGTCGCGCGGTACAATCATGGTTCCACTGCTCTTTCGGCTCGGCAATCGTGGTCGTCTTGGGACTGGAGCATGAATAACTGGCTGCTCTTGCTGGTCATGTTGCTGATCGTCGGACGCCCCGGATGATGAATCTGACCACTCCACGCCGGGTAGCTTCCCCATGTTGTTGTCCTCCATCATTATCGATTATGAGGCCACGGCGGGCAGCGGTCCTGATACCGTCGTGATATAGCTGCGACCGGAAAGGGTCACAGGATAAGTGTGTCGGTGTTGATGGGATGAAAGTGTCCGCCTGTGGAGCGATTGCCGCTTGCGTCCGTCCTGTTGGTAAGGCGGTGTCTTTTGTTTGCCACCAACGTCTCGTCCCGTGTGTCCACAAAGACCAAAATAGACAGTTGTGGATGCGGATGGTGTCGCAAGAACAGATGTGTTCAAGGGGTAAAGCGTTTTTTTTTCCGAGCGGACAAGCGATCGTAGGCACCCAAAAGGGGGGGGAATGGAGCAAAAGGCTGCACGGGGCAGCAGCGAGGAAGCTAAAGCGTGGATCGTGGGCCCGTGGGCTAAGTGGTCGAGGGTTGCCTTAAAGAGGGACGGGCTGGGCCGAAGCAGAACCGACGACGTCAGGATATCGAAACGGTACCCTACTCTCTACCTTTTTTGTATACTATGTAGGCAGTAGGCAAAAGTCGGGGGAAAGTGGTGTAGTGATGAGAAGACCCTAGTCGTTTGTTTCGGCCAAGACCTTTGCGGAGGCAGGTGTGCACGAGGAAGCTAGAGAAGGCGTAGTGTGAGCGCCGGGCCTGAAAGGGTCGTGGTGCGGTGCGGTGTAGTGTAGTGCTTCGTCCGCACAATGAGAGACGGGATGTGGGATATGGTATGGGCAGGCAAAGAGGTTGCCAGCTGGTGGGTAGGTTGGTGGGTGTGCGGGATAATACCTTATGACAGGTTGAAGACTTGAAGGTGGTGTACCAACCCTTGAGGTAGCGAGTACCGGTTGCTACTCGGTGATGTGATGGCTCTTGTGTTTCTGGGCTGGGACCCTGGACTGAGGCTCGCGTGGTGCTTGTTTTTGACCTTCTTTGCCTTCTCTGCGATTGTCCGAAATATGCTGGCAGGATGCTGGGATGGGATGAACCCTGGAATCAGTGGAATTGGTGGCAGAACAAGAATCGAACAGGTTCAGATTTGCAGATTGAGACGAAATGCAGACCTGAAAGGCCAGAGGGCCTGAGAGTGCGGTGGACAGCGAAAATACGGAGCAAAAGGAGGAATGGAGGCGGCGAGTGGACCCCTTGCTGGGTGGCCGACGGGGGCTGGTCAGGAGACGGCCTTGGACCTGTTTTTCTGCCGCGATCAGCGAGCTGTGCCTTGCTAACTTTGGGAGAGCTTTTTGACTGGCTGCCAAGGGCTGCTGTTCGCTATGGTCACAGGAGCTCCGAGGGGGAAGCTGTTTTGTGGCAGCTCGCTGGGGCAAGCCGCTTGTCGATCGGAGGCCGGAGGGAGAGATGAAAAACCACTGCACTTCAGGCAGTTTTGTGGTTGACGATGCTCCCCTGGGCCAAGCCTGACGGCAACCAAAGAAAATAAAAGGATTGGCAGCGACAACCAACTGCAAGCCTGCGGCAAGCCTTCTCACACCGCGACACTGCTGCACCACAACGCAAATAGGTAGTGTACGCCAACATACCTTTTTTTTTCCCTTTTGTACACCCTCTCGCCTTTTTTTTTTTGTGTTTTTGTTTCCGGGCGCCTGTGCTCCCACTGTGCGGTGTCGTGGCGCTGAACCGAGGAAGTGGAAGACGAAGATGCGGCGTGTTTTACGAGTACGCGAGCGAGCGAGTTCGGTGTCTCCAAGACACTGTAGAGCAGGATGGCAGGCGGCGACTCGTATACCGCTACTTGACAAGTGAAGAAAAAAAAGGTATCTCCTGTTACCCTTCCACAGAAGAGAACGATTCAGTGGTGATGAAGTGGCAGCAATCAATTATGGAAACCACAGCAGTGGGGAGGCTGAGATTTGGGTGCAGGCATTTTGGATTTTGTGGTTGTGGTCGCCGACGAGGGAACGTTCCGACGCCAGCCAGCGGGCAGAGGCTGCTGGAACGTGGTGGAGGAGCCCTGGGCGCAACGACGGCTTGGACGGCGGGACCGCAAGGACCTTCTCTTCCGTTTCGACTTTGCAAGATTCGGAGATTCTCATTTCCCCTCTTGGGCCGACCTTCCCTTTTGAGCATTTGTCCCCCACCTTGTTACAGGGCCTCACCAATCCCTGAGCCCGGAGTGTTCAGCGACCGAGGTGCTATCCGAAGAGGGGAGTTACGATGGTCCGTGAGTGAGTGTCACTCCTTCCATGGAGACCTTCCAGAATGCATTGTTCACCAGTTTCAAGTTGGATCTGGCAGGAGGTCCAAGCAGGGCAGATATCGAGCTGATGGGGGGCAGCCAAAGACACACGTGCAGTGGCAATGCAAATATATCGGATAGGTAGTAATGATGGAGTTTTGGCATTTCCCATCATCCCATGACATGTCCACAATGCCCTACGGTAACGGCGTCGATGAGGCACTCACAGGTGTCAGGTACAGAGGCAAAGGTGATGGTTATCAAACACTGGTGGTAGCGACGGCGGCAGCCACATATGTACCACAGTATCTCGGCTCCACGAGGGAGGGACGAGTGGGTCTCACAAGCTGCATCTGGGTTGCATGCTCGAAAACCTCAGCGGCCCCCCGTGGTGGGGAAATTGGGATGGAGAAAAGAACGAATGATGGAGAAGTTGAAACTTGAAGCGATGGAGAAACGTATTGGCACAAGCGGCAAGCCTCGTCGTCCACTGTTCATTTCTGGTTAGGCCAAAAATGGGACCTCCCACTGACACGACCACTGGGTCACTGCTTCCCAGATTGCCGATCGGCAACGGTGACGCCACAGTGCGCACATCTGATTGGCTGGTCCCTTCTCCACAGCCGACGGGTTTTCTCAGTGTCAGACTCACTGACCGGCACTGTCAGCATCACAACGGCGGCCCGTTGAGATAACTGAACAGTCTCGAGCACTCCTGTCACGCAATGATGAAATGGCTGCACTGTTTGGCATCCCGTCTGTCCAACCATGATCCAATCCTTCAACCCGCCCGTCCCTTGTCTTTCGTTGCTGTCACTCTTGCACTGCGTTTTCCCCAAGGTCCCCTATTATGTACGTAGGTACAACTTCGGTTCTCTGCAACACCTCTTCAGGTATTTGTCTCGTCCTTTGTTACTTCACGGAGAGCCGTCCACCCCGTCTTACGGGTGCATTTCGCGACATACAAAACGACATGACACGGTGTTGCGCCCAAGCAAAAAAACAAACAAGATATCAGCAAAGTGCATTGCTACCTTTTGGAGGGGTTTGGAGGGGGGAAAGTGGCATGTCGGCGTGCGTGCCTTGCGTACTCCTGCAGATTCTGCAGGCCACCTGCCTTTGTTGCCTGCGCAAAGTGCTGCAAGGAGGGAAGGCACATGTAACATGGAGATAATTCGCTTGAACTAGGTACCCTCAAGGCGGTTACTTTGGCAACTTCTACCAGGCCATCTTCCCGTGAACCCGAACCCCAAACCACCCCAAAAGGCTCGGAAACATTAAAGTCTGCGCCCTTTCTTCCACGCCGGCCTGTCCATGTCCTTTGTTCTCTCAATGGCTCGACTGACAGCTTCAGGCTCTTTCTTATCTTCCCACGTCCGACCACGTCCGACCCCCAACAGACCGCGAGCCGATACACCGGAATGCTCGAGCCTACCTTGCTTCGAAGCAACGAACCATGCGAGCCAGGCAATACAAGCACAAGAAGAGGCACGCCACCGGTCTACACCTCACGGTTTGTTCGCGGGCTACGCTTCTCGGGTCGCTCAAACCTCAATCGAAATCCCAGCCGTCAAAAGATTTCACAGCCAAAATGCGAGTCGACACAGAGATACGTACTGTGTAACTCAACACCATAACCCGTTCAAAATTTCTCGGGGAAAAAGTCAAATGAGGTGGCTGCCGACACCGACTCTTGAACCTCACTGGTTCAATATATCAGGGTCCCACCCCGCTGGGAATTTCCGTCCCGTCTTCACGCCTGATTATTATGTCATGATCGGCGGGGACCTTGTTTCTCTATGCTGACCTGCTACTGTGCGGCCTTCTTGGCATCCTTGTCCGACTGTTGATTTGGTGACTCGACAAAAGGCACAGAGACAGAGAGGCACGGAGACTTCCCCCTTTCTTCAGCGGCAGAGTCCCCTAAAAAATGAACATCGAGACAAGACCAGATTTCGACCCCTCTTCGCCTTCTAGGCCTACAGAAACCCCGCTTCACGGCCCGAGCCTCATGTGTGAAAGTTAGGAGTTGAAAATCGTCTCTTTAGGGGTCAAACTTTCTCGAGGCCACGATCCAGGTGCTTATCATAGCATGTTGTCTGGTCCTCTATGCTCCTCGACGCTCACAGATGTATATCTTCGGTTGTTCTGGGTTTGTTTCAGAGTTCGCTAGAAGCGCAATCCTACTGGTGGGAATGGGGACTCAACGGACAGGTAATCATCCCATGCCTCCCTGCCCTGCCTGCCAATGCCATATTTTGAACATCTATCATCTTTGCAAAACTACACAGCACGATGCTCGCTACCTGGCATGATTGAATTCCAGGTGTATCCCTTGGGCATTTGGAAGTCATGGAATGGGCCAAGAAGCCACGGGTGGTTGACGTGCCACCAACACCAAGATCGTCTGGTCTGCTTGCCCAAGTCGTCACCGTTGCCGACCCAGCATCATCTTGCACAACATATCCTGATGGACGCAAGCAGACTGGTAAAGCAAGCGCCATGGATGGGCACTTTATTTCATTTGGAATTTTCGTGGATACCAAGCAGTTGAAGAGGCATCGTGGAACCGTTCAACATCGAGCAGAGCTCACCACTACAACGCTCCCACTACTTTCAACGGAGTGAAGTCCGTGGCAATAGCATCGCTAGGCAAGGCAGAACCGAGCTGGTCAACACCCGGCCAATAACGAAAGAATTACACTGGCACTGTGTAATCCGCAGATCGCACCGGTAACTGGCGAGCCGACATACCCGGTCAGATGCTATGGAACCTAGACACTGTACACCGTCTTGACTGTTTACGGTAAGCTTCATCTCAATTTTTTTCATCACTACCGTACACCATTGCAGCCTTCTCTCATCTTTTAGCCAAGCCCCGTCTTTGAACGCAAAGCACTTAAACTAGTCAATGGCCGAGTTGGATGTCTCTCTTTTTCCGGAGTTATACGAGAACAACGTCAGTCTGGCGGTGGACGTTCTGTTACACAACACAAACACTCTGAGATCGCCAAAAGCCTCAGATGCGATATTCCGGGGACGGTCTCCGAGAGTAGCCAATGACGGTGGCTTTGTCGGCTCCCCTTGAACAGATGAACAAAGCGTTCTCGGATTACAGATCTTTGCGGTCACGACTCATGGACCGTACCACCTTAAACTTTAACTTCGGCGACACTCCCACCAGAAAGCTGGTCCGGTCACGCATAATTTGGCCTCTTTCATGTCTGTCATCAGTCACCACTGGAGGGCCAGTCGGTGCGCTTGGTAGGTAAAAGTGACGGCAGGCATAATACCTCGCGCTAGCCCATACTACTTCGTTTGCGTGATCATCTCCGATTAATACCCAAACCACCCCCGCACGCAAATTGGGCTGCCATCTCGAGATCTCCTTGCCGAGTTTTATACCATCCATGTCAAAAGACCTACGTACGGGAGCCGGCACGATGTTTATGCGTCAAATTCCAAGAATAGGAACTTCGCCATAGCGCCTAATCGAAGCTCGCCCTGACTGCTTTCAAGATAGAGTCTTGATCGCTTTGTGGGCATAAATTGTGTGAGGGGACGTCCGAGTAAACTTTGGCCGCCCGAGGACACTATTCGAGCCGCTTTCGCTGGACATTTTCGGGCTTCCTCCCGCTTTTTGGTAGTGGTCCGGATTACGGACGGGGACAGGGGCACCGCGGAGAACATCCTGCTCCACGTCCATTTCCCCCCTGCATGAGAACAATCACAGCCTTGATTATAATCATCATTGACCCCGTCGATCGGACAACACGTTAAAGATTTGTTCGTCAGACTCGGCGCGGCACCAACCTACCACTTTTAGAAGTCTCTGGAGTCCATGGCCTTGTTTTCAGATCCTTCCATGGCCTTCCATCTACCGACGCGTTGCCCTATACACAAGGGGAACCGCCAATGGACTTCTGTCCTGTCATCGATCAGACCGATCGGTCGGGAAGCTTTATCGCGACAACACCGACACGTGTTGCTGGCAGAGGCTTTGCTCCTTATGCATCAAAATTCTTACGCCTATTTACCACTGTCTCACGTCAACATCAGTTTCTCCTTACCTCCGATCATGAACATCGCCACCAATTTCCATACAACACGAACCATCCGGGGCGAATCCTGAGTGTTCTTAGGCTTCTTGAAGTTTCTTGAAAGGGCGGGAAAACCATCATTGTACGAATGTGATGCCTTGCCAGGAGCAGAATGTGGAAATTTACCCCGATGGTCAGCTACCCCCAGCCCGAGGACCATGATCGGTGTGAGATGGGCAAAGAAGAAGTCTTTTACTGATAACTGGCAAGTGCCGGGCATCAGGGGAGAATAAGGCGCGATTGGGAAGCATTGTGGGCCAAGTTGTGCCAGCAGACAGCAAACACATCCTCCTAGCTCGATCTGACATGCACCACGAATCTCGACATCGCACATCAACATCTCGAGTGCTCGGAAAGACCCGAGCAGTCACCACTCGCTTCCTTTACGTCACTACACGTGTACGTGAGATCTTACATACAGGCTGTTCAAGCCCCTGAGGATCTTTTGGGATCCCTGAGAGAGACGTGCAAGCTTTCCTGTGGCTTGTTAACGTTCAACAACAATGAGGCTACAGAAGCCACTAGGTCTTGGCGGGCCCACTGGGAAGCGCGGTGTAGCTTGGGCGAATCACGTCGTGGTCTCAACGTCAGTTGTTGTTGAAGTCTGAAACACCTCCTTACTTCATCTGTCGACGATTGTTAACATCGTCAAACGCCAGTGTCGGGAGAGGTTGCTCCCGAGATATCGGAGACGAACATCATTGAAGCGTTCAATGGGTATGGATACCACCGAGCTGGGAAGTCCCTTTACCGCTTCGATATCGCCTTCAACCACTGTCAAGACATCTCGTGTCTCTGCATGGATGACAGATTTGCAGGCCCGCTCTTGAACCCTGAATTGGAAAAGTGACAGCCCTACTTCGGGTTTACTCCACGGGGATAGGACATACGAGTGCTACACCCCTATACCGGTCTTACTGGCGGGCTCAGACACCGCAGGACATCGGAGGCCAAGTGGACCATGATGAGCTCCGTATCAATAAGTCGGGCAAGTTAACGGCGCTTTTACCAACGTGTGACCGACGGACCGGCTGTTTAGAACGACGGAGGGCCTAGCGGCAGCTCTTCCCTTCCACCGGAGCGGTCTGTGAACCCTTACGATGGCATCGTACGTTAGAGAACCCGTTGGAAAGTTGTGGCCAGCCAGGCATCCCATGTACCCCTTTCTGAGAGAGGTGTCCATGACTTAGGTTGATACCCTATATAGAAGCAGTGAACAAGTGAATGCCGCTTCGTGTAACATCTGCGGTAGCCAAGTCTAGACCGCCACGGGCAAGTCATGGTTCACCTTGTGTTACTTCATTTTGAGGAGAGTCGAGCCGGAAATCAAGACAGTTGAGTGACTGGAACATATGTCTACGGAATGGGAGAAACCCCGTGGTGATTGAGCCAGTTTCGGTCGGGTTGATACCCATTTCTTCGCTTCATATCCGAGTTCAAAGCTCTCTCAGCGATGACAGCTCTCGCTCGATTACATATCCGTCATGATCTCAGGAGCTCGGATGAGAACGAATGGGGATATGAGGTTCCAGCTACTTCTGAACATTGCGAAAGGCTAGTATCTAACAACTTGCAAGCCTTCGATACAAAAGCCTCCAGTGAGCGGGCCAACGGAGGCGAGTGTCTCTCGAGGGAGGCATGGTCGATCGAGGCTGGAAATGAAAAAAGGGTTAGGGTTCAGTCAGAGCCAACCATCGGCTCATATGCCCCTTCTGATGGACTTCTCGAAAGTGTTGCTGCCGCCTTCGTCGCTTGTGAATCTATAAAAGCATACCTTCTAGGCTCTGAAGCAACGGTCGTAGTTTTCCAATGCCGGTAGGGGGTTTACCTCATGCTCCTTCGGGGAGGGTCGTGCGCCATGAGCCTTGGCTTGGTGCCCCTGACTCCCTGAGAATACTCGCCGGCTTATGAGACCTGGCATCGCGAAGCACGATGGAAACTAGACCAGAACCTTCGCATCATAGGTCAGGATTCTTTGCCCTTCTTTCAAGTCGATGGATGATTACGCATGTGCAAGCCTCACCTGGGTTCTCAACCACGTTCACACTGCCTTTCACTCACCACCAGCGCCAACATCCTCTCCCATCTGTCTTTGCAAACCAACGAATATTATTACATTGCTTTGAGAAGGGCATTTACTCTGCGTGCCTCAGGCTCTGCGTACCTACTACATATGTAATAGCTAAATTTACAGTATAATAACAGGCCAAGAAATGAAACATTGGGGCGTGTATAGCCAGAGCCTGGTGCACGCGGAGTAAATGCCTTGATGAGACAGTCCCGCGAAGATCAAACGCCCTCGGTTAGGCTGGCAGTGGTTCAAGACCGAACCATGAAAAGGATAGCTTTTCATGTTTGCGCGACGATGGGATGCGATATCTGTCAACTTGAAGGGACTGAGAGTCCCGAGTAAACGTGACGGCACGTGCCGAAACCGAAGCAGACATGTGAGAAAGCCTCTCAATTCAATCACGGTGATTGGTTCAAAATCTGGGGTCCCGTTGGGGTAAAAGCTTCTCTCGAAAGCGTGGATGCGCCGTCGTAGGGGCGTGCGCCGCGGGGAAAGAGGAGCGAGCGTAGATGGCGGATGCATGATGCAAGACGGGGAATCGCGAAACCGATCAAGCGAGACATCACGAAAAAAAAGCATAAGGGTTGTATCCAATACCGGGACTCAAAGTGTCTTTCGGATGCTATGCGGCTGAATGATCGGCTGTTTTGTCTCGAGAGATCTGACACCAGCCGGAGAAAAGTAAGAGAGGGTTCGGGCGCGATATCGCAATGCCGCAATCTAGGCGGACTTTTGGTGCCCTCGGGACGCCACCGACCGGCTTAGTGATCAAGATGTTGCATCCTCATTGGGCAGTATGTCTCTCTTTGGCCGGCGTTGCACAACCTTATTTAGCGGTAGCTCTTTCCCAGACCGAACAGCCAAATTCTCCCGCCCGCCGGAGGAGACCAAAGACTGGAAAGAGCTTAGCTTGTAGCGGCAGAGCGCTGCCACGGCTGCTTCCCACCATGTAGTGGTGGGTCATTCTAGAACTTCCGGTCTGGTTGCAACGTCGAGCATTTGCAAGCATTTGCAATCATGGTCACCTCAAAGACTCGACATTCCCATCGCAATGCTGTCACTTTTGCCCTACAACATTTCCTTTCTCTAATACCTAATGACATCACGCTCCTAGCTGTATCTTTATCCTGCTCTTTAGGCTCACGGGGTAGTCCTTGTTCCTGGCTATGATATCATCTAGCACCCCTGCCATCGAGGGCAGGGCGCCATCTCAACCCCAATCCGATTCTAGACCGAGGAACTCCAATTCACTTGATATCAGCAACTCAGATACTTCGAGGCCGAATAGCATAGGCAGCCGAAGCACGAAGCAACCCGGACCTGATACCCGCAGTGAACATGAAGTCGTGAATGTCGATTTGCGCCAGGATGACCTCCCCGACTCCCAACTCGACGGCTTCTCAGATGCCCAAGAACGACGTATCCGCCGCAAGGTAGACTTTCGGCTTTGCACAATCGCAGGAATCCTATGCAGTCTCAACCTCCTCGACAGTGGTGTTCTCTCGAGCGCCGCCGTCACATCCATGCCATCGGATTTGGGACTTGACCACGGCAACCGCTTTTCCGTCTCCATCTTCATCTTTACCGTAGCGAGCATTATCTTCCAGCTTCCTTCGACCATTGCCGTACGCACTTTGGGTCCCCGCATCTGGTTTAGCTTCATAACCTTCTCCTTTGGCATCATCACTCTTTCGACCGGATTCATCAAGAACTGGAAGGAGATGATTGTCCTCCGCGTCTTTCTCGGCGCCACATCTTCTGGCATCTACCCCGGCCTCTCCTACCTTATCAGCTGTTGGTATCCGCGTCGCGAACAGCAAGTCCGGTTTGCTTTCATGCAGAGCGGCGAGGTCATCATCCTTGCAACCGGAAGCCTGGTCAACTATGGTCTCCAGCAGCGCAACGGCGGCGCAGGCCTGGAGGGATGGCGATGGATGTTTATTGTGCAAGGCCTGTGCACCTGCGTGCTGGGTATCGCGACATACTGGTGGATCGTCGACTTCCCGGAGAACTCCCACAAGAGCTTCTGGTTCCTGACGGAGGAAGAAGCTGACATCGCCTCACGCCGCATCGAAAAGGACCGCGGAGACCTCATAGCCCAAAAGTTTAGTCTGATGGCCGTCCTTGTCCATGCCAAGGACTTCAAAATCTGGGTGTTCGCCTGCCTCTTCTTCATGCAGAACGTCGTCTCGACAGCCCTGGCGTACTTTGTGCCCATCATCTTGGAGAATGGCCTAGGCTATTCGCCCAACCAGGCAATCATTCTCTCGGCTCCGCCTTACTACTATGCAGTCGTCCCGGTCATCTTGTCTTCTGTGGTTGCTGATCGGTTCCGGATCAGGGCCCCCATTATTATCTTCAATGCTCTTTGCATGATCACAGGCTTTGCCATCCTTGGATTTGCCGAGAATTCCGGAGCCCGCTATTTTGGAGTGTTCCTCTCCACGGGAGCATACGTGGCTAATTGGGCGGCCTTGACTGCGTATCAAGCCAACAATGTCGTTGGGTAAGTTGGCATCACCATGGGGTGGACTTTTTGCCAAGCGCTAATTCTGTCCTAGACAATGGAAGCGTGTTTTCACCGCTGCTGCGTGCACCATGTTCAACGGTGCCGGCGGTATTGCTGGCAGCTACATTGTCCGCAATGTTGAAGCTCCGAGATATACGACGGCTGTCTGGGTCTCGATAGGGTAAGGACTTTGGCTTGTGGTCGTTTCTGCCGCTGCTTAAGCTGACCGCAACGTATAGGTCCCATATTCTGATGATCTCACTCGTTGGTGTTCTTACGATTTACTTTTACTTCCGGAACAACCGGGCTGCGCGCACGAACGGGGCCGTTGAAAGAACCGTAAGCCGATAGTGGTGTTTCTAGCAACTGGGAGGGAAGCTGACATGAACTTTTAGGCCGGGTTCCGATATACATACTAGTTATTCTTGGTTACACATCCATTGCCTTCCGATATACCCATTTGCCGATTATATACCCTCGAACATTGCATGTTTAGATGAGCGTTTGGTCACTACAAATTGGATGCAGTAATACCTGTACATATTTCAGGCTATTTGCAGAGCAAATAAGGCGTTTACTCCGCGTGCACCTCCCTTTTCTTATACGTGCACCAATAATGCCGCCTTGGTCTATCTTTGTTTACTTGCCCCCTTTTTATAGCTTTAAGTTTCACGACAACGGAAGCCACTTCATTATAGGCTTTGTCAAAGTAAGTCGTTCACTTGATTGCTTCCAGGTTCCACATCATCGGCATCAGCGCCTGGGCTTTCCAAAGGTTGGATGTATCTAGCAGATGACTCAGTGCCACTCCGACAACCGGTGCAACCGTAGTAACCGGAAACGAAAGACGGAGTAGCATCCGCTTAACTACCTTCTAAGGTATCAAGTTAACTCATGACTTGACCCAGCTAATCCCCCACCATCAGATATCTTTTCCGTTCTTGACGCCTCTACTCCATAACCAACACATTCCTGTACTTTGGCTTCCCCGCCTTCATCAGCTCAAACGCCTTGTCCGCCTCTTCCAGCGGGAACTTCTCAACAAAACACTTGATCCCATGCAACTTGGCAAACTGAATCGCCTCCTCCGCATCCAGCGGCGTCCCCGACGGCCACCCATGCACCGTCAACTGCTTCAGCACCAACACCGTCGTATCAATCTCCACCGGCCCCGCGCACGCCAACAACAACAACTTTCCTCCCGTCCTCAATCCATACTCCAACTCCTTAAACGCGCTCGCCGTCGGCGCCGTAGACACAATCCACGCCGCCCCTCCCATCTCGCTCAACCTCCTCGCCGCAACCTCCGCGCTCTCAGCAGCAACATACTCATGCGCCCCCAACTCCTTCATCGCAAACTCCCTCTTCTCCTCCCCCCTACTAACAGCCACAGTCCGATATCCCATCGCCCGCGCGTACTGCACAGCCAAATGTCCCAACCCTCCCAAGCCCTGGATAGCCACGAACCCGCCACTTCCGCCGGGCTCGATCCCCATGCGTCGAATGCCATTAAACACGGTCAACCCAGCACAGAGAAAGGGAGCAGTAGAAGCCGGGTCCATGTCCCTCGGCACCCGCACCGCAGCTTGCGTCCGCAGGAGGGTGTACTCCGCGTATGCACCGTGGTGGTTCACGCCCGTAATCTGCTGGTTGGAGCATGTCTGCTGCGAGCCGCGCAGGCAGGAGGGGCAGGTGGTACAGTGGCCGCCGTGCCAGGCGCCGCCGACGCGGTCGCCGATTTGAAAGTTGGAGTTTGAGGTATCAAGGCCGAGGGCGACGACGTCTCCGACATATTCGTGGCCTAGGACGGTGGGAAATTGGGTTGGGGGAAGGAGACCGGTGGCGACGACGGCGTCGCCGGCGCAGATGCCGCAGGCGAGAACGCGGATGAGGAGTTGGTTGGGGCCGGGGGAGGGGAGGGGGAGGGAGTGGATGGAGAGGGAGGTGTTGGCGGAGGGGAGGAGGGCGGCGCGGAAGGTTTGGGGAAGGGTTTCGGTAGACATTTTGTTTGTTGTGGACTTGTGGTTTGTTGGTCGGATTGGGAGTTGAGAAGATGGATTATACTAAGCTTTGCGAACTGTTCTTGTGTCTGTGAAAGAAAGAATCATGTTTCCTTGGACGCCATGCTACCCGAGGTTATATACACAATTGATCTGATATTTTGAAGTAGGCATTGTTGCTGTCCTATTGCCGGACTTTGGTGTTGACGACAGATTGGATCCGACAAGCCACGGAGTTAAGGATCTTCTGTAAGTACCATATTCCAAAGGGCGGCACGATAATAATGGTGATGATAATAATGCTACGGGGATAAGATCCTGTACGCTGCGAGCTGCACGATAATCAGTAATCCATTGGATATAGATGTCGTCGGGATGGTCATCCGCGGACTCCGATCCGGATGTCTCTGGCAGGAGCAGCGTTGATGCTATAACAGCATGGGGAGGAACTGCCAATGCGCTTCTGCATTCCTCAACCTAAGGTACGTCCTGAAATTGTGAAATACGGGATACAAATAGTCAGATCCATACAAAAGACTTTGAAAGGCAAGTTTTCATCTCAACCTCTTTTCTGTAAATATGCACTTCGAGTGTCCTTGAGACTGTTTCGATGTTCGTTAGAGGTATCGACGAGATGTTCGGCGGGCCCCGAGAGTCTGAGCTACACCCCGGACTTACAGAGGATCTACCCCAACTTCGATCGCTGTTGGCCCAGGCACACCGGAGTTAACGGCTGCCATAGATTGGTCGCGGTTCGTTGTAACGACGGGATGAATGAATCATACCGGAAAGCCGCCAGAGTCTTTCACTGCCTTGCTTATGTGATATCTTCAAGACTTGTAAGGTAGTAGCATTTCGCACTTCTCAAAGAGAGAGAAATGAATCCAGATCTGATGTCAGATCTGTGAACCATTGATGGTGGGGCGTGCTCATGGCTCCACGAATCGGCGGGCTTGGAACAGCGCATGCACAGTGAAGAGAAAATCTGCTAAAAATGCCAGTGATTGACAGCGCATCGGCGAGGATGATAGGCCCAGCGGCAAGGACTCATGCGGCGCTCCAAGCAAGAGGACAGCCAACACTGTCTGTTTAAAGCCGAGTGACCTCATCGCAAACAACGCGACGCACATTTGACATCTCAATCCTTCCGGTTTGGGTTTAACAAGTCACAACCCCAACCCAACATCACCCAACTGCACCTGCTTTCTTCACTTTCATGCCGTTCCAACCTGTGCAAGGTCTGGCAACGACAACCCACAGCTTGCAGTCATGAAGACGCAAGACCAAAACAATAACCTGCCGGCACAGGCGTGCCAGGTCGACATTCCAGAGCAACCGGACCCTGCTGTCCAGGAAACCTCGTTTGCAGCCGATGCCTGCGACGCATCCTCCGACCTCCAGATTCTCGACCACGAACCCATCCCAGACGAAGAGTGGCATGCCCAGAATGGACAATCATCTGCCCTAGAGTCCCAATCGAACCAGCATCAGCATCAACATGGCTCCTATAGCTACGGCTCCTTCACCCACACACTGAGATCGGGTCATGATGGCCATCACAAGTCCACCGCCCGCGCCCTTGCGCCCGACCTACTTCGAGGATTGCTAATGGTCCTCATGGCTCTGGATCACAACGCCATGGCCCTGCAATCATGGGACCACGCAACCGCTCCTCAGGGTGAGAACGACTCGATCCCTGTTCACGAATGGAATCGCCCGATTGCCCACAACATTCGGGTGCTGACCCACCTCTGCGCCCCGGGCTTCACCTTCCTTCTCGGCATGGGCATCGTCTACTTTGGTCGGTCTCGAACCAACCTGGGCTGGTCCACAGCTCGGATGGCCTGGCACTTCTTCACGAGAGCAGTCGTCTTGACCCTGGTCATGATCGTTATGAGCCTGGGCATCACCTTGGGAGATACGTGGTTCCTTAACATCGTCTTGTTTGCCTTGGCTGTCGACTACCTCCTCTCGGGATTGATCTGGCTTGTGGCCGCCAAGACCGAGAAGATGCTTGCCTTCATCATCCTCAAGGTGCTCCCGGAGAAGAAGGAAGACGATGCCACCGAACCGCTGCTGGCTAACCGCCGAGGGGTAGAGGACATCGCTCCCGACCGTGCCATCATCCGTGCCGCCGATATATCCTGGCACATCCACAACTTGGTGCTCTCAGCCCTCGCAGTCGTGACCATCTGGTGGAACATCTGGCTCAGCCCAACCAACGGCCACTGCGGCGCCGAGCCCGTGCAAAAGCTCCCCGACACCATCTGGGCTCGCATCTGGTTCTACCAGGTCTTCGATACCGACTGGCGCATCATCTCCGTCTTCCCCCCACTGGCGTGGATCTCGTTCGCCATCCTCGGTCTCGTCGCCGGCCGCATCATCCTCGCCCGCTCCTGGAGCACCAAGGCCATCACCACGGGCAACCTCCTCGCCGGCATCGCCTTCACCATCGTCTTCGTCGGCACCCGCTTCCTCAACGCCGGAAACCTCTCCGAAGGCTGCCTCCACATGCCCGAGCACGCAAAGCCCGACGCCCCCGACAACCAGTACCTCGCCTCCTGGAGGTCCTTCATCTACCTGATCAAGTACCCGCCCGACGTGGCCTTCTGGGCGTTCACCATGGCGGGCAACCTCTTTCTCTTTGCTTTCTTCAGCGTCATCCCCCCGCGTCTTGCTACTATCGTCTTTGATCCCCTTTTGGTGTTTGGCACATCTGCGTTGTTTTTCTTTGTTGGTCATTTGACGCTGCTGTTCGTGCTGGCTAGGCCCGCGACGCACTGGTTTGGACATGTGCTTGGGCACCCGGATTATTGGAAGCCGGGCCAGCCGGCGGTGGGCGTGGATAATTTGTGGGTGTTTTTTGGGGTTTGGTTGTTGGTGTTGGCTATAATGTATCCGCTTTGCAAGTGGTATGGCGGGTTTAAGAGGAGGAGAGGGCCGGATTCGATTTTCAGGTTCTTTTAGGTTGGTGAAGGGGGGGAACGTATTGGATCCGGTGAAGGAGCATGTAGCCAGGTTGGATAGAGGTGGGTCTCGTAAAAAATGTTGCATTTAAGGTTGCCTCAAGGTTTTCGCGCCGTTTCAGTGAAGCTGACTGTGTGTTCACTGGTTCTTTTTCTTTCTTTCTCTTGTCGGTTCTGGGCGATTCCGATCATGCGATCTCAGGTCTGGACGTTTTCCCCCCTTTAATAACCCGCTTTTCTCCTCAGCTGTCGCCTTCATCCACCGCGACGTGGCCTACCACCCACACAAGTTGTAGGATACTGCCCAAAGCAGGCCTACTCCAATACTTCCTTTAGCAGTCGAGCTCTTCCTCATCATCACTCCCTCGCGCGGTTCCTGGCTGGCCTTAGGCTAGGAGCATCACTTCAGCTTTTCACTTTAGGAGAGGAAGACAGGTCAAGTGATGAAGTAAGCGAGGCCCGACCAAGAGAGTAAATCCACGGACACCCATTCCATCGACGTGTTTCAGAACAATACGAGTCGGCCACTCATTTTCGGATATCTTAGCGTACTGGAACGACAATACGCTCACGACCGTCCGCAGCCGCTGGTGCTAAACTCATCCACCTCCTCATGCCTCGCGCTGTCCAAGTGCAGGGTAATATCATATACATCCTTCTGGGCCTTATCACTCCAGCGCAGCACTGGCGCATAATTGCCGCCCACCTTGGCGCTACCGGTACCGTTGGGCGCCGCGCTGCCAAGCTCCTCGAGGATCAGCACCTTGTTGGTGGGCTGAAGATGGTTGTCTTCTGCGACTTTTTCGGGCAGCTTTGTTGCTGCTGTTAGGAAGAGAGGATGGGTGGCCGTTACCTCTACTTAACTCTACTCTATTCAGGAGTGGTCCTCTTGCGGCCACTTGCTCTCTGCTACAGTCCCATGCATTCGAGTTCTGGATATCGATCTTCAACTCGGCATTACACAAGAGGCAAACCCAAAATCCTCTGCAAAAGGAGCGATTAAGTTGCGGACGAAGGTGACTTGTTACCAAGGGCGTATTCCTGTCGACAGGTGGAAGGACCTCTTTCGGTGCTAACAACAGATGAGCCCAAAGACTCTCGTTCTTACCTTGTTGATATCGGACCTGCTTGAGCTTATGGATGTTTGTTCACGCAGCAGATGGATGCAAGAGAAAGAGAAATATGGAGGCCGGCAAAAAGTTCGATTGTTCGTGCCTTGACTTCAAGAAAAGTCCAAGCTGAAAAGCAGGAAGCAAAAGACCCAGGGGTATCATGGTCAGAAAAAAAAACCCCAAGCCAAACACACACCCAGCGCCTTCCCGTGCCGAAAACCCAGGCCAAGCCAGACCACAAACGCCAATCTCAAACCGCTCCAACCATCTCCACCCACTTGGGGCTTCGTGAATGTAAGTTGAAGAGGATCCCGTACTCTGCAGACAACATAAAAACCCAGCCACCCCCCCAATCCTCCCCCCTTCCAATCCTCTCCACCCTGTTAACCCTTTGAAACAGCTCTGATCGGACATCGCGAGATTGGCGGTGCCCCATCTCTTCGGGGAATAGGGTGAACTCCTTGACCTGGCATAGCTGGTCGTCGCTCTTGAAAACGACCCTCATATTTTTTCTCCTGCGCTCCTCCTTCCGCACACATTCCGGCCTGCTGGCTGCCCTGTCCAGGTGACCCATTCCCCCCCTCAAACTAACCCACCCCCTCCATCCTCATCATCCTCGCCCTCCCTCTTCTTTCCCTTCCCCTCCTTCCGCCCCATAGAAGGCAAGAACCCCCGAATCTTCTCCCTCACACCCTTCTTCCCCTTACTACCCGTGTCCTCCTCTTCACTCGTGTCGACGTCCGGAAGACTCGAGGGTCTTCCCCTATCCGTACGCCCACTACGAGCGTCAGGACCGAAGAGGTTGCCAGATGTGTGGAATCTGGGTAGTCCGAATCCAGACCTTCCTACCGAGCGAGGCACCTGGGGCACCTCGTCGTCAGAAAGGGCAGCCCGGCCCGTATCAGGATGATACGGAACCGGTTCCGAAACCTGCGCACCAGGCGTAACAGGCTTAAGCTCACGGATTCGATCAACGTGACGCCTGAAGGCCCGCCTGAATTCGTCGCCGTAGGGGTCGAAACCGAATTCGTGGTTTGCAGGGGGAACCCTCGAATGAGGGGCTGCAAGGAAGTCCCGGGGGCCAGCCGAAGCCGACGGTGAACCCGAGCTTGGAACGATGGGAGCCGCCACCGGAGCCGGAGCAACCGGGGCGGACGGAGCAGGGAGCGAGGGAGGAGAAGAATCGGAGGGTGCCTCCGCGGCCTCAGGAGTGAGACCGGGGGGCGGGAGGAAGGACTGAATCGACTGAATCTCCTCGGGGGTAAAATGGGCCCGCCCGAGGCGTCGATTCCCGCGTTGGTCGCGAGCCGCTTTCGCGGCCGCTTCCTCAGCAGCCTGGTCCTCCACCACGTCACCATCATCAAACTCAACCTCATCGTCGACGCTGTCCCTGGTGAGAGCAACGCCAACGTCCCTACCCCTCTCGTCATCGTCCTCTTCCTCTCCTTCTTCGTAACCTTCTTCGGCCTGACCTTGTTGGCCACGAGCAGGCGCATGCACCACCCTCGCCTGCGGCGCCCATACGTGCTGGACGGCACGCGCCGTTCCAGTTCCGAGCATCTCCAACCCCAATTCGCCGCCAAACCCAACGTCCCACCGTGACCACCTGCACTCTGACTCTTCCTGCGGCGGGACAGCCGCAGAGGTGGCGTGGGCAGCCGCGAGGCCACCACCACGTGCGGCGCCCGAGGAAGACGGTAGAGCGGCGCGTCCTCCACCCAGCGAGGGCGGAGCTGGGAGCACAAGGCCACCCGAGACGGAAGAGTTGGGCTGCGTCGGCTGGGCCGACGCGACGGTGTCCTCGGGGATTGAAGGGACGGAAAGGGCGGGCGGGGCGGCAGGGAGGTTGTGGGCAGCGCTGCTCGCAGCCTCGGAGATACGAGAGGTGCCCAGTCTCTGTTTGAGATGAGAGGTTAGCAAAGGTTCTGGAATCTTTGGTGTGATGGAGGGCGATTGTTTGGTTGTTGTCTGGTGCGCTCCAAGCCCAGCGAAGAGAGACAGGAAGAAAGCCACTCCACCTCGCGCAGAAGGTACTCAACAGCGTTTCGGTCTCGTTGTTTCCAACCGATGGTCACCTCAGTGGGATCTCAAATTCGAGGATCTGTACATGGAGAAGGTGCCCAGACGTGTCGACACTTGGGGCTCCACCACGCCCTGTCCCTCCACAGCCAGGTCTCTACCTCTTCCTCCGCCGCCGAACGAGAGCACAGGGCCCAGGCCGAGGGGGCCAATACCCTTCGAAAGATTGGTGCCAAAACGAAGTGCAAAAGACCTACGATCCGTGAAGTGACAGGAGGGGAAGAAAACGCTGTGTATGAGGAAAATGATGATGCTCGGTCAACACGTCAAGGTTCTCGTCACCGGGGGGCAGCGAGTCCTACTCGTTGCGCGACTGGCGCAAGAAACCGGGCGCAGGGTTGCAGCCCTGGCCGGCCTCATTGCACCGGCGGCAAGCAACGCCGCCCGCAGGGCGCACGCAGATGGCGCCGCTCTCAATGCAGGCAACGCAGCAGGGCTCTAAGGGATTGTTCGGGTCGAGAGGGCAACAGGCAGAATGGCAAAGATGAAGGGGATGGGGTGTTAGACGGGGGCTTCAACATCAGGTCTCAATCTCGTATCTTGCTTACCTCGTACTCGCGAACCGCACGCGCATACATCTATGAAGGAGACAAGAGTTAGTGAACTGTTTTACGAAGATGTGGAGGACGAAAGAGTATTTGAGGGGCAGAGTCACTGGCTTGAAGGTCTGATGAGGGTAGAAAAAAGAAGAGGATGGTGGTCGTGATGAGAGAAGAGCAGAGTTGACTCTCCCATCACTTCCAAATGACAAGTGGAAGAGGGCGAAGCGAAAGGCAAAGTGAAGGCAAGAGGCAGATGGAGAAGGAGGGAAGTGGAATTTAAGTACATACCTCTCCGATGGTGTCGACCTTGACGTCGTCGTCATCGTCGTCTTCTTCTTCTTCGTCAACCGCGCCCGCGCGAGCGGGAGCACTCCCCGGGGCGTCGGCGCCCGGTTGGTGCTGCTCACGAGGAGCCACGGCGACGGGGGTGCCCGCGAGGGCGGCGGAACCAACGTTGGCAGCGCGAGGAGCCATGGTGTCGTCGGTGGTGGTGGTGGTGTGGTGGTGGTGTGGTGGTGAGGAGGGGTAGGAGAGAAGAAGTGTTGGTGGTGGTGGTGGTCTGGTGGTGTTGCTGGAAAAACAACACAAAAAAAAACACGAAGATCGTTGGTGTAGTGCTGGTTCATTAGTTGTCAGTTTCGCTTCCTCCTTGTAAAGCTATTTACTGTTTACTTACGACGGCGAGAGAAAGCGGTGCGCTGGTGGTGATCAGATCTTGGTGCTTGGGGGGAGAAGAGAAGAAGAGGAGGGGGAGAAAGAAAACCTTTAAGATTTTATTACCCTCGGGGAGGGGTACGGCAGAGGGCTGGCGTCGACGTGCCTGCCTTTTCAAACCAACTGAATACCTCTAGGCTACCGCCTTGCGAAAGTTCGGACGACAGTTGCAAAACGTTGCCCAGGTGACCAACAAGAGGACGGCATTACAATTCTTATCGGGGGCAGCATGGATTATGGGATGAGGCTCCTGCCTATACGTCTGAAGTTTTTTACTGTCTGAGTGGTCATACGCCTTGCATATTCCTGAGGCTCCTTCCATTCAAGTGGGAAATGGTCCACGTTCGGACGATTCTGCTATCTGTTTGCGTACTTCGGGTTGAAAGTACCTGGCAGAAACGAAAGACAGGATGAGGTGAACTCGCAGTGGACTACCAGTCAGCTTCGTTTTCAGGCAGAGAGATAGTTCAGATGGAAATTCTGCCCTTCTTTCTGCTTGTTTAAAGAAGACCCGAGGCAAACAAAAGCTGGTACTCTTCGAGATCCCACATTTCGAGGATCAACCCCAATATCGACTAACCACTTCTACTTCTTCTGCATACGTCTCGCCATCTCGTAATTAGCGGTCTTCATCACATCGCGGACTTCATCGTTAGTCATCTCCTTCAACTGCTTGTCCGTCACTCATCCTCGAGTTCTTCTCGAATCATGAATGGGCGTAACTCGATGATCGTGTCGATGAGTTGAGCCTGGCGCTGCCTGGCTTCGTTCCAAACTGCCTGATTCATCTTGGCCTGGGATCTTTCGTGCTGGTAAATACCGAGGGATTCCATTCAGAACGGCTTCAGATCTGATTCTGCCTGGCGGTCGCAGACCAAGCGAACAACGCCTTTGAAGCACTGGCAATCAAGCAGGCGATAAAAGTGGCCATCATCGAGCTAATTACCTCTACCCTCAACCGACAACTGCCGCCAGAGACCAAAGCGAAGGCCCAGCACATCGGCTACATTCAGGGTCTTGCCCCTTTCATATTGTGTCGTGCTACCCGTAACATCCAATGCGTACGAGACGACTGACGGGGCGAGCGAGCACTGGCGGGTGACGTATCTTCCGGTGCAACTGGTGCCCGAGTTGTACGTCGTACTTGCGGTCAATGAATAACCGCTTGGCCCCGAGCCATCCGTGATATCGATCGAAAAGAGGTTTTGATGGCCTTTCGGCTTTCCAGTCCGGCGATGGCAGCTACAAGGGTAGCGACGATGACCTTGACGATGACCAGGAGGAAGAGTGGAGCAAGGATGAGGACGACCAGGCGCCACCAGAATCAACGTTCGGAGCAAGTCTCAACAACAAAGCCTACAAAGCATACCTGGTATCTTGAATTTGCCGCCCGTGCTCCACCAACCGGTCCGGCCCGTACCCCAAGGGGCCAAAAGAAGGAGCCCTGCCCCTCCCGTCCCCTTGAGGACTTTTTAAGCCCGCCCCCCAACTGGTCGGAATACCTCTACACATCAGACGCCGGCAGCCTGTGTCCGGTAGAGGTAGGTGAAATATCACCACCGGCACCACCTCACGAGCATGCAAAACGAGTGGTCGAGGAGACCACATTGATGGAGCTCGCCCAGTGATAGTGGAAATCGCTGAGTCCCATTCCTCTCATGGCTTGGAGCCGGAAGTGGACGACTCCTGCATCGTAGAACGCGACGCCCATCATCGTATTTCCGACGCTTGCGGCTGAGTCGACGATGGTGTCGAGGGTCGGCAGGAATGTTGGGCGTTCATTGAGCGGCCTCATGTGGTCCCAGAGGACCGCGAACTGCTCGATGCCGTAACCTAGAAAGGAGAGGATAACTGTCAGATTAGGGACTTGTGAACTCCCAAGCGCCTTGCAAGCTCTGGGGTTACCATGCGTGTTGCAACTGTCGTCCCGAGCAGCAAGACTGCTCGGTCGTCCTCGCCGTCATCTTTTTATCGCCACTTACGGAGGTAGCCACAGCTACACCTACAAGGTCACGGTCCTTTGTGCGCGTACGGCGTACCTTAGGTTGCAAACATATCAACTCCATTCTGCGCCTCAGATCCTCGTCCGCTCGCTACTCACTATACTACGGAGAAAAAGAGGGCAACGTAACCGGACTGCCTGGGGAGGCCCGACTAGAGTTTTCAGTTCAGTTCTCATGTCGGCCCTTTGCCTTAACTATAGGACTTGGCCATAATGTTTAAGATCGATCGATACCAGGACAAAGTTAGAGCCGGTAGCCCCAGAGGGACTGCATACGTAGGTATGGGTCTGTGACGAAGGTGAGGGGTGACCATTTGCCGGTTTGGAAGAAGTAGTGCGACTCGATGTGGCCGTTGACTGTCAGATGGCGAGACGCTAGTACCTCTAGGTAGGCTATTTCGTTACGCGTAGTTCGGGAGGTTGGTTAATATACTTGCTCGTCTACCCAGTAGACATAATCCAGGTGGTTAAAAGTGGAAGGCAAAGAGGTTTCAGGAATCCACGTAGGTTGAGATGAGATTGGTGAATCCATGTTGAGGTATGTTAAGTTACCTATGCATTTGACATTTAAATCGGCGGCCGACCCATTGTATCATGACGCAAGCATCGAGTAATCGGCGCTGATGTTGGAGAATGGGCTCTGCTATGGACGGATCAAAGAGATGAAAAGCATAGCAGTGCAACTGTACGAGTCTTGTAAGTTTTGGGATCAAGATATTCAGGGCAGCTTGGCTGGAGGCCTTTGTTTCCGTGATTTTGAGCATTGCAATCTCAGCAGACCTTTCAACGATAACGCATATTTCCGTCACCGCTCAAACTTCAGGCCTCCGCTGGACTTCGGGATCTGCATGGCGGTACGAACACTCGCATGTTCCAGACCTCAAGTGGTAGCAGAAAATTTGTATAATAAACCCTCGGGCCTTTACACTCTCTACAGTCTTTTGCTCCCTTTTTTCTCAGTCTTCAAAGCCTTTTTCGATGCATACTGGACGAGTGATCATCGAGTCCGGAGCCCCGGAGCCGCGCTCCCGACCCACTTCCCTTCCGTGATGCCCCACTTACATCCGGAGACCCACCTTCCTTAACCGGCTCGGTCTAAGGTTCTGTGCCTGAAAGCCTATTTCCACGACGGGCAGGTATCGAGGCTTATTCTAACGTCAATTGGTGCTACAGGAGTAATCAAGTCATAGAAGAAGACTTCTTACTTAAATAAGAAAGAGGAGTGTCGTTTTACAGCATTGACAGACGAGGATTACCTATATAGCAGGCACGGTACCTCTACCAGGTAAGGTACCTACCTCTAGCAAACCTGCTAACTTCAAGCAACCCCTTTTCCACTCAAAACATCTAACATCCCCAAATGCAACACTCTAATAACGCCCACAGTCCATCTTCGCGGCTTTTATACGTTCCCGTCTGCGACCGGATATGTTGCGCGGGCCGCCGCAATACATGCTCCAGTCATCCCAGCACCAATCAGCGCGAAAGTAATGAACCCGAAGCGGCATCTCTAGTCCGAGCCTGGCCGCACCACATCCCAAGCGATATACATAACCTAAACTTTCCACCACGACATTGGATGGATGCTAGGAACAGTGACGGGAGGGACGGGACACCACCTTACATCGGCTGTATGATAGAAGCGCAACAGAGGCACAGCAGACAGAGGCTGGCACGAAAGAAGTGTACGCCTACCTCTACCTAGTACGCGGGCCGGTAGTGGTAAACACGGCATACGGCATGTACCTATATAGAGCTAGCTTACACTGCTTGCTATTTAGTATACTGCTGCTATACTAAGTAAAGCCCGACGGGAAGTTTATCTTAGTGTTTGTGAAGGGTCTCGGGAGAGTCTCACGTATCTCAGGCGCCTTATTCCCTCTAAGGTAAGGTACCTGGATACAACGGGAGATGTCGGCACAAAGTATTTGACTGCCTCAACGTTGAACATCCAAACGTCTGTCTGCATACTGTACCTCATTATGCACATGATACTTGCAGTTTGCAGTTTGCAGTTTGCAGTCCGTCGTTGAGGGGTCAAAGATCGGTCCGATTAAACTGCAGCTGGGTGCACGTTGACATTGAAGAGCGGGAGGGTTCGGTACATGAACATTTGAGCGTTCAAAATAATTCCAATCAAAACCAAACGGTTGGATTCAAACCGATTGCACGATGAGCGAGCGGCTGGAATTTGAGGGTTCCATCAATAGCGTAAAGGATGGGTCCCGGCCGACGGCCAGAGTGTGCAGGGTAGGTAGACGCCTAACATGTGAATGCATGCGTTCAGGGTTCTGGGCTTGGGTTGACAATGACCTGTTTTGGTCGGATAGTCGGGCCGTCCGCGCCGGGGACGAAAGGGGAGGACGACGCACTTGCGCTTTTTTTGCGGGTTGTAGGTAAAGTAGGCGAGAGGCGAGGTTGATGAAAGGGGTGTTTGGATGGAGAGTTGTTTTTGCTAGGAGATTAGGTACTTCTATGTCACTTGAAGTTGGCAATGAAGATTGAATACTTTAGGACATGTCGATATTAACTGTTCGTAGTGTAAGCTTCAACAACGCCGTTGCAGCGGTAGTAGCACGAAGTTGCATCGCAGATCACCTTGCCCGTCTTTGAGACTTTCAACCTCAACAGGATCAGACCAGACAAAGCTTGAAGGAGACCAAAAAAGAAAAAGAAACAATCACCCAACGTGAAACGAGCGGAACGACACCCGAACGCCGGATGCACCCCACGAACCGAACTGCCACTGTTTCCCCAGTCCCCAC